TCAAATTAATCCTGATTATAACTTTTGTGCAATCCTAGTTCAGTCTCTTCAGTGGTTTTGGCGTGACTGCAGGCTAAGAGTAACATAACAAACAGTCCAGGTAGGCAGCTCAAGTATCTCACTTACCTTTCTGGGTGTGTCTCGACAGATCTCTGTCAAAGTCTGACTTTGTCCCTGTCTTTGCCTCGATAGTTCCTTTATATTTCAAACATGTAACAAGTCCTTTAAGTTAGGACTATCTAAGTCCAAGTCCTGGGCTCCTCTTTAGAAACCAATGGGTGATATAACTAAGACTATGTCTATGTTTTTTATAGTCTGTTGAAGTAGTTTGCCATTACTGAGCAGACATGAGAGTTGCATCAGTTTTATAGCCATTCCAGCAAAATAGGATAATTTTCAAAAACATCAATTGTTCCTTGGAGTGTGTGACTGGATCCTGCAATAAAATAAAACACCAATCTAGAGACCGGAGTAGACTCACTTCACATCAGAAATACTTCCTCTGGGATCAATAACAGATTAGAAATCCCAACTTAAAAACAGAAGCAAAATGCAAACAATGCAGGAGCCTCAAATACATCACAACAACATACACTGATCTGTGCCGAGATTTCATTAAAGTTTTTCTGTGTCTCTCCTCTGCACATGCCAGAACACAAAGGGAAAGAAACAGAACACCTTTTTTTTCAATAGCTCAGACATAGCAGAACACAAAATTACCTCTGAAAGGCCAGGAGAGAGGCAAAACAATTTCCTGACAAGTGCAAAAACAGTGGGTGCAAAAGCAGAGGGGTTCAGAGACAAAGAATATTGTTATGCACAGTCGGTGTGTTGTCTAGGAAACTCTAATTGGAAGTAATTTTGCACTCAGTTCTAATAAAGCTAATGGAAGCTGAGGTATCATATCACAGTCTGGCACATTTCCCTCTTTATTAGCTTGGCACTCTGAAAGAAGGGTGTGACTTTGTTACCGATTCGTCTGCTGAATACTGTCAGAAAATGTGCAGCCCCTGTGAAGGCTCCTCCTGCAGCAGCAATGGAGGTGAGGATGGAGGAGTCACAAGTGCCTGACAACAGTGCCATCAAAGCCATGACATCCTGACTCTGTCACGAGCCATAAAGAAAGCAGGAACAGCAAGATGGAATCCATTATCCCCTCTTCTCCGAGCACTCACAGCTCCCCTCAATGCCTCGTGAAGAAATCTCACAATCGATGGACTTTTATCACGCCCATTTCCCTCTTTTTCCCCTCCTCAATAAAGAGGAGAAAATGTCTCCAGCTCAATCGGTGCTAATAACATTGGAAAGGGAGCAGGACATTTATGTGGGTGGGCTGGCAGCATTTGGAGAATAGCAAAAGGACTAAAGGGTCGTAAGTTCACCTGCAATTATCCACAGTGTTATCATTAGAGCTGTGTCTGGATGAGCCCGGCTCACACTGGAAGTTTGACTCAGTAACATTTATTGAATTTCTGGTCACACTGGGGCATTAGGACACTGTAAAATCCAACAACCCCAGTGCTGAGAAATGATCACCTATTAGCGTTTTCCGCTAAAATGTTTGCAACAGCAACAGAAAAAAAATGGATTTCATTTATTCAGAGTCCAATCTATATTTGTTGTTTTGTACAGACATAGATATGCACATCCAATTGATTATTTTTCATGTAACAGGTAATTTCCAGTTCTTCACCCAAGACTTCAATTTATTTCATAACAAAGCTGGTTATCCCATTACCTTGGATTAGTTTTGTTCATTATCTCATACCAACAAAGTGTTTTGGGGGGGTTTCTGCACTTTTATTTTGAAATTTGTACTTTAGCATCCATGTCACTTGACTGCCCCCCCTCCTTGTTTAATTACTTAAAGGAAATTGAAAAGTACATACAGGCAAAATAAATCAAGAAAATCAAGAAAGCTGTCCTGTTTTGGGATGAGTAAGGCATACCCCTTTTGTTTTGGTGCTTTTGCAGCTTTGAGGATCTGGTTTATGATGTGATTGTTATGCCTGTAACCCCTGTGAGGGAGTGGGTGTGGGACCAAGAGATTTACAGCTCACCGCCTCTGCCTCTTGCTCACTGAAAAAAGTTAACTTCTTCCACAGCAAAGATTGAGTGACATTTAACTTGTGACTATTAAAAGCAGCAGGAGATTACAATGAGAGACACAGCATTTACACGTGAACAAGACTTCAGCTGTAAAGAGGTAAGAGGTACAACTCTGTGCTTATGAGGCATTGACTCAAACAGAAAGTTCCTCATAGGAGCTTCAAAATAAGTGACGTCACAATGACGCAGGATAAATTAAATGTTTGTATGCCTGTCGCCTCTGGCTTTTAAAGTGTTAATGTAAAAAAACTCTGAAAACAATCATCATAATCCTTCACATAAAAAGTGTCAACACGAGTATTTTCATTTGAAATAAAGTCATAAATGTCACCTCTCCTCTTTTCATCAATAACAGACAGGAGGAGGCTGTGTAAATGTCAGATGCAACAATATCTGTTTTCAAGCCTCAAAAGACGTCACTTTGAATCAGTTAATAATTTCATTTCAAACTGGTGTGCTGCTGAGGCAAAGCTTATTGATGATACTCATTAAACCACTGTTATAATTAACTTTTAATCTGCTCTCCTCAGTTGCCTGAACTACATTGATTAATTTAAAAATGAAGGTGTGTGTGTCCTCTGGCTGGTGGCATTACACAAATTTGGATCCAAAAAAGTGAAATTCAGGACATTCACTCCAGCTATGAAGTGATTTGGAGATTACTTTCATGCAGGCATCACCTCAACTAATATATGAGTCAAGCTGAGGGTAAGATGTGACTTCTTATATATATATTTTGTCTTTGTTGTAGAAGTTGTGATCATGGTTTACCTCTTTTGACCACAAATGTATACATACACGTTGGCAGAACAGTGTGAACTTTGTGCATTACCTTCTTTTAACCTTGAACCTTCCCCCAGATAAGAGTCACTGATCATTATCATATTTGTTAGGTTCCTCATGAAAGTCAGATTAGAGTCTGAGATCTCTTACAGAATACAGGAAAAAAATAGTTCAACATTTCATACATCTTTAAAATTGAGTGGTAACCTCAGGTCTTGAGAATCTAGAGATGGGATTTATGGCTCTTTGATGGGAGTCGGATCATGAGGAGTCGTTCTCTTCAATGAGCTGTTCAAAAGACTGGCTCATTGTTACATTTGTTTGTTTTTCATAAGTCAACCAGGGGTACAGGTAGGTGGGAACTATTCTGAAATATTGATTATAATTCCATTTGGCTTGTGTTTTTATTGTAAACAATACATAAAGTGGTGTCATATCCCCATGCTTTGACAATGAGATCACCATTTTGAATTTTTCCTTCACCTAAAAAAACTGAAGCGGTAAAAACTGTGCAGGCTACAGATAACTGATAACTACCTGGTGTTTGGGGCACAAAGATGACACAAAAAGGCAGCACGGCCAATTTGCATAAGAGAACAACACACAAATGAACAGTTCGCCAGTGTGAAACGGTTCTCATCATTCACTTAAAAGAGATGTTCAGTCAACTGATTCGTTCGTGAACCTCACATCTCTATGAGATACAAAGCAGCAAAACTAAAAAAGCTCCAGATGCCACATGCCCACTCACTCTAACAAGCGTGAAAATAAACATATTTATGGTGTGGTACAAAAAGACAAATTTGTCTGAAGAGCTCATTTCTTTATTTGCACACACTTTATGGTGGATACATTGTTTTACAACTCACTAGCTTTGAAGATATTACGGTTATGAATATTTCATAATCCGAAGCACTGCTTACTCGACTGACAGGCAGGCACACTGCTGCTAGCAAGGAGGCTAAAGGACCACCTAAGCTCTGCATCTTGCCTAGCCAGAAAATTAGGATAATCAGCATTTTCAATATTGGGACATCTGTTTACAGGCTTCAAAACTTCATCTCAGAATCACTAAAGCTTTGTCTAATTACACAGTCTGTAATTTAAACCCATTGTTGGGATGGCCACATGTGACTTAAAGATGTTTCTTTTTGTGATTTTTTTTGGGCAAATCTAGAAACCAGCAAAAGGGAGAATTAATGTCTAATCAGCTCTAACACACCTTTATACTAGCTTCATCTCTTATTGTGCCTTATTTTGCATAATTTTTTGCTTTACAATAATCCCAACCAATGACTTAAAAGGGCTATTTAAAAATATTCAACCACTGCTGCTGCTAATCATCTGCAAATCATTTGCTTCATTTTGCAGTCAAATTTAAACACAACAGTAGCACATTAATAAAAACAGCAGCTCGATGAGACTGAGGTCAAGAGTGCATGCAATGGTCGGGTTACAATAAAACTAAATCAAACGGTAAGCTAATGCAGACAGCCTGATATGCTAACATACTGTGTACATTTTGAATTTGAATGACTTAGGACTGTTTTGATACGTTTCTCACAAAGTTCAAACAAGGCTCAATTTGGGATCAAAAGTGACATCTCTAATAGACTATAGAGTTGCTTTAATTTTATCAGTCAACTTAATGCAATTCAGAACAGTATTTTCAAATCACCCTTTGAAAGTATGTCGTAAATCTATACTTTTAACCACGTCTAATGAAACCCAGATAAGAAAGCTTGCTTGTTTCAATGCCTTCAAGAACGCTGCATCAAAATACAGCACCAATCAAAGGAGAGATGAATTATGAGTAAACAGCATCTTCCATATGCCTGCCTGCCGCCTGCAAGGTAAGACACAATCTATCTTTTCAAGGTAGAAGCCTCTCCTGCAGTGATGAAGCGCCTCCAGAAACCCTGTGAAGGCAGAAATTGCATGACAAACTTATTCTGAATAGCTATTAATAGAAGAGTGTGGGGTCCATCCTTCAATCCATGAAAGCCCCTTTAGTCCGCTGCCATGTTTTACTTCATCTCCTCTGAATAAAAAGAGCAGAAAGATGAGACTCCCCCAGGGACATTTTATATAGGGAGAGACAACTTTTGATTCCTTTGGGGACATAGTGCAGAGAGACTGAGATGGCCCACTAGATTTCACCCTTATCTGATTGAATCTTATCAGCGGAGGAGCGATCTCACTTTTCCAACCTGACGCCAAAGTCAGTGTGAAGGTTGTTGCTTAGAGCTGGGAAGATTGGGAAGATATTGTTGGACGTGAGCTCCCTTTGAAAAAGCAAAATCATAATGGAATTCATTTTAATGGTGTTGTCGTACATGAAAACAGAAAAGAAACTGGCATCAGGGGTGTCAGTACAGATCTATACAGCAGCTCTTACAAGTGATATGAATCTCCAAATATGCAGGGACCTTGAAGCGACAAAAATAGAAGATTAAACTAGACTGACTTGTCCTTAAAGCATGTTATTGTCTCCAGAAGTGTCTCTCACCTTGAATATCAAAAATATGACTCAAAGAGCGACACAAGAATCAAAGCTAAGCTGACCAGATGCCAAGACATAGTCAAGAATGTAACATAATGCCCATCTAACCTTAAAAAGGCCTTTCCATTGTAAACATCAGTCTGTAAATATCTATAAAATGCCTTTGCTAAAGGTCAGTTTGGCCACACATTCCTTTAAAATCTTTGAGTCTTGAAAACGGATGGGAGATTAGGTTACTACCACAGTATGCTGACCTGAGGAAGGTGAAGATACCTACATGTTTAGTTAGCCAATCAAATGCTAGACATGTCAATTACAGCACAAGGATCCTGTAGTCAGTGCTGGAATTCATCATAGACAGTACAGAAAGACATGACAGCTCCTAAAAAGTGAAGCCAAAACATTTAAATAACTGAGTCCTGCAACCTCCATGTTAACTACATAAATATGGATTCTCTCATCACACACCAGCTTGACTTGAATCCTGCACAGGCCAAAGACATATGAACATGTAGACAACAAGAAAAACATGATTTTCATCAGAGTGGGTCTTTAGCCTTCAAAAAGTGATTGCACAGCACATGCATTTTAAATAGTTTAAATGGGCCCACAGAGTTTGAATATAAATCTCTTGAATCTTTTTTAGCTATCTTTTCTCCTGCCCAGTTGTTCATGTCAAGATTATGATTTTACTGTCAATCATCCTATCTCGTCTTTTGTCACATCCTAGGGTAAATATAGCACAGAAAGCTGATTGGTCTGATTGGTGCTGATTATTCCCATAGATCTAATCATGTCTGTATATGAACAGGGATCAGTGTTTAAAGATCGACTTTCTTTTTGTTCAGGCTTTCTTACTTTTGACACAAGCTTATTGACAAAAGCTGACGAAATCTGAAAAAAGGGTCCAAGATGGTATTTCCTGCACCCCTCTACACCTTGTAAGATAGTAATTTCTTTACAAATGCCAATAATGACAGAGGAGGAGAAGCTTTTCCCGGTGCTTTTTCCTTTGACATTTCTCCTAAAATCACCTGCTCTGTATGTCAAGGGCAGAGTCTTTCTGCCCTCAACTATTGTCATTGTCTGTGTTCAACTGAGGCTGTATTACCATGTATGAAACAGCACAGGGGGACAAGATGTAGTTTCTGGTGAATATGCAGAGGACATTCAAGCTCAGGTTGAGGTTTCGTGGCAGAATGGATCAAGATGAGGACTTTGTCTTCGCTGGACAACCATCAGTGCATTCAGATACTTCAGATAACATTTAACCAACCGGTGCATCTTTTTTTGCAGTCGTGCAATTTTAACCACTCTCCACTTTGTTTTCACATATTTGACTAAGTCCTCAAACAGCTGCCCAGCCAGTAGATTGTACGAGTGTTTGTGCCAGTTGCCTACAGTTTGAATAATGTGATACCCAGGCCGCAACAATGAAGTGCATTGCAGTCTTTTTATAACGCTGCTGCAAAATCCGGCTTTACAGGGTGCGACAATCACAGAGAAAGCTTTCTCAATCCTGATTAACGAACATGTAAATACACTGCTGCCCACCAAGAACCTGGTGTTTGAAAGATATGTAGCCCCCCAAAAAACTGAGTCCTCAAGTTGTGTCAATTAACTTTACTAGGAACTATTTTTCCTTAATCCAGTGATTTTTTTCACTTGCTGCTCATTGGAGCTAAAATTAACAAGCACAGAAATTTCCCGCTTCGCTTGTTGAACTTTCAGCCTCCTACTGTATGAGTGAGCTGTGATAATGCTGCTTCTCCGAGAACTGTGGAAAAGGCTGTGAGGCTGTGAGGCTGTGAGGCTGCGAGGCTGCGAGGCTGCGAGGCTGCGAGGCACAATTCAAGTGTTAAGGGTGCTAAACATAGATGCTGTTTAGAGGAGACCATCATCATTAGGCAATTCTCTTTGAATTAGGGGAAGAGCTGAGGGAGAAAACACACTGAGAAAAAAAAAAAAAAAAAAAATTTCAAGCATTTTTCCTGGATGTAATAAGGGGGAAGTATATTATGCAATATGGGGGGTTTGTAATGATGGTTCCTGGACCAGACTTTCTCAGGGAATCTCACCAATCATAGCTTCACTCCACTGCTGTGTATCTGCATCATCTGTACATGCACAAGTACAAGAATTGTGTCAGTACATGCATGATTTGAAATCTACTTTAAATGCTCACATGCTGGCCTCAGAGATAGATGACTTGTTACTTTCTTCTGCTCTGTGTTTTGCTATGTTGATGCAAAACAGAGCAGCACTGAGCACATAACAGATACACTGACCTGATTTTGTAATAAGTGAACAGCAAGACTGTTTGAAGTTATTAATCTTGCCAAATGGTTCAGTGGGGCTGCATCTGTATTTTATAACCCGAGGTCAAATATCAAGAGTCAAATGAGGAGCTTGTGCTGTATATGAATTCCTCTCCTGGTGCAGACCTGCTGGAGTGTGATAAACTGGAGCAACAGGCACACACACATACACACACACACTCACATACGCAGCAGGGCCTTGCAGGGTTGTCAAGTGGCGACCAAGCTCTCCTCAGACCACTGGGGGCAAATCTAAGTCAGCCTGGATCCCTCTCGGTTCTCAGCAGATAGTGCAGAGCAGCAGAGAGGCAGCTCTCCGCCTGGAGCCGTGCATGGAAGTGCTAACATGCAGTGCAGAAAATGCTCAATTTAGGGAGAAGAGGATGAAAGAGGGAGTTCTGTGCTGCAACTGGGAGATTGCATGGGGGATATATATTGATGCCTGGGGTGAGTTTTTATGCACACAAGCAATAACCAACAACCAAAGAGTGTAACAGCTCCAGTGAGACTCACCAGCAACAAACTCAAAGCACAACCAGAGCCGAGCGTCTGATCCTTTTGTTTTGAACATGGTGAGCGTGAGCAGGTGTTTTACAGACTCTGGTAAATAAACATGGCACATGAGGAAGAACTTATTCATCGCCAGAGAAATGAATAACTTGCTCAAGAGCTCCCAGTCGCTCTCTTGCTTACTCAGCGTGTTGATTAAAAGGAAGTACGAACAGCCACCTGCAGAGAGAGTTTCAGACTGATTCGGCCCTAAAGAGCAGGAGGTGTATAATTAGAAAGACATGGAAGCAGAGGAGGGAGGGTGAGGGACGCTGTCTCACTTCAAGTGAAGATTGTTTGGCAGTAAAATGGATCATTGAGATGCAACTTGAGTCCAGTGTGTTTATTTTGTCTTTTGAGCCTTTACTGAGAGGGCAGAGCAATGCTGGTGCAATGGGCCAGCAGCCCAGTGTAAGCTATACCTGAATTTAAGAGGCTATGTCCACATTAAACCATGCACTGAAAATAAGGCTGCCAACACACATATTACAGAGCACATCAGAGGATATGATTCAAGTTTCAACCAAAAGTCAGACCTGGGATGAAATGAAGGCTCCAACCAGCATCACGTTCACCATCAGCTCATCTCATGCCTTCGCTGGAGACTGAGCAATCACACCTGATGGCGTCTGCACAACAAGCCTTTTGAGACGGGCCCTGCATTTTGTGCAGCATGGGAAAACAGTAATTGCCCTCCTTGTCAGGCTGTGTCATTAAGTCAGGCGAAGTGAAACATGCCATCCGGTTAAAGCGATAGGACACACAAGAGGGGAAAAATGCTCGCCGCTTGGGTGGCGGGGACCAGTGCTGAATGCCAAATAATTCAGCTGTTTACAAAGTTGAGGGACGGATGAAAGCACCTGGGCGAGAAGAGTGGAACTGTGAGGTGACTCGGTCAGGCTGATTGTAGAGAGGCTGGCAAATCAATATGATGAGACAAAACAGCCTTCTACAGACGATATGGACAGCGAGCAAAGAGGGGGAGAAACGCAGAGAAATCTGCCTTTACAGTTTGTTAGAGTTTGAGGAGACTGAAATGACAATTTACCACTTTAATTTCAGATTGTTGTTGTTGTTTTACTGATAAGGCTCTGGAACCTGCTGTATCACGCTACTGATGAAGTTAGCAACAATCAACAGCCAGGGAGAAGATATTCCCTCAGTTGTAGTTCTGCACCAAAAAATAAAAAAAAATTTAAGTGAATATTGGACTTACATCAACAAAGATGCCAACCTAAGATATAGACAACTACAGACTACAGCAGCAGTTACACACAAATGACATCAAACAAAGCTACTTATAGTTAGCAATGTATAGCAGCGGTGATTGGCAGCAAGTAACAGCCAGAGAGGAGATGCTTTCTTTTTTTGTAGTTGTTCTGTTTAAGACCAAAACAGAGCCAAATTTATGTGAATGTAGAGCTAACCAGAGCTCAAACAAGTCAACAAACAAGGCTGTGCGTAAAGAAATCTGTTTATAGGAGCAGCAGTTAGCAGCTGCAGCTGGACAGCAAACATTTTCCTTAGTAGCTAGCTCTTCAAGAACAAGGCTGAATTTCAGTGAAAATTGGACTTACATCAACCAGGTTGTCAAAAAAAAGTCACAGACAAAGTTAGCAGCTCATAGCAGCTGTTTGAGACTTCAACAAGGCCAAAGCAGAGTGAAAATTAGACTTATATCGACCAGATTGGCAGCTGGAGCTCCAAGCCCCAGCTTCATACTTCACCACACTTGCTCGACAATCTTACTTGGGCTCTATTTTCATGCCTTGCCGACGGTGTGGTGCAGGCACAGCGTAAGTCAGGTTCGCAGTGCCAATGAGGCGTGCCCAAGCACACTGGTATTTTTGTGAACAGCACAGCCCGGCATAAGTATCCCCCCAGTAGCAGAGAGGGAGGGCATAAGGTGTGGAGTAGGTTTAACATAGCCGAGTCCCGTGTCCACCAATCACATCAGCTCCTCTCCTCACTTTTAAATCCGCCACCAGCAAGGCATATTACAATTTTCATGAAGTAGTGGAAGAGATCAAGGGATGGCTGAAGACAGCAATACCACACGATGGGGTCAGAAGGCAGCCCCTTAACAAGTGTTGCTGTAAGCTCTGCGGAGGGCATCCTCCACACTGTCTCATATAAGAACAGATGGATTTGGTGTGTGTAAGGTTGGACCCACGAGTAAGACAAACACCTTTTTCCACAAATAAAGACACCCACATCAAGTTGCATTTATTAAACTAAAATAAATTTATTCAAATAAAATAAATAATCTGGTCAGACTTGCAGCCGTAGCAGCAGGGCGGGGAGAGGACAGAGACATGTCCGGGTTGAGCTGCGCGAGAAAGAAGAGGACGAGAAAGCGAGAGAAAGGGGGCACACAAATTAAATATCTTGTCAACTTCATCATGTGTGACTATTTATTTACTGGATATTCAATGCGGTTTCAGCTGTGTTAATTTGGTCAGGTTGGGTGTCCATTATGTGTGTCAAAATTTACTCCGCTACATGTAAGAGTAGCCCAGTCAATACGTTACTCAAGTAAGAGTGAAAAATTACTTTCTTTTAAATGTACTTAAGTATTCAAGAGTAAATGCTTTTAAATGTAGTTAAAGTAAAAGTTAGAGTAAGAGTAAATTCCAATTTTTTCACATGAATAGAAAGGTATGGGCACTGCTTCGCAGGTGCGCCATCCTACACCGTGCTGCCGGTGGCCACGAAAATAGAGCCTTCTGTGAGAGTAAATTAAACTTTTTAATTAACATAAGGCTTCATTTTTTTTAACTCTGTGTGTTAACCTCTCCTGTATTTGACCTCTTCCAGTGAGCTCTGACTGTTGATGCTTAAGTGTCCTGACCGAGTCTGAACATTCCAACATGCCATGGTTTGTCTAGAATGTGCATCATTTAGAAAAAAATCATATTTGATTCGAATCAAAACTTTGATCGGTCAGATATTTCACAGCTCTCACAGAATTTTCCAGAAAAGCATGATTTTCAGCGAAAAAAACCTTCAACTACATGCGACTTTCTTTCTGCAGGACCTCAACGAAAGAGTTAAGACGGGACTTCTTCAAAAGAGTGAGAATTCAGCAGTTTTTATACAGTTGTGTCGAACATTTTGCTATCATGAACAGAATGTGACCAATGTTAGCTTTGGCCTTGAGATTTTTTCATTTTGTAAATAAAATAATAACCAAAGACTACAGAGGTAAACCAAAAGCTGCTGTAAGCACGTTTTAACAAAATGAAATTATTTCTTGAATGATTTGCGGTACAGTTTTATCATATGTAACCTGCAGTCATTTTAGTCGCTAACAGTATGTTGGTGTCGTATTGTCACATTGAGACTACACATATATTTGATAAAAAAAGAAACAAATAAAAAGTCATATTACTTGCCAAATACAGTGTGTTAGTACAACAAAATGTAATTTTATACCAATTGAACGCTATTTCTGGTATATTAATAGTAAAATCTTTATTTTCTCAGTACAAAACTGATTCACCAGTATATCCAACATGGCCGACCGGCTGATTGTTTACGTGTCAGAGAACTGAGTGCTTTTTGATAAAAGACACAAACATTACAAAGATAACAACCAGAAGGATAGTTTGTGTGCTTTAACAGTTTGCTAAACGTCTTTGTTTTAACTTTCACCTATGTTAAGTAACTTTAGCTCGTAAGCTAACCTGTTCAGATACAACATACCATATGTATTTTCACAGTCTCAAGCTCAATCACGTTGCTGTCACAGCATCATTAGGTCTCGGTTGATACCTTACGTTTATGGATTATAGTTTAATGTGCTGATCTGGTACTGGACCTGACTCAGTATATGCTGTCATAACAGACAGACATCTCAACACTAGTGTCTGATCAGAGCTGAAATACAGTCAGTCCGCTGTTGTGTCAGTCTTCTCGTTTCCACCCGAGATGGAATGCGTCTTTTTTTCCCCCAGAAAGTCGCGAAATTGCATCGGGCTTGATGTGTATAGTCAGGCGCCTCAAAATTCGCCAATTTCGCGTTGTATATTTGCACTGGTCCCGGTGTGTAAGGACCAACATTTGCACTTTAAGTTATTCTGTCCCCACCACTGTTTGCATGATCATGATTATTATCTTCCAAGGTAAAGACTTGACCATCTAGATTTAATAAAACTAATTACGGCTAGTTTAAATGTTATTTGTGTTGCTAAGACATATCAATTAAATACACCTTCCCAACAGTTTATTAAAACCAAGAAAATACTTTAATAAAATGAAACAAAACAAATTAACATTTAACGTAATTCTCAACATGCAAACACAGTTAAACTTCAGATCACTCACATGAATGGAAAGGGTCACATGAAACAACAAAAAAAATAGCATAAAATCCTCAAAAAAACTTTTTTTTCCAAACAACAAAAGAAATCATACATCGAACTTTTAAACAAAGTATAAGGATAAGCCATCAGTACAGCAAGCAGTCTCTATTCTTTGATGACAGTGCAAAGGCTTGTTTTGTCAAAAACCTCTTCAGTGAATGACGAACAGCTAGACCTGCAGCTCATTCTCATCTGTTTTGCCACCAGTGAGGCAGTTTGAAAGGCCTGGAAACAGTTTTCTGAGGAGGAACATGAAGCTGTTCAAGAAAACACCTTAATGATAAACGTAAATAAGACTGCGCGGTGCAGGAAAGAGTTGTTTTGACAGTGCGAGACAAAGAATCAAAGCAGGCTCCATTATTACCGCTAACTGCCTTCACACATGTCACATAGTGACAAATAATGCTGGAAAACAGTTGTAATTGGTTTATGTGGGAAACTGATTAAATCTGATGAGTCTGTGTGTATGTTTGTGTTGTGGGGGAACAGTGTGTGTAATGAAGAGTAAGAGGCCACACGTCAAACTCAACTGAGAAGCACCAGGTAAAGAAACAGGGGGATGAGAAGGAGGGTGGATGGATGGAGAGATAAATGAACAGATGGGAGGTGGGTGGAGAGGGGTGGGGGAATGTTTCACGCAGCCGACCGTCGACGGATGATAAACGCTCCCCTCTGCAGCTGTCCCAGGTAGATCCTCATCTTTGTACTGTCGCTCGTCTTTCTCACCCAAATCTGGAGAAAGTAAACAAACACAGATACCATTGCTCAGTGTGGACGTTCAGAAAATTACAGAGGAGCTCTGATTCCATTTTTCTCCACTGGTACTGATTCATATCAGGTCCATAAATGTAAACATGTTTTTATTTTGCAGCTTCAAATTCCAAAAACTGAACGGTTCAGACATGATACTATTGTTGTTGCTGCCTCGCTGAGGTCAAACCTTGGGGAAAAAAAACAACAGCTTCATTCAGCATCCAACTATATCTCATGTGTTGCAACATATTTCTTTTGTTATCTGGTTGAACAGTCAGTCATACCGACAATAAAATAAACACAAAAATAAATAACCTTGGAATAAATAACTATTTGGTCTCCGGAGGATTTTTTTTAGCAACCCCTCTCTCCTTCTGGGTGAACTGCCAGTGACGTTGTTTGTCCAGAAGGGGGAAACATTCACCCATACCTCACCATTTCAAACTGCAGCCTGGCAAGCTTCACACACAGCAGGAAAACCACAGTAGAAGTATTCCCTCATAGATGATGTTTCATCCTCAGCCAGCACCATGCAGGTGTGTTGCTTTTGCATGTGATAACTTAAAAAATTATTTCAAAGATTGTCTAGTGTTTTTGTACATAGGGTACAGTATTTTAAAACTGAGCTAAACCTAAACCCTACATCTAAATTTTTTTTCTTGCTTTTGCCCCTTTGAGTCACAATCAGGCCCTGGACAAACAGCAGACTTTATGTTTTTCATGACATTAAGCAGTTGAAGTTGATATAAAATGTTCTCGCTTTTTATGCAAATGTGTAGGTTTGCAAAATATGAACTGAGTTGCTCTTGACCAGAAAAATCCAAAAAGTTAAACTTTACTTGAGTGACAGATACAAGGCTTTCCTGTAACCATAGCAACTCAGAGGGATTGGGGGTAACTGTGCTCTAGAGCAGCTTATCACTGGGGGAAAAAGTAGCTGTCAATTTCCTGAAACAGCTGGGTGCTGTTTGTGTGTATGTTTTTGCAATTGTCACTCAGACAGAAGCGAATATTACATTCATTAGGAGACCATTCTCAGCTGCTTCTTATTAACACATTTGGCGCTCTGGTGAGATTTTACATCAGCATAGTGGCGTGTGTGGCACTCAGTCAAAACAAACCGCAGTGAGTTTGTTTGTGGGAATAAAGAGTCTTTTCAGACTGGCTGTGATGATCGTACTGATGCGGTTTTAATGTCTTTTTGGACAAAAATGCAGCCACACTGCACAGAGGAATGAAATACAGCAGATTTAACTGAAGCTGCAGGGACAATATCAACATCTAGTATTTTTTACAGGATTTGAAATCAAAAGGAAAACACAGAATCCACTGGCCTTATATCTCTAGAAAGAAGCGTATCCAGTGCAACAAGACTGAAAGTGAACTGAAGCTCACCTCATTGGTCCCCACGGAGCTGATGACACAGCTTATCTTCGTGTTGTCCTTAGACTCCAGGTAGATGGCCTGGCTCTTGTGGTACCTGCCAGCGACAAAAACATTAATTCAGCATTCAAGGTGAGCAACCGAGGGATGAGCGTAAGTGCAGACAGGAGAGGCGTTCATTATCTGTAATTTCACCCAGCTGAATAAACCGCATTCCTCCTGAGATGGCACTAAATAGATAATTGGAGTGGAGAGTCAAAACAAAAAGTCTGTCTTTTTTTTTTTTTTAATGGCTGCAAATTGTCAGAGGACAAAGACAACTCAGGGGGAGCAATGTTTGATGATTAAAGGCGTGCTGAAGTCTGATGACGCAGGTTTCACCCTGCAGCTCCTTTGTGAAGGCTTTCTGTTGCTTGTGTCTTCTTTAGGGAACAATAAAGGAGACTTAGCCTTGGTGGAAAAGTGCACGTATCTCATAGTTTGCCCCTCTTAACTTCATTTGTCCATATGAGACACTTGTGAGGTTTTTTGACCCTTTTCCTATGACCTTATGTTCTGAGTCTTGTTCTTCTTTTTTATATAAAGCTCTGCTCTTGAACAGAAGGACATCAGGGTCGTGTCTGGTCATGGATTTGTATTCTCTTTATCTCTGCGTCACAGCATGGCAATGCGCCGGTTTTAATGCAGTCACCTTCTCTGAATGTCTTGTTTTTATGGTAGCTTTAAGCACTGGCACTTTTTCAGTGGCCACCAAGAATGAACTCCTTCCACAGCCAGGACAAACACAGACATTCATCACAGAGGTTTAAAAATGTCTGTTTAGGATGAGCCACACAACTTCAGTACTAATGACAATGTGGCCATCTAGTGGTCAGACAAGCTGTGGGAAGAAAGTGGGGAAAGCGCTCCATTAAAGATGTAATTATTAATCTTTTTTTTTTACAATCCTGGAGATCCTACAATCAGGTCTTCTTTAAACATCTAATATCCATCTTCCCCCTCCTTTCTGTTAAGACACCTTTACTGTGTTAATTTTTTTTTTAAAGAAAGTTATGATAAACGCCCAAAACTTTTATTTCCATGACAAAGACGAGAAAGTAGATCAAAGATGACAAAAACTGACGCGTTGTTTTCCTTGACGGGACAATGAGGCGGAAATGTTTAACGTGGACAGTCGGACATTTTAACTTGATCATCATTTTCCCCTCTGAGGCTCTAATCTGTCACTCCAAATATGGGCTATTTTCCATTTTTGCAGTTTTTACTGTTGACAGCCTTATATGGAAACCTCATTTCAGTCTTGTTTGGAAATATATTTAGTCTGAAGCTTTGTTATAGCGCTCGACTTTAAATCACCAAAGATGAAGATGCAGCTGAGAGAGCAGCGAACTGAGTGTCGGTCCAGTCTGCCTGTCCATGGGCGTTTCTTGGACTCTAGGACATTAAGGGTTAAGCCTCCCTGGACTCCCTCAGCCCATCCCATAAAATGAAGAAGTTAGAGAAAATAAATACAGCCACAGTGGCCACAGAAGGAACTCTTTTTCTCTTGACTTGGAGTAAAGATCAGTCGTCCAAATGTCCTTAGCCAATAAGCAGAGATAGTCTTGCAGAAAAAGAGCCACAGACTGCTGACTGCTTGAGGAGTAACCTCTGTATACGAAGTATTCATGTAGACACAAGGCTCAAAACGAGACTGCAATGGTTTGACTTTTCATGAACTAAAACCAGACTGGTGCTAAAATGTGACAAAAACTACAAAGTGTTTTAGTTGAGAGACTGATTTAGACAAACTGGACGCTGGTTTTGTTGTTAAACTTGTGCCCCCTCTCTGTCAGTGTGCTAAGTGTGTGAACATTTCTGTCTCTCACCATCTTTTGTCATAGTAAAGTTTGCCCTCCTCGATGCGGGCCTCGTAACGTTGTGAGGGGCTCTCCATGGGCGCTGAGGGGACGTGCTCTGGAGACGAGGGAGACACTGGAGAGAGGAAAACATGGGGTCAGTATCTGTGTGCAAAACGTAGGTATGGATTATATAATGTTCTTATATTGTTAAAATGTTATCAATGATTCATTTCAATGATCAAATGAACTCAGACTTGAGCTTATTCACTGAGGGGCACAACACCATTGTTCTTCGATCTCTATTATATTAAATCAAATTGGTTGATTTAGCTCAGCAAAAAGACTGACACAGGTAACCGTACCTGCCTATGAGCTCTGAAATAAGGGTGTTTGTTTTCTTTTCACATAAAAGGCTAGAAGTAAAATGACATGTAGCTGTGTGATGGAAGAAGTTAAATGTTTATGAACTTTTTGATCAGGATGCTTTTCTAAGGTTTTAGCGACGCCACGTTGGCAGAAAGTAACTCCTTCTGTGTGGCTTACTGACCAATAAAGCATTCTCTGTATTTATCTTTTTTTGATTTATTTCACTAAATAAGCTTCTGTTAGTTTTCAAACTTAACCACACTCATAAAAACGCTGCAAAACATCTGAAACAGGTTTATTTCCCTAAATCCAATGAAAGCTCATCACACATCACAATAGGAAAGTAGCAGTAAAAGATGAAAGTCCACATACCTGGCCGTTTTGGTGACTTGAGCTGAAGAAAAGAAGATGTGAAAATTAAAAGACAAAATTATGAATTTGTTCTTCTATACAGTGTAATGATAAGACAATAAAAACAGAGTTATTACCTTGTTAAGTGTTCTTAGATCTTCCATTATCTGTTCATCTGTTAGCAAATAATTTAGCTGAGGTGTGAAGAATTAAGGAAGATTTTTAAGCACAACGTAAAGGAGGGAATTCTACATTAGCAGGAACCAGCTGACCTTCAGAGAAGCATAACACATTAAAGAATATCCTCATGACAAAGTCAACCAAAGTGACTCATGGGAAGGATATCTGGTGCAGGTTTTCTTCGTTTGTCTGGTATTGGGACCGGATCGTTTGGCCGTCTCCTCAATTTCCGGGTCATGATCGGTTTTACCTCCATGGAGTCTGTGAATGAAAGAAGAAACGACAAACGGAGCTTCAAAAGTTAGATCAAAACTGTAGAAAATTTCTCCTCAAACAGCACTTTTGATTTATTAAAAGAACATGAAGAGTTAATTCAAGCAGACACAGAAGAATGTAATAAATGTAACATCTGAAAGTAGTCCTGCTTTAATGAGACGGCTTAATCTGAAAATGTGAGGACAGAAACTTCTCACTTCCGCCCACATACTTTTTTAAGCTCGTTTCTTTCTCTTCTGCTTGGTGAGTCCCTGATTAATAATCCTGTTCTGGCTGCCTTACCGCCTGTCAGCTCCATTGTTAATTTTTCGTTCTCGATCATCTTCTTCTTCTCCTCCAGCTCTGCGATTAAGTTTTCCTTCAGCTCCACCTTTTTATCATCAAACTCCTTCACCGCCGCCTTCTTCTCCTTGATGTAGTTTCTTTCCACCTGCTCCGTCTGCAGGAGGAAACGAAAAAAAGAATATGATTATCTTGTAATGTGAAAAGTAAGCAAAATTGAGAAAGATGAGTTATACTCACCTCAAGCTGGAGAAATAGATCTGTGAAGAGAGGACAAACACAGCTGGTCACGTCAATATGCAACTAGAGCTTTAGGTCAATGTCGAAAAACTCTAAACATCATTTAAGACTGTGACCCTGGTAATGAAGGATGCATTTAAAACTCCTTTTACCCTTTTAACATATTTGTGTGATTGAGTCATCAATCATTCCTGAATGCAATCACTGTACTCTATTACTGTGGGCTAATCACCAGAGAATTGAGCGATTTTTCCTGAAGATGTATTCTAGTCAGAACCAATTTAATCATTCTTCCTGGCAAAAAAAAAAGCAACATGACACTTTGGAAATGCAGCCAGAGCAAGAAAATGCAAGTCACTGATGTAAGGGGTAGAGATTCAAGGATCATTTCAAAATCTAAATGGATAAAAACAGACGTGTTTCTGTTATTTTTACATTCGGGGTTAAACAGGTTCAATAAAAGCTTCATAAAGAACTCTGTGAGGGCCAACGCTGGTTTTAAAATATGTATAAGCAGTTGGATTTAAGCAAGAGTTGATTTTCTTTTGTTGCCAATGTTCTCTTCTGACTGTCCAAACAAGATTTAAGCGGAGAGCGGTCCAAAATTTAAATAATCCACGCCAAACATGGCTGCTGAAAATGCAACAGAGGCGAAGCAGAGAAGTATTACATTCTTATTTTTAGATTTTGCTAAACTTGCCTGCATTTCGGAGTCTCTCCTTGTACTGCTGGTCCAGCTTCTTCATCCTCTTCTGATACTCCTGCAAAGTACCTGTGAGGAAGAAGTAAAATGCAGCAGGAGTAAACACCTATTGAACGGCGACTTATGTTGAAGATTAAGACCTGTACGCCATTATCCAAGCATGACTTATATGGGAGCTCTGATACAAGCTGTTTCCTCAAAACCTGTCATCAGTGTTTCTCCACAGCTCCAAAGACCTGCTACTCTCATCACCCACCCACAGTGTAGACTAGATTAGACTGACACTGCGCCTACGTTTGGATTAACACAGAGCTCTCAACAAGCCACTCAACATCAGTTTGAGAAATTAAAAACTCATGGACTAAAGTGCCTTAAAAAAGCCTGCCAAGCTTTCAGGACTCGGTTTGCTTAAGTAAACAACAGACATCTCTTAGGACTGAATGAAAGCAGGTCTCTATGGCTTATGTTTGTTGTCGGGTACCAATGATGTAATCTCTCACCCCCAAGGATCTCAAATATAAATGAATCCCCATCATGCGTAAACAGATCCAACCCTGCAAAGTCAGTCGTCACAGTTTCAGTCATAAAAAAGCAGTTATTACCTTCTTGCAACTGCTGCAACTGTCTTTTCAGGGAGGCCAGCTTGTCTTGGTACATTCTGCAGTGAAATAATAAACCAGAGCTTAAAATATCACCTTGGCTTTCACATGGGCGAAGATTCAAAACTTTCACCTTCAAGTGAGTTTTATTGAGGTCAAAACAGCTGATCCATGGTTGGCACAAACACTTACTGCTCTTTGATTTCAACGTAGTCATCCTCGTCGTGCTTGGCGAGGTCTGTCTCACTGGCGTCTTCCGTGTCTGGAAAAAAAGGGGGTACCACAGGTCAGGAGGAGGTAGAGATTTATATTTGAAAACTATTCTGGTCAGGATAAGAACATAAACCATGAATAAACATGTTGTAAACGGTTTCATCTTCATCAACTGACTCTTTTAAACTAACTGGTTTGACTTAGAGGTTTTTTATAACAATTTGCGAATTAAAGTAAATTTTCAAAAGTGGAGTATTGATGCAGTTAAGGGTCTCCTATCACTGCTGTAACACAGGATTTTTGTGTTGGTATGACTGTTGTATTAATCCAGAGTTTTTTGACTGTAATACTTGATGTAATGGACCTGAATCTTTTCCACTGCTTACATTTGAATGCGGGAGGAAGGAGGGGTGCGCTACATAAAACAAAATGAGTGAGACATAGCAGGCAGCTCAGTATTTGTGTAACCTTGATTTTCATGATGTTGTGTAACCAAAATCATACTTAAATTACAATCAGATTACTTGTCCAACCCTGCAGCACATTAAACTCTGATGCTCTGTGTGTTCTGCCAAGTTCTCCATCAGAACCACAATTCAAGCTCCTATGAGGAACTTCCAGACAATGCACTCTTGGCTTATTTTGTCTTCCACATGCTCAAGTCAGAGTCTATATACCAAAAAAATCTCACCCTGCTGACTTTAACAGTCAAATGTGTCACTTACTGTCAATATTTTTGATGGTAACTGTGAAATAAGGGTTGTTTCCTCAGCTGCTCATCTCACACCTACCCCCTCATACTGGTTTCAGACATTATATAAGTCCCCAATAGATTTGTTTGCTTTTGAATATCATGAAAATGCATCAACATGAAACTTTAAGATTTTTTCGTAACTTTAACCAGCAGCTCTTACATGGGCTTACAGTTATTATTCCCCACATGAGTGAGCCTTGGCTGCTCATGTTTAATGTCACAGATTCAAGAGTTTCCCTTCCTTGAACCACTGTTGGTTGGTCCTGGAGACTGCAGACCTGAAACACTTCAGAAGAGCTGCAGTTTTGGAGTCGTTCTGACCCGGCGGTTTAGCCATCACAATGTAATTCTTCACAAAGCCGCTTGCAACCTTACCATTTCCCAACAAATAAACTATTTTTTAGTTTAATTTACACTTGCTGCCTTTCATATCACACCCACTGACAGGTGCCTTTATCACAAAGTAGGGCTGGGCGATATGGGAAAAAGTTTATCACAGTATTTTTTTTTTTTTCATACCAGTCGATATTGATATTTATCACAATATAAAAATTGAAATTTAGCAGTGCTTATTGGTAGCATGTCTTTTGAATTACAATAAGCTTCTGCATCTATGAGGTCTTTGGGTCTCTTGGTCAGCTGTTTCGGCTGCACAGGCGCCATGGGCTCCTTGCTCCTCTAAGGGTTTGTAAACTCTTGCATTTTGCGTGCTCTGCCGCGTGGCACTGCTTCAGGTGGTGAAAAAGATTTGAGGTATTCCCTGACTTTGCGAGAACATGTACTTGACATGATTTGCAGTGCACATTACTCTGCTTCATGTCCGACCTCAAAAAAACAAAATACCTCCACACCACAGACGTTTTCATGCCAGTGTTGTCGACGATGTCATCATCTGTTGAGCCGTCATCCACATTTCTGTGGGGGGTACCACTCTTTTTTTTTCTCACTGACAGTGCTGTCGGCTTCACCTTTTAAAGTGCTATAGTTGTGTGTAGCTGCAGTCTGCTACTACACAGTTGTTTGCTACTTGGTTCTAATTCAGCACATGATTGGTTCAATGTGGTGCAACCTGGAGCAACTCCCCTTTTCATTGGCTATTTGTATAGTCTACCAAAACATGGCAGAATGCAGACTATCGAAAAGCAAATCGACCATGTTTTATATTGATATTGAGGGAAATTAATTTTTGATATATTGTTACCTTTTTTTTTTTTTATTCATCTTTTAGTCAGACACATACAGAGAAAAACATATACACAACACAAATATGAGTCTGCAGTCCAGCAAAAACATACAAACAAGCCAGGCTTACACCAAAAAATAAAAATAAAAATAATAATACACCCTAGAAAGTCTACGTAGTATACATGTATATGGTGAAATACAGTATCCTGCATTAAAAACATACAAAAAAGAAATATTATGCAGAGGTAGGCAGTGTGAATCTTTCTCAATCTCAGGAATGGGCTCTATATATCATTAAACGGATCCTCCCTACCAGCCACTCTATAAGAGATCCGCTCATAGCCTGCCATTGAGCTCAGTACCCCTATCCACTCCCTAAAAGTGGACGAGGTCGTAGATTTCCAGTGGTTTTCTGCGTTTTCACATTTGGATATTATCTGGTATTAAACCCAAAAGACATAATGGAGGGTTTCTGATCAAGAGTGTACCCTATATCATTATCATTTTATGGCCCAGCCCTATCACAAAGTAACCCAATATTCACGTGACCTGTCAGTGGTCATTATGTTACAGCTGATCAGTGTATTTCCCATCTTGTACTCAGGAGTGAATGCGTGAGTGATCATTTTAATGTTCTGTACTTTAAAGATTTAAAAGCTTCCCGGCACTAGACAAACAGACAGACAGCTGTGTGGGTGGATAGACGTGCGTGGCACTGTTAAGGTAATGGTGAACACCCTGCCTGGGAATGCCCTCCGGTGAGTTAGACTGAAAAACCAGGGAACATCCAAGTTTGCCATGATGGATCATGTATTGTACTGTCATCTCGGCTTTAGATTAAGAAGTTCTGCTACGGTGTGGGGATGAATTTTAAGTCTACAATGCAACGATCGAGGGGGGTTTTGCAGTTATTTGGAGCTTTTGCCGCATGCTCTCCGGCTAACTTGCTTGTCAGCCCACCGGCAACTCTTTCCGGACGAAGCTAACGCGATGAGGTAGACTTGGAAGCGGAGGTTGACCGACTATGTCTTAGTTTTACAATCAACCCTTTACAAGAAAGGACACGGTCAGGCCCGGTCACCGAGCTGAATCAGCAGCTTTCATTTTCGGTTAGCATATACGCGCTAGCTTTAGTTAGCTGAGCCTGCTGTTAAAAGAGTAACCCGACCACTGCCCGATCAGTCAAACGTATCAAAGACGGTTATCATCTACGGAGGTGGACCAAACGGGTCCAGCTGGTCGCTTTAAAGGAAATGTCATGAAACCAGCCCACCTTGGAGTGCTGTCATCGCCTTGATATCCTCCTGTCTTTCTTTTCTTTCACTGCAATCCGTCCTGTCTCGCTGATCGGTGTGGAAAGGGGGGCAGAGCAGTGGACTCAGGACGCAGAGTTTCAGCTGCCAGCCGACCCGTCAATGATCGGCGCTACTGCTGCGAGGCTAATGTGGGCTACTTAGTTCCCCATACGTGAGATAAAAGCCGACAGTTGCATTTAAAAACTCGAGACATATTTAGTTAAGGTTGGTGTGCGATGATTTATCACATAATAAATCAGCTGGGTCGGGAAACGTGGTGGACGCTGTTGGATCACGTTACCAAAACAGCACGTTAGCTAGTTAGCCCGCCAGCGCATATCGGTGCTACAGCTTGTACTAACCAGCACTCCAGCATTAAATATAAGGGAATTACTTTTTCTGTAAAGATGGAGCATACCATCAAAGATTAATCCATTTCCAACCCCAAACGCTCCAATCTTAAAGTAGCAGTATTTACGCAACAATCGCGCGTTTCCGTTTCTTCTCCATCAATTAGACCTAGCCCAAGCTTCACTTGGTTTATAACCTTACCTTCCTCTGAGTCTCTCCCTCTGAAGCTCCGATCATCATCGTCGTCCACGCTATCAAGCTCTTCTTCATCATTGTAATAATCCACCATGGGTGAGAGTAAAGTCGAAGCCATTTGATCGCTTGGAAAATGTAAACAAACACAAAATAAACAATCGATTTGTGTTTTGCAGCTCGCTTGGAACAGCGCCTACAACCGGCAGGACCTCATAGCTTCAAGCTGCCTGAAGACATGCCTGTAAAAGTTTAGTGGTATATAAATCTATGATATCCAGATAAAATCATTTCCTTTGACATGTGCGAACAATTTGAAATAAAACCTACAGTAAATATTAGCTGTTAGATCTTAGTCCATTTTCGGGTATGCTTGGGAAACTTAAGACAATCATTTAGAAAGGCATATTTTTCTCGGTCAAGCCATCCGCTCCTCTTTTTTTCGTAGTCAACAGTCGCGCTTGAAATTTAAGTGCGCATGTATCAGGGTGATTAAGGTAAACGCTGGGACGCCGGTGCGAGTAGGTATAGGGGAGAGTGGGGTAAGTTGAGCCCAAGGGTAAATTGAGCCACCCCCTGTTGCTTGAAAATGGTAGAAGAAATTGATCATGTGACAAAATATATAGGAGATGGGCATCGATTCATGGAGTCTGTGACGGTTAGAAGCACATGGGTGAAGAGGTTAGACATTTATCTCCAAAAAGACATTTTTCATTCTTGAAAGTGAATTGAGTGTGTCATAAGTTTTATTAGCATTGTGTTCAGACCAAAAAAGATCATTTTAAATTTGTTTTATACATCAATTGTGGTATCTATGAGCTACAACAAGAGGTCAAAAACCTTGCATTAAAGTCCACAATTTTAGCTTAGAGGACTAATAAAGTCATAATTGAAGTTCTGGGTTAAGTTGAGCCAGTGACTCAACTGAGAAAGTAAAGGAGTCTGATGAGAGGATCAGAGTTTCAGTTCACATTGTTGAAATGTCTTACTTTTTCTTTTCAAAAATACAGCTTTGAATGTTCTGAATCACTTTAAGACATCCTCGTGTTAAAATGGCTTTTTACAAAACAGCTTTTTAGCAGTTACTCTACATGCAATAATAATGAAAATAATTATTGTACCAGTTGAATAGCGAATAATAGATAAAAATACATATGAATACAAAGAAGTGACTGTTATTTAGGGAGAGAAAAGGTAAAGAAGGGCTGGTGTGGAGAGTGTGTGGGGGATAATCAGGATACAGCAGACTGCTGCCTCTCAATGCATCAGTTCTGGATTCAAATCCCGGACTGGAGCATGTCATGGCACGATGTGATAAAGGATAAAAAGCGCTGTACTCACCTTGATGTTAAGTTGTGATATTTTTCAAACATTCTCTGTTAGAAACAGAAGAAGAAAGAAAAATAAAAACACAATGATCAACCATTGCATCACTACACTACCACTCAACTGTAGTGTGGTGGAGAAGACTACTGCTCCTTCATCAAAGAATCCTGGTTTCAAATCCTGGACAGAGTCATTTCCTGGTTCCTGTAAGCGAAGAAAAAAACATTTATACTAGCATCTATGTTTAGATGTGTATTTAATTATCATAACCAGAAAATTAAACTATATTGCACCTGGAAAAGCAAGTACTGTCGGGCCAACCTGCAGTGTAGTATTTAAGGCTGCGGCCTCCCCATGAAAGGTTTCTTGGTTCAGAGGCTCTTTATGTGAGCTTGGAGCAATTTCGTTCAAACCAGATAGTTAAAGCTGTGGCTTAAATTGCTGTTTTTAACTTTCATTGTTAAAAAGCAGAGGTAATAAGGCCCTGGAAAAGCAAGTAATGCCTGGCAAATGTGTAGTTTAATGGTGAAGACTGCTGCCTCTATATAAAAGGATTATGAGTTCTTATCTAGGACAGCTGCGCTCTGTGGAGAAAATTGCTGTTCTCACATTACATTTTAAGCTGTGCTTGATGAAAGGTAAAATCTAAAGACTCTAAAAAACAAATAGGATCAGGCTTACCTCTAGTGAAGAGGTTAAGATCCCTGCCTCTCAATGTTGGACTCTGGACTATCACAGCTATCCATGGAAGAAAACTAGGGAATCCCCCTCCTAGAATGTTGTTTAAGAAATGCTTTTAAAGAAACTTATTCAACTGGTGAAATAAAAGGTCCAGAAAAAAGAAGCACTATCAAGCAGTCCTGTGGTGAAATGGTTAAGACTGCTGACTGAAATGGTCCTGGCTTCGATTCCAGGGCAGGGACAGAAGGATGAGGTAGGGAGAGAGTAGGTTTGGGGTAGGGAAGGAAGAAACATAAGGAAGAGAAAGAAGAGTTTAACAAAAAAAAATTAAACTTTGAACAAGAGAGTATGAAGGGGAAAAAGTAAATGGAAAAAGCAGGTGGGAAAATGAAAAGGTTAAAGCAGTCCCACCCTAGAGAGGGGCAGAAGCCTTCTTTCATTCAACCAATCAGAAGCCCCCTTTCAATCAGCCAATCAGGAGGCTGCTTTCATTGGGCCAAATGGAGACCTGCTTCCATCTGGCTAATCAGAAGGCTCCTTTCCACCGGCCAATCAGACTAAAGTGAATTTTGGCTGATAGTAAAAACAGATAAGAATAGTTTCATTATAAAACATTAGCCATTTTCTCTCTGTGTGTCCTGCTATGTATTCTTACAGGTCAAATCTAAAGTAACATCAAGGTAGGTCCTGCACTCATTAATTGTTTGATGAACAGGTTGAACCAGCAGGGGCCATTCACACATGGGCTCAACTAGCAGGGGCTGTCAGTCATTTTCACTGCCATGATCTTGACAACCTGACAGAAGTTCACAGAACTCAAAACAAAATGAAGAATGATCATGTTGTGGCTACATGCTATTGAAGTAGTCAGAACAATGTAATGTTCTAACTACCTTGACAAATTTACATCTGTGAGCTGAAATAACTTAAAATATTAAATATTGCTGATGTAAAGTGAGAATCTGTTTTTTCAGTACATGCACAAATATTGTGATATAGTTTTACTGTCCTGAGGCCTTTTTTACAAACCTTTTCAAGGCCATCACAGAGACATGCATTTTGAGCCTAGAAAGGAAACCTGAACTCACATCTGTATTAACTGTGGTTTTGAATTTTACCAATCAGACAATAAACATTATTACAAACATCTATGTTTGATTGTGTTTTTTAATACTCCTAATCAGAAAATTAAAGTTAAGAGCACCTGGGAAAGCAAGTATTGACAGTGTAGTAGTTAAGGCTTAGTGTTTGAATTTCATCAACCATATTTCACCAATTTGGGTGGAAACCCTAATATTTTTAATCTATACTTGACCTTATAATCAAATCGACACATATCCGTGGGTAATTCTTACTCTTGTAAAGACTTTTTTGGTTTATTGTTATTATCATTGTTGTAGTTGTTGTTTACATGAGCATAGCAATGAAACTGTAACTGCAGCATCCAACTAAGAACAAACAAGTGAATATACTACACCTCATGTGTTCAGCCTGGTTTGTTGGTTTGTTTTAAAAGTGAAAATATGAAGCTTTGCAAAGAATTGACGTATAACTAAAGCTGTACAGTGTGTGTGAAAACTGAACGAGCTAAATAAAATTAAACGTTTTCTTATCTTGATTTTGTCATTTTTTTCTACACAAGTACACTGACTATTATATCCTTTTTGTCTTTTGGATGGACAGGTGATAAATGGGTGGATGAATGAATAAATATCATAACCCTTCTCTTTTCAGAGGTTTTACGTAAACATCAATTTCGGGTTGTATTATTAGGTTTGACTGTGTTTGAGTCGTGATCGGTCCGAAGTTCCACAATCTAACAGCAGATGGCAGCATTGTACTGAGTAGGTTTATGAGACGTACTGGGTTGCCACCACTGAAGTTGCAACAGAATCGAGATGACTCAGTTCATGCATGTTTAATGATTTGCCGGGGAAATAAGGTGTAGGATTGTTGGTTGTTCACTTTGAAACCAGCATTTGTTATTTAAAGCAGCGCTGGAAACAGGATACTGTATGTATTGCATTTTTGGACAAAGAATTTGAAAAGATAAATTAAGGGCAAGATACTTGCAAAACAGTAAATGTAGTGTAAATTTGGAGATAATTATCTCTGCAAAACGTTTATTCTTCAGCAGAGACTTAACTACGCACGAGCCAACTTTATTTCCGCCCGTCTGTCAAAGTAGCTGTCAAACACGGGCGCGAGGGGCTGTGCTCCCGCTGCTCCGTCATTCAGGAAGTCCAGACCAACTGACAGCACTTCGCAAAGTCGCATCGACAGCTTTAGAGTCGGACTTAATATTCCTGAAGTGCTTTTCAACCACGGCGACTTTCACAGAAGGTGAGTAGCTTTTTTTTTCTTCTTCTCTGTCTTCTTTGTGTTGTTGTGTTGCTGTCAGTTTGTTTCCTTCTAACGGTTAACGGCTCGCTCCGTTGCCTGGTGCTCTCTTAACTGAAATGACACTTCCTCTTGTCTCAACGGCTAAGCTACGGTTGCTAAGTCTTGAGCAGTTAAAGTGTTTCAATGCGGTTTAATAGGTTGCACCTGAAGTTGTAAATAAGCACCAGTGTGTGGCTTAGACGTTGTTCGGCTTGTTGTTTGAACGCCACTCCGCTCAGAGGTAGTGGAACAAGCACTCCGAGCCCGCGGGGGTTAAGTGCGTAGGTTTGCTGTTTAAACCGTCTTTGAACCAAGTGCGTGTTTGTTGATTGATGTGTTTCTGCACCTGCTACAAATCTACGCTCATATTTGGATACGTGCGTTGAGGACTGACGGAGGAGACGCTTTGCTGTTTGGTTTCTTCCTCAGGGGGTGAGTATGGAGAGCAAACGGGTGACAGGTTGTAATGAAGTGTGCAGCTGAGGGGGTTTAAAGCCGATGAAGCGGCTGCACGCTATGTAAACTTGTCCGAGGTGTTATTTTAGCGCTGTCATGCAATGTGGGCCACACGTCTGCATGAGTGTATCACATCTAAAACGACTGTGGTACCGTCCATTGCATCCTTCATTGTTGTGAGTGAGATTTTACTATCAACGTACAGTCACAATGGCTTCGATTGAGACGCTGTAACGTCCACTACACATGACCTGCACCGTCTTTTTACTACATTTACTACATCTCTCTGCACCCGTCCACTACTCGAAAAATATTCACAGCCTTAACGCGTTTGTTTTTTTCCATGATTGCATTATTAGTGTGCATGCTTTTAGTGCAAAGATAATAAGGTCAGTGCGTAATTTATTTTTTTTCCTCCTGGTTTCGATGCTACATGCAGGCATCACCTGCATGTGAAACAGTGCTTGGTTAAATAAGCACAGTTACAAAAGTAAATGTAGGCTAACGTGACGCGCTCGAAATGGCAGATGCACACAGCAAGCTGAGGACTAAAACCCAAGCTGACCCAACATGATGTCATCTCTAGTGAGTAGAGCGCATGAGTGAGAGGAAGCAGTCCTGTGTCTCACTGCTAAACCGTGTCACTTGTCAAAGATTTATTCTCAGTACAGTCTCACCCCTTATTCTTGAAATGTTCACCTGCATATGATAAAAGTCGATTTTATTACAGGTAATGACTTAATCTGCTCTCAATCCGGAGGAGCCAATGAGGGAATGTGGATGAAAAATCAATAGACTCATATTTACATTTGTTTAGCTTAAAAGAGTTCATTTGCCTCCCTTAGATTGTGCTTAAGTGCTAAACTGTTGTCAGTCAAAATAACATTTTTATTCAAAGCAGTTTGGTCAGAAGCCTAAAACAGACATGTATTTGTACAAGCGGCGTAGAGATACACATATTTATACTGAACCATTCGACATTGGATGAGTGGAGGGCGTGATTATTTCTCGAGAGTAGACCATGTTATCTCTTTTAAAAATCAGGAGAAAAAGGTTTCCCAAACAACACCAGGCAAATGGTGTTGTTTGGTGTAAAATGTCATTTTATGGATAGGAATTAAAAATTCAATCATACAATAAAATCATTAGGGTCTCTAAGTCTTTTTTTGTCAGGTCCAGCCCTTTGACAGCAGGTTTGAATAGAAAGCACAGGCAACAAGGGCACAGCGGATGTCAATGGTTGAATACTCCATGGGACATCTGTCCATCTACGGATCGTATGTTTAACATTAGAAACCGATAATGTTTTGTGTTTGTTTCATCCACATTTCTGTATGTCTTCTGCATATTTACAGATAGAGACCAAACAACCTAACCCTGATATCAGTAGTTGAAACCATAGAGTGTGCAATACGCAAAATAAAGCTTCACATTTAACAAAACTGAATTCCCCGTTCATGTCATAGAATACTGAATGATTTTACAGACCACCACCTCAAACAACACTACCTCTGATTTGCCTCTTTCTCGACAAATTAAAATAGTTGCTGTTGTCTCCGTGTTAGTTGTCAAAATCTTTTGACTCTAATTCTGTTTGAAGGTAGATGGCCCCTTGGACTGGCGTGTTAATGTTGGATCCAATTTAAAAGACCCATGGCAGTAGGTGGGCTGTGACCATTACACAGTTTTAAACAAACAAATGTATTTTCATTTGTTAGGGGAGCCTAAATGAGCATTTGTCAGTCTGTTTGTATGGCAGTAGTGTTAATTAGCAATGTGGCAATGTGCTGTCGGTAGTACTGGCAGCATCTGTCTCAACTTTCATGTTGGTGTTTTTGTGGCTCAATAGCATTGCATGTGTGTTTGCTTTTACAGCCATGCTCAGTCTTGGCAACTGTTATTTTTTTTTCCTCTTCTTGTGCTTTTTTATTCAGTTAGCATTCTTCTTGTTATTCAGCACAGTTAGCAAACAGCTTTTGCATGTGCTGGTACGGGTGCTGAATTACAAAAATTGAAAAAGTTGTAAATTTAAAGATTGAATAAAGTGTAGATTAACTTGGAGATTTTTTTGGTTATTACTTTTGTGCATATTAAAAAAACGATGAGATGTTGCTAACAGAAAACTAAACTAGGATGGGCCTTAAAGGGATTCCAGTGTCAATTCAAGTTATGGTCAGACACACCGTAACACCAAGTTTGACACCCCCCTGAGAGATGAATTTTGCAGACCTCTTGCTTCTTTAGTTATATCAACTTCAGCAACGACTGCACGATAGCAATACACAGCGGTCTACGTCTCCACGTGCAAACCTCAACCAAAACGCCATTCTATAGCCACAAATAATGCTCAGAACAGCACCTAACTTCATCAACAGTACATGTATCGTCCCAGCACATAGTACTAGCTGTCAAACATCTTTTTAGCTTTGCCTGGTCGCTTTAGCAAAGAGACTAAACACAACTCACCCACTCTCCTCCAGCAGCTGCTTGTTTGTAGGGGAGCCCTGACGAGTCAATCACCGAGTGCAGTGGATCATTTCTACAGGGTAATAATGATCATAATAATCATTTTTCACCTGTATTTCACCAAAATTAATCTCTTTAGGGGGGGTCTAACTTCGGTTTCTGGAGAGTAGCTGAAGTGTGTCTGTGCCTGTCCTCTGAAAAAAAAAGGTATCCATAATGTGGCAGAAAAGACCTCTGAAATTTGTTTGCCAAACTAGAAATCTGCCTACATGGTTATATTTTCATTTTATTATATCTATTCAAAGTTAATTTTTTGTTACATTTTATTTAAAATATTATAAAAGACATTTGGGACATTGAATTCTGAGCTGTGCTCGTTCTCTGTACTCTTTCTTCTTATCTTTGCTTATATTATCTTAACGCATGGAGATGCAAGAGCACAAAACAAACAGAAATAGGCTTTCCTTACCTGGTTAGAGTGGACGATAGCATCGTGATTTCATGGTGTGGTCTATTGCGGTGATCAGACTGGATCTCGTTCCCAGATGACCTGATCTCATTATCATAAGAAAACAAACTTTTTCAAAAAATCTTAAAATAATGATGTACAGTCGGTTTGATAATCCCTTTTTTCCTAACCTGAGATTGCAAAAACAATGGCCAAGAACTTGAGAAAATGACTTGAAATTACAAGGTTAATAAGATGTGTGAATGCATGGTTGCTCAGGGCTACCGTAGTGGGGGCACTTTTGTCTTCTACCCAAACTTTGACATTACATCTCTCAACCTATTTGCTGACAAAACCTCGTTCAAAGGTTGCTCAAATGTTGTGCAAGACTTCTCCCTTGTTGACATCACCCATATCTGCTGGGATGCACAGCAATCCAGTGGCCACACATCCAGAGGGGGAACAGAAAGAGGCCCACTTCCTTGTTATGGATGGTAACCAAGGCAGATAACAATTAAACATTGCAGGGTGCTTGGTAAATATTCACTCATAATACCAAACAATATTTTTGTTAATTTTGTTGTTTCTTTTCGAGTTTCAGACATGAGTAAGAGCAGCAATATGTTGTCTCTTCATCTATTTTTTTTTCTTTTTGCAATGCATGCTATTTATCACAAGATTTTTAAACCTAAGAAATCCAAGAAGTCAGCAAGAGTTCATTTTTTAGCCACAGGTTTTTTTCCCAGTATATGTAGATGTTTGTTATTATTTTTATTTTTATTTTTTTTAATGGAGCCTGATGTTCTCCTCTGCTGCTGTCTGGCGTTTGGGTGACAGGGGTCTCTGTATACAACACGACAGATAGGCCGAGGCAGTCATAAGCATACTGCTAACAGTCATGTCTTTTTATAGAGCTGTGTGAGAGATTATTGAGACATTAGCCAGGGGTCTTCTCATGAATTTGCACAAATCCCTTTGGTGTTGTGCACGCTGATGGATGCACTGGGAAAGGACACATCAGCTGCTCTTGATAACTGGCTGATGTGGCTGTCAGACATGGGGGGGGGGGCTCCTTCTTATGAGCCAGACATTCTCACTGAGGCCCTGCTATCACCAAAGGCACCGTGATTTAAAACACCCGTCAAAATTAGACTTCAGTCAAATGATCAGAATTGAATAACAATTTGGATAATATTTGCCCAGAATGCAACACACTCTGCTTTACAAATCTTTTTTTATTTATTGTACCAGCTATAGCTGCCTTTACAAGGTGCTTGCTTTGCCGTTAGCGCGCTTAGTGTTAAGGATTGAGGGTCACATCAACCCTAGAACATTTGGATATTTTTGGCAAACAGATATAGTTTAAAAACTGCATGATAACTGAAAATGGAGATCTGAAATTACTTACAATGTCTAAAAAGTCAACGTGCTGTTTGTTTTCTTTTAATAGAGGACTTGTCTAACACTAAATGGCTGATGCTCTGTAATATGGGCTTTAGTGAATTATAGGTTTAACCTCTGTGCATCTGAACGATAGCGTCTTCTTCTTCAGCGCTCTTGTACTGTGCCGGTTTTCTAATGCAATCTCTGTCAGGCCCAGTCAAATCCTAACATGCCTTATTCAAGAAAAACCAGGAGGCACACAGGCAGTCCTTCCAGAAACCTGGGACAGTTTTATCTAACACACACGTCTCACACACACACAAACACTTCTTACAGCCTCCTCTGGATATTGTGACCCAGAAGTGATGTCTGACTGCAGTTGGTGACTCTTTCTTCCTCCCCCTCCTCTTGTGGGGGTCGTGTAAAAGTCAAAGATAACAAGTTTACCTGCTCTGCTGTCAGGGAACTATGACGGGGCCTCTGCTTGGCCCATGTATCTTGTAGCTTTCCTACATAGTGTAATGAGTTTACTGACTGTGTGCTAGCTCAGCTCAGTATTTTCTCTAAGACAGCCTTTATGATACTTTTCTAAAGCTAAAACCCTGGATGCTGGTGAAGAAAGTCTTTCAGGTTTTGTTTTGCATGTAGGGCAACCTGTTGACAGCACCGTTGAAAAACTCCTCCCTGCTGACTAATCCATCTCAGCATCCCTCACAACTCTCTGCTGAAGGGATGAACTTTCCTCCGCTTCCATGTGACGGAAGGCTGACTTGTGAAAAATATATTACAGAATTGTCGGTTTAGCTGCTGCTACAGAGCAGTTTGGTGGTTTATGCCACGGTAGCAGAGCGCATCAAATATTAAAGCGCTGCTGTCAGGCTTAATGTTCTGCAGTGATCTGGTTTAGCATGTCTAATATAGGAATGCTGTCTCAGATGACAAGGAGAATTATGCCCTCCCTACCCCCATTCTCCTCTACCAGCAGATGTGTTACCACACCGCGCTTTAATGGTGATACAAAAGACAGCAAAACTCTGCATTGCTGCAAGATCATGGTTTTATGAAGCCAACAAGAGAGAACCAGTACAGATATTTGGTCAGAGCCGGATTAATCTGCAACAGCAGTAGCACTTTATTTAATTACCCAATCATGAGAACTGCACACACACACACATGCCCATGTTCACAGCTGGTGCATCACCGAGTCTTTTTCTGATGGGGCATTGGGACCGTTTTTCTCTGGGAGACAGACTCAACTGTCCATCTCTTTGACTCAGTTGTATTAATGTGCTTTTAAGAAGATAAGTAAATGTTTTCAAGGCTCAACATTAAGCTTGGCCTGATAGCCTGAGGCTACAGAAAGTTCATCTGAGGCAACCAAATATGACATTTGGACAGGGTCTATAAAAAGATTCTGCACAAAAACAGAGTTAGAAAGTATAATAATTTAGGCGGCTGTACCTTTAAATCAAAGGCTATGATTGGACTTTGCATACAAGTGCAGCTTGAATGAATGAATGCTTTATTTTGGTTTAAGAACGAAATCATGTTTATGCTTACGGTACCATATACATTATAATTTAACATATCCATTATTGTGTCTCAGGTTGCTGTTTTTACTTCCTTTTTACAACACAAAAAGGAAGTCTTGACCTGGGTACCCAGGATTTTTACCAGAATTATCACTGATTACACTTTCCAAAGCGATTGTGAATTTTTTTTATTTTTTTTTTGTCTAGTGATTGCAGTGACCTTAGCAGCTTCAGCAGCAGTAGACACGCACACGTTGGTACGCCTTCTGTAATTGGTTTTCACACCTGATGTGATGATGTTGTCAAGTAGGCTTGGGTATGGGAATGAAGAACTAGTTGTAACTTGTAACCGGTTCTAGATTTCTCCAATTCTTGGATTTGATGAGGCCCGTGAACTTTGGTTCTGCTTTTTAGTTTCTAACAGCAACATAAAGCTTTAAGATTAGACTCCAGTGAGAACTTTGCAGTCCACAGAAGCATCTTATCTATTAGGACCTGCTGTGCATATGTAACATTACATCATTTACCTCAATGAAGTAAGGAGAGAATCACGGTATCGCAAAGCAGACTAATGTTAGCATCCTTTTTTATTTCAATATCAAAGTAAACTCTTTTAAGTATTGATATTTTTCTGTGTTTTGGACATAACTGGCACAAGTTAAGAGTCCCAAACGCTCAAAAACTTTTGCATCTGTCTCCAGTTTTGTCTTTGATACATGTGGTGGTTTATGTATGTGAATTCCTGATCAGACTCTTTTTCATCAGCGTTTATTTCTGGACTTGATGGAAACTGTGCATTTGCATCACTGACCATGATAGGAGTCACTGGGAAAAATGTGAAACGGATCTAGTCACGGCCTAGCAGCTGGTGCAGACCTGAGTCATGGCCTTGGTGAACTGAGAGCTTTCTCAGAGGGGAGGAAGTCACGGCCCAACAGATGTCTCATCAACAAATGCCTCCCTGGTGAGTGTGCCACTTCTGCTGTTAACTGGCCACCTCCAACAGCTGAAAATTGTCTTTGTCTGGCCAACCACTTCAGATCTTTGATGAGCTCAAGGACCCCGCTGTCATATATTGCAGTTGTCTAGAAGGAAGTATTGTGCACCCATGCCGGCATGTATTCACCTGGCAGGTCTTGTCCTTATATGCCCACTTGTAAATGTGGCTAGGATCATGTTATTATTGATCATTTGCATTTTGGTATAGAGTAGGTCGAGATAGGAGAATTTCTTTATGTTTGACACAATCCTCAACGTCGACTTAGTTGTGATCAATTTAGTAAGCAAGGCAAAAGTTAAGATCTGCTTAAACTCTTGAAAACTATTATTGTCGTAAAACTTGATGTAAGTCGTGACAAACTTGGGGACAGAGTGGATGCAAAAAAAGTAAAATGTCAAGTTCATTGTGCCAGTGTTTAAATACTGTTTTCTGAACCTTCTTTGTTTCTGTATGTGAATGTGAATATTCACATATCAGTCTAATCAGTCTGAGATGGTCTCATTAAGTGAACTGAGACCAAAGGATGAAGTGATAAGAGCTGGTTTGCTGGGGGTCAAAGGTGACTGCCACTCTACTCTTATCTACACACGATTCTTGTAATATCTCAGTAACGCCTTGACAGAGTTGTGTTAAAACCTCCTTATTTTATCTGTTTGAGGGATTCCTGTTATCTTTGGCTGATTGGTGGACCATTGCCCTTTGCACTAAACTTGTACCAGCACTTGGTCAAATGACTGTCACACATTTTGATGTTGTGATCCTGTTGCAAATGATTTTTGTAATGTAGTCCCATCTGTTTCATCATGTAGTCTTTAAAATCCAACCTACAGAAATATCCACTATCTAGGAGAACAATTGTGAGTCAGTAGTCCAACTTAAAAAAAAAAAAAATCACTCTTCTCTTGGTCTTTCTGCAAAGTGTGAGATCTGGGTGAACTTGTTTACTTCACACCGTACCAATATGCCATAAATGAAAATCTCATCAGCTCTTGAATTACATATAATGTTCTTCCCCTCATTGTTTTCTTCCTCAAGCAAACTTCACCCTCTGTCATGAGAGAAGCATTTTGGCAAGTCAGCCTCATTGGGTGTGGGAGGTTAGCATGAGCAACTTGATTACAGCCCTTCATTAGACACCCGCCTCCAATCATCTGGCGGGGCTGCAGCTGTGACCATGAGTCCGACCCTCCGCCCCCACCCCCCACCCCTCCTGTTCTTTTCAACCCCCACTTTGTCCGGCTACATCTGTCTCCAGCTCCTCTGTGAAATATGCAAGCTTCTGTCTGCGCTTCCATGACTAGGCCAAGTTGGAGTGCTGGAGAATTACGAGCGGCCATCATCACCACCCAAAGAGACAGAACCATTGCTGATGGCCGACTTGCCTTAACTCTGCCCACCACCACCACCCCTCCTGGGTGTAGGGCTTAATTTAGCCAGGCAAACCGATGGAAAAGGCTCAGGCTGGGGTATTTTTAGAATAACATGGCTCACTTTAATAGGGATCTTTAAAAAAATTGAAAGTGTCATGTCATAGGCCTGCAATTTGCGCCCATCTGACTCTCTCTTGCATGCAAGCTGCTGGGGAAACTCCAGTATGCACTGCTAGCTTGGCAGAGTGGGGCATGTCAGCGTGGCTTAGGATGCATGATTGTGATGGACACATTTGCTGATGTGAGTGGGGGTGAGGTAATACGCAGCACCACACAGGTCTATTTTGGGAGCTTCCTTTGCCTGCTCAAAGCGGTTTTGTGTCTGGCTGTTCAGGCATCATTATTTCTACTCAGCGCTTCTTAAACACGTTTTGTATCTGTGTTTTTTTTATTTTTATTTCCTAAGTAAAGAGATTCCTCACCATATCACTGAAAAAAGTTGCCAGGCTTCAAAAGCTGAGAACACCTCAATGAAGACTTAATGATCAGTATATTTTTGGTTTTGGCTGCCACTGAGCCTGATGTAAATGCTTGATAACTGGTCATCCATTGGGCTACCAGAGTGTGTGCCAAACCCACCCCATCCCCCCTTCCCAGTCCCAAGAGAAACTAGGCCTCTACCAAAGCTCTGTGCAGCCTTAATGCTGCGACTGGACAGCCTCCATTGGGTCAAGTGGAGATTTGCCTCTGATGAATCTGGGGGAGATTGTGTCGTGCTCTCACCAGCCAGCAGCAGTGATTCACTCGAACTGTGACTTTAATTTTTTTCTATTTCTTAGTTAAGTCTGGGGCTCAGGCTGGCTGGCTGAATGTAGTGAAGGATTCCCTGCCAGGAGTTTACAGTTAAGAGTCAACATCAAGAGAAACAAATATGCAGGTTATGCTGCTTCTTACTGGAATTCACTAATTATTATTATTTTTTTAATTTAGTTACTGCCATTGACAAAATACAATCAGCAGCAGTTTCTCCATACATCATACTCAGAGTAAGATCTCAAACACTGTTGTGCTCCAGGTCCGCAAAAAGTATGTACTAGGGACGGGAGAAAAAATCGATACAGCATAGTATCGCAATATTTTGTCTGGTGATATATCGTATCGTCTCATTAACCAAGTATCGTTTTTTTCTAAATTCATTGTCAATATGAAGTCAAATCTATGATAGTGGATAAAATAAAATCAACTGTTTGTCCAGTGAGGTTGGCAGAGTTGACGTCAAAGAGCAGGAGAAAGTTAGTGCAACAAATATATAAAAGGTTTGCGAGATGTGCTACATGAAAATAAAATACAGCGTAAATAAGACAAATATAAAGAAAAAGAACAATTGCTAAATTGGCTAAACAGTTGAAAAAATTGTATAAATCCCAATATATTGTATCGCCATACTCACTGTATTGCAAAATATTAAAAAATTGCAATAATACCATATCGTGGCCCAATCGTATCGTGATAATATCGTATCGTTTGGCCACTTGTGATTCCCACCCCTAGTATAAACTTTGGTGATGATTTTAACTTCAAGACTTCTCAATTGATCAGGACTTGAAGAGACAGTAACTAATGAAAATCCAAAGGTGCGATGGTCACATTTCAAGAAAAAACAAACAAATATATTTTATAGGCATGCTAGTGCTAATGTTAGCATGTAGTAACACCACAGCCAATAGCAACTAAGGTGTTATTTTCAATGCTATATAGTATATATTTCACAAGTGTTACACTATGTTCGATGTGAACTATAGTTATCACATTTACTGAGTTATCAACCTTCTTTTAGAAATAAGGCCACAAGTCCTTTTAAATTTTCATCCTTTAGTGTTTTTTGTTTCTGATCAGTGAAAAAATGTACCATAGTTTGACCATAATTTGACTCCCCACTTTAAAGTTCCTATAGACAGTCATTTTAATTGCCCTGTGTGACATGATCAAAGTTTCAACCTGCTGACTTTGTGTAATTTTTGTAAAAACAGGACTGTTTCTTGGAGGCTTGGCTGACATCTACCCCCTTACACAGGTTTCAGGCATTAGAAAATATCACTCATGTTGCTGATGGTCTTGTTTGCTTTTTGATATCTTAGAAAGGTATTGCAATGTATTTTCATAAATGTAAAAAAAAAAAAAAAAACTCCCCACAGTAGCTTTAAAATACTTCTTGCAACCTCACACACTGCAACACATGAATACAACAGTTAAACCATCCATGTGTGATGTCAAAAGAAAATGGTTGACATTGTAAATTGTCTCCCTAACTAAACTAATAGCTGTCCACTTATTCACCAGACAGGATGTGAATGGTGTGTCATATGGCATGAGGGAATGTAAGAGTTTCACATGAGAGGAAAAAGACAGCATAGGGAGCCAAAGCACGAACTCCTGCCACCCTTTTCTTGCTTAATAGTCCATGCTAGGAGAGCTTTGTGTGTCTTTGTAACCCCAGAGAGCCCGGGGTTAAACTGAACAATCGTCCAATTAAACTGTGACTTGGAGGAAATTTGCCAGTCAACAACACAACCTTACTACTCCCCTCACTCACTCTTGATCTAGTTTTTCCTCTTATGCACATGCAAAAGCTCTCTCATCATACACAGACACAAATGAACCAGATGTGCAGAGCTACAAAGGCCATGAACCTTAGCATAATTGCAGCAGGGATGATCTTGTCCCAGAGGGCCAATGAGGAAATGGTTAAATGATCAGAGACCATGAGGGTATCAAAGAAGCTGATGCATGCACACATTCAAGAGAGCAGCCTCCTTGACCTGCATGCAGCTTTGGTTTCCTGGTGTGTGATACGAGGGCCAAGATAGAGAGGAAATCCCATTGTGCAACATTAACTAATTCAGAGTGAAGGAGCAGGAAGCAGGCCAATATTACAATCCCATTGGATGGCAAGGTCCAGGAAACTGTTCTCACTGATTATTACGGGCTGGGATTTATTGCTGATGAACTCTGAGATTACTGTCACACTCTAGGGAATGAAGACGTCATTCATATTAGGTTTCAAACTGTTGATCACATTGAAGGTTACTTTTTTTTATTTAGGTTTCACTTGTAGTATAAAATAGCATTTGAGGAAACTTTGAGCCAAACTGTCAGCCGTCTGAGTGTGTAGTTTATTGAACAACATGTTGGTAAGCATTTAGAAAGTAAAAGAAATTTGTCTCGATGTAAAACCTTGAATCACATCACAGAAAAACTTGAAAGTACCTCATACTGTTTACATCCAGTATTCCAGATTTAGTTATTATTAGTATTCATCCTTGGATGGATGCATGATGACAAGGCTCTGATCTTAGATATTACATTTGCAGTTTTAGAATTTTCAAGGCTCTCAAAAAGCTAAAATGCTCATGTGCCCCTCCATACAGCTGTTAAAAGTCATCATAAGACAATAATAGAAACCAGTAAGACATGTGATGCCCACTTAACGTCCATCTACTGTAAGAGCTTTTGTCTGATCTGTGTCTCCTCTGCTCTCTCTCTGGTTTATTGAGCACTGTGTTATAAATAAAGAGTTCCTGTTATTTATTCATGGCCCTTCTTTTTTCCCCGACAAATATTTGCAATATAAAGATTCGTCTGATTAATTATTGACCGGCAGCACACATGGGACTTAAGGGTGTAACGGACTGCAGGGGTCATGACGTCTAAGCTGTGGAGAGATCAGACTGGCCTTGAAGTTGAGGAAAGTGTTTCCCACAAGTAGACTGTGCTTGGGCAGGGCGCCCAGGTTTATAACAGCAACCAAAGTAGGCAAAGTCATGGGTGAGAGCCAGGTGAGCAGATTAGAACAGTTTGGGAGTAACACTGAATGAAGTTAAAGTGCTTAGTGGCATTGAAATCAGGAAATAAGAAAAACTTAACCCACATTTTCATTCTGTGGGAAACACTGAAGGATGTAGTACTAGTGGCTGCTTTCTAATCCCAAATTCCCAAAGAGACTGGGTGTGAGAGGTTGCAGAAGTTCAGAGTTCTCTCTTGGAAAAATGAAGGAAAAAACAGAATCAACAAGGAAGAATAGACAGCGGGATGATCTAACCGTTAGTCTAACATTTTCCCTAAATTATAAAACCACTTTTTTGTTTCTCTGCAACATTCATCTTTAAACTTTTGTCTCTGTTACATACTGAAGTGGATTCTCACAGAACAAACCTAATAAAGTACCTTGACAATGCGCGATATTATGGTGATGAGCATTCATAAAGTATCTGATCATGTCCAAAAATAAAACGAGTAATTTAAAGCTTTTGAAGGCTGAGAGAACTCGTGAGAACCATTTCTGATGACTTTCATAACCTTTTGTCAGCTGACTGATCATTTAAAGGCACTGCTTTGAGACAAGGCTGCTTCTATCACTTCATTTCAGGAACAACTCTTGAAGAAAACTCATCAATACTTGAGTGCCTGGGGTTTTAAAGACCCAGTGCTTTAACTACAGCTGCCGTATTGATTCTTTTTATGTAAATAGAGCTATCCATGGCTGTATACTCACTCCAAGCCTTGAATTAACAAACAAAATATTTACTTTAGAAACTTGAGACCACATTAGTATGATGTTGGTGTTATCTTAAGTCGTGTGTGTGGGTAAAATCTATCCTCCACATGGCAGATATTTAATTTTTTCATTCCCTCTCTCTCGTGTGTGTGTGTGTGTGTGTGTGTGTGTGTGTGTGTGTGTGTGTGTGTGTGTGTGTGTGTGTGTGTGTGTGTGTGTGTGTGCGTGTGTGTGTGTGTGTTTAAAAGAGGCTTGGATGAATCAGTACAGATCTAAAAGTGGAAGGGGGAGGCAAAGTTCTGAGCTTGAATTAATTCCCAAACTAATTGCGGGCAGACTTTACAGGGGATAAAACGCTGAAATCCTAAGTCCTAAAACCCATGGGCCCTCTCCCACTCTGTGTAAACCCCAGTGATGATGTACATAATTTATACTGTCAGTGTATATTTGAAAAAGAGGAAGAGGAAGAGGCATAACACAAGGGAAATGACTCAGTGGCCTAGATGCATGTTTCCTTTTTGGGGCTTTCCTCCACTTGATTTCCTCCCCCTTGTCTTTCTGTTTCATTTTGGCTGATCATCCTCTCTTTCTTTCGAAAAGGGCAGAGGAGGAGAAAGAGGTTTTAGGTTAGCATGCAGGCTCATTCAGCTGAATCATATGCACTCAGGTGTAGTGGCTGGATGGGTCAAAGTACCCACCATACCTCTTGAGGCGGTTTGACACACCAGGGCAAATGAGAGCAATATGAAAGCCATGTCATGTTAGGACTAGCAGACAAAGGTTTTAAGTTTCTCTGGGACCTTCTGCAGACTTTGACACATGCTCATATCTCTTGTTTTGTCTCCTTCACCGTTAACTCAAAGTTAAAGGCTCCTCAAGAAAAAAAAAATATTGTAATTCACCAGTAAGCGCAGGAAAGTTTTATTTGGGGTATTATGATGTTGACAGCTCTGGCAGTCCTAGACATAGATGTATAACAGTGAAACACAACATCCTCCTCTTTCCCATGAGACCCTGGTGAACAGCTACATGACATCATTGTTTTTCCTTCAAGAACATGGCCTTCAGTAAAGCAATAGCCGGTGTCTCATAGTTTCAGCGTAGGAGTCCTACATAGAATCCATTCACTAAGCCAGAACATTTATAGTAGACTTGACTGATCCGCGTTGCCTGATGGGTGGTCATGATTGCGTCTCTGATTTTGGCCAACACTGATCAACAGATTGCAATAGAAAGCCACTGAAAAGACTGAGATACTTCCTCAGGCACTGAGTCTAAATCTAGTTCTCAGTGTCTTGCAGCAGATCTCAGAGTCACAGGAAAAACGACTCCCTTTTTCTGTCTAGATGAGGTTCTCGTGCAGTTTTGAAAAGGAGCAACTAGCCACCGAGCCATCTGTCCTAACTCTAACTGTGAGTCATTAGTCCTATGTTTTTCTAGATTTGTTAAATTTAATTAAAACACAACAACAGCAATTTGAAGAATTTCATTTTTTGGGGGGGTGTCTATAACAGGAGAATCTTAGAAAAAGAAAAACCTGCTGCTTGTTACTCGTATGTCTCAAAAATAAAACAGATTCTCTTGACTTGGGAGTGAGTGTACTTATAACAAATTGTGAAACAATATATTAGTTGTGTTTTGTTGATAATGTAAAAGCAACTTGTGGTAAAAATGGATCCATCTTGGGCTTAAATGTATTTATTTTTAACTTGGGAGCAGTAGTAGCTTCAACTTGAAAAGACTGGGAGCACCAATGCTATCGGCATATCGTCAACATGGGTTTGAATTTTGTAAACCCCCCCCCCCCCCCCCCACTGTGTGTGTGTGTGTGTGTGTGTGTGCGTGTGTGTGTGTGTGTGTGTGTGTGTGTGTGTGTGTGTGTGTGTGTGTGTGTGTGTGTGTGTGTGTGTGTGTATAATGGATCAGCATTGCCAAATAAGCAAAACAGCCAGCATTATCCCAAACATTTAGAGCTCAAACCTAGCCTTACCTAATCATACATCCCTTTTTTGCCACATATTGTCCTGGAAAAAAAAAGTTTGCGTTTGCACTTTGGCTCTCCGTCCATGGTTGGTCAAGTTATCACACTAGAGATGGCAAACACAGTGTCACCTGGAACCTCTGTCCTGCAGGCTTTACAGTGAGTGCAGTGTACTGTTTTCATAGTGGATCCATTAGAAGACTTGTCAGCCACCCTTACAGGAAACTGTTCACCTTAGTTGCTGGTCACTTATATTTGCTTTATTACCATCACTACCATCAGCACCTGAAGACCTGAAGGCTAACATTAACCTAATACTCTAAAATGAGTAGTGAAAATTCAACGTGTAATGCTGACAACTGTTACATATGTGAGTGTTAGATTAAACAGATTTTTGATTCGTAATGCTACCAAGTGGTACAAGTCATGCTTGACTGACGTCATAACGCTGTACCTCTCAGCAGGCATTACTAATCAACCACCAGTCCCTGTATTTGCCAAGGCTTCATTGATAAATGGAAAAAAAAGTTGCACCTCAAAAGTTATTGAAGTCTCAAATGCTCCAAACATGATTTCATCTCACTAAAATCAGTTTTCAGGATCATGTTCAACCAAAATGGTTGCAGTTTCCAGCTCTGCCATAACATCATTTCCCCCTATTGAATTTCGCCTTTGGGATAAATAAATATCATCTTATCTTATTATATCTCATCTCATCTCATATTATTTCATATCATAACTTATTTCTTAAATCTTTTCTCATCTTATCATTACACGGCCCCGTATTTAAAAAATCTAACTTATTCCTGAGCAGACTCTTTCATATAAACAAAAATCTTTACATTGTCCAAGCGACCAACATAATGTCCTGTTTACATCTCTGTTGTGTGTTTAAAAAAAAAAAAGAAACAGAACAAGGCCTTTTGCACACACTGTGTAATATAGATCAGCTCACACTCCAGATAATGGCATCTCAACCTGTCTGTTAATTTGACTTCCCTGAATATTTGATCACAGAGAACAAATCTTCAGAAAGTGGCAGCTGCATTTCCTCCTCACTGTCATCATTTCTCTTTTGCACTGCTTTCACTACAAAGCATGCAATAGGCCTCGACTAATCTTTCTGCTGCTCCTGATTGGAAAATCCTGTTGGGCTTTAGAGTAGCACTTCACTCTATGCTCAGCCCTCCCTTTGTACACGTACACACACACACACAGACACACACTCACACACACACACACACACACACACACACACACACACACACACACACACACACACACACACACACACACACACACACACACACACACATTTGGAGCTGAAACTAGATCAGCTGGTGTGTACTTCCAGGAGAAGAAGTCCCTCCTTGTGTGTTCATGCACAGTGATGATTAAATGACTCTAACCCTTCGTGTAATGATTACATGCGTTCTTGGTGTCATGTGTGTGGCTATGTACATGTGCAAGGCACATGTGTGTTTGCACATTCTCTCTCTTACATTCAAACTCTCTGGTATGCTCATGCATTTTGCATGGCCTTGTGGGAAAGCAGAATGAGGCTGCAGCAGCAGGATGACTCACGAGCCAGTGAAGGCATTTGACCACGGGCACTTGTTACTGTGGTGTCAGGGACACATCTAGGACTTACCCCGCACGAGTCTCCTGTAAGGCACATATGCAAAGAGTTCTTGAGTCTTTGACAGGCCAGAATAGTCAATGTCAGGGGGCTTAAACCTCCGCCGTGACACAGCGGGGACAAATCATAGTTAATCTATATCCGCTGTCATGTGGCCCTAATGTGGACCAGCCTCAGACTGATCACTCTTACTGCCTAACAGTCCTGTCTACCACCATTGATGAGCTTGTGTGTCTGAAACAGACGGAATATTTATTTTTAAGAGCACAGCATGTAGGTTTTTATTCATTCAGTGCACTCGTAATCTGTGTTTTTTCCCTATTTAGTCTGACTATTTGTGTGTTTCCACAGCTTTATGTATTTGGGTGCTCAGCTGAAGAGTATTTTGCAGTCACAATGAAAATCAATACAGCTGGGAATTGATAGTGTCATAAACAGACCCTGGGTTATTGCCTAATCAATACTACCCATCTCGTCACCACAGTCCCCAGCTGAGCCTGGCTGGATTTGACCAATGGCAGCGAACGTTACACACACATTGACGAAAACACCAGTACTTATTGAATGTCCTGGCTGGGATGTTCACACCAGTTTAGCACAAACAACAGCTCTATGTGTTACCCAGGGTCAATAGAAATGACCTCAGTGGCTGGAACTAATTGACATTTACTCTTCATTGTTGTCTGGGCTCTTCTTTCTTTTTTGGGGGGGAACTATCTGAAGGAGGTTCATTTTATATGTTTGGGTGAAGTGTAGAAAGTGTGGTCACTCAGAAGCTACCTTACATTCTCCATCATTATAACTTTGTGGAACAATTTGCATCCATGCCTCAGATTTTGCAGTTTGTCTTTGTATGGATCAAGTTTTTGGTTTGCTCATGTAAGTCTGCAGATTTGTGGGAATTGTGGCCTTGAAAAACCGACAACAGTGACTGAAACTAATTAACAGCCAGTATGTAAACTGGGTAATTACAAGTTAGAAGTTCAAAAAGAAAAAAACAAATAAACAAAAAAAAAACAGCTATCTTTCTGTGCTATGAGTACCATTAGGGGAGTTGTCAACACTCTCGTGATATTAAGTTATCAAGGTTTGTTTATCCATGAAGTTAGGTTAACTGTGATCAAATTATTGACATTTGTGCCATAATACATCCAAAATTTATTGATACTGCAATATAAGTATCTACAGTATACACATCACAAAACACTTACTTTATAGCAATAAATTGGGAAATAATTTAATAATTTATATATAATTGGAGTTTTGTCACCCAGTTTGTGTGTTTCATCTCAGATGGAGGTCTGAATGTTATGGCCACACTGTAACACTCTTTGGATTCAGTCAAATGGAGCTCTAGCCAGCTGGTGATCATATGGCGATGGAAAAACTGCAAATCTAGGAGCTGATATGCATAATTTTGTGTTTGGTTTTTAGTCACACTATTTTTTGACATCACAATACTGAACAGTGTCATTGCACATCTTGTATTTGTCATATTGAGCAGGTCAAGTGTCAGACTTGCTGGTTAAAGGTGGAGTAAAGTGTGATTAAGTTTTGTTTTCTCAAAGAGAAATAGAGTTAAACTAAGTCACAGATTGTTGAAAAAATGATGGTTTCAACATACCCCATTGAAATGCTTTATCTTCCTTTATATTTTATACTACAGTAAATATCGCAGTCCGAAAACTTCTCTGTGTCACTTCTTTTCCTAGACCAATGGGGCTCTTATTTGTGCACTTATTTAGGACAGAAGAATACTATCCATCCTCCTATCAGCTCCTCTTTTAGTGTATAGTGTTAAAACTGCAATGCTCAAAGTTTGGATTTGTCCCTTGTGTTAATGCTCGATTTCCTGTCACCCCACTACAAACAGTATACAGAACATTGTACAAGCTGTTCAAAGTGTCTCATTTACTGTCTTGAAACCAGCCGTCAAAGTTAAAGTTTGAATAACTGCCTTGGTTGTAAAGAAACAGTGTCTGTATCTTCTCTCACACACACACAAACACGTGTATTTATGCAGCTAGAAAATCTTGCTGCTCCTAAACTGAAAACCTGAATCAACTTGTGCTCTAAATACAGTAACTGTAAAGTGTGTTGTTATCACACTTGTGCAAAAACATGATCATGTTCACACTGTAACAGGTACTCTACCCACTTAATCCTCTGCACCGCTGTCTGAGCTGAGTGTTAGCTGTTCATTTTAGGACTGAAGGCTTAGCTGATGCAGACAGATTCTGACAGATTCTCTGCTGAACCCTGTGACCCTCAGGTCAGTGTTATGGATTAAAGTTGGCTTGTGTGCGGCCTGATGCTTTACAGATTACACCCTGTTAACCCTCTGATCGACTGGACTCCAGTCACCCAGTCCTCACATTAACCCTGATACAAGCTCATTAGTCGGCAGGACCACCACCTGAGCAGGTTACAGTCAGGGTAAAAGTACCGAGAATGAGATTGTGCTGTTAGAAGTGAGTTTGGAAATGTGTTTTCATGTCTTGATAACACCTTTTTTTTCTTTTTTAGATTTTGAGAAGTAGATTTGATTTATGAGGATTCTCTTTTGCAACGGCCTGATTGAAGGATCAAGAACCAGCAATTGTGTTTTCAGTGTAATGATTGTTTGCATAATCAACAAAAGTCAACCTTTTTTTTTGTCCTTGAATTTGATTTATAGACACCGCTTCTTAGAGTTCTAAGAGTTTAGTTTCGACCACATCACTAAACAGAAGTCAAAAAGACTGCCGTGATATGATCGATCTTTTGCTTCATACTCAAATAGATAACCCCATCTTTATCTTCCTCTTTGTTGCACAGAAGCTTTGGACTCTGTCCAAAATGAGCATCACCAACATTTAGCCCCCTCCAGCTGATGTCTCTCTACTGTTCATTATCTGTGTTTTTGTGCAGATATATAAATTTGTGCCTTCCCAGAAGTCTGGTTAACAGTATTCAAGCACAAGAGACATCCAAAGTAGGAAAAGAGCAGATGAAAACTGAAAGTGATTTATTTCTTTGATTGTATAATCCAGTGACACTGGCTTTACACAAATCAACATTTCGTGTAACAGAAAGATTTTCAGACTTGATTGAATTATGAGAATTTTGATCTAGTTGGCGCACAATCCCATGGTCTTGTTCCCTTGTTGTACGGTGGTCATTAAGCTCATACCACTGTAGGTCCTGAGGCTTTTTTAATGACTTGAGCATTGTGGACAACCAGTAGAATAGAAATAGAATAGAATATTCCTTTATTGATCCCCCATGGGGGAAATCTTTTTGTCACAGCAGCATCACAGACAAGACAAAAAGTGCAAAAATGCAGTTATAACAATAAGGGTCCTAATATTAAGAACTTAAATAAATGTAATAATTAAGAAAAAAATTAGAAAAGGGAGAAGAAAAAATAAAGCTTTCTATAATATACACAATTTAAATGCCATAAAAAAAAAAAAAGTGGTGGTGTAAAATCAGTTTTGTTACTGTTCATTGTAAAGTCTTATTGCAGAGGGGAGGAATGATCTGCGGTAGCGCTCCGTCCTGCAGGGTGGGAGTCTCAGTCTGCTGCTGAAGGAGCTGCCTAAAGCCCCCACAGTCTGGTGCAGTGGGTGAGAGGGATTGTCCATGATGGATACAAGCTTTGTTAACATCCTCCTCTCACCCACCTCCTCCAGGGAGTCCAAAGAGCAGTCCAGGACAGAACCGGCCCTCCTGACCAGTCTATTCAGTCTCTTCCTGTCCCTCTCGGTGCTCCCTGCCCCCCAGCAGACCACTGCATAGAAAAGTGCAGATGCCACCACAGAGTCAAAGAAAGTCCTGAGCAGAGTCCTGCACACTCCAAAGGACCTCAGTCTCCTCAGCAGGTGGAGACGACTTTGGCCCTTCTTGTACAGAACGTCTGTGTTTGTTGACCAGTCCAGTTTGTTGTTGAGGTGGACACCCAGGAATCTGTAGGACTCCACCATCTCGATGTCCAGACCCTGTATGTTCACTGGAACTGTTTGAGGTGTCCTCCTCCTGCGGAAATCCACAACCATCTCCTTTGTCTTACTGGAGGTGGTTTGTGCCACACCAGTTGACAAAATCAGTGATGACAGTCCTGTATTCCCGCTCATCCCCTGACGATACACATCCGAGGATGGCTGTGTCATCAGAGAACTTCTGTAGGTGACAGCTCTCAGAGTTGTAGCTGAAGTCAGAGGTGTACAGGGTGAAGAGGAAGGGGGAGAGCACTGTCCCCTGTGGAGCCCCCGTGCTGCAGACCACCATGTCCGATACACAGTTCTGAAGCCTCACAAACTGTGGTCTGTTGGTGAGGTAGTCCACGGTCCATGCGGCTAGGTGACAGTCCACTCCCGCCCGCTCGAGCTTCCCCCTGAGCAGTGAAGGCTGGATGGTGTTGAACGCACTGGAGAAGTCAAAAAACATGACCCTCACAGTGCTGCCGGTGTTCTTCAAGTGAGCCATGGACCTCTGCAGCAGGTAGATGACTGTGTCATCCACCCCGATGTTTGGCTGGTACGCAAACTGCAGAGGATCCAGATGAGAGCTCACCAGGGGGCTCACCAGTAGGTGTGCCCTCGCCAACACAAAACAAGGAGCTGCAAACCAGCTATATAAAACCCGTAGGTAAAGGAAATAACAGTTGTCTTGGACTGTGGAGAAGAAGAGCTTGGGGGAGAGGAGCTGCGATGCTTGAGGTGTCATCCCATTTGAACCACAGTAGGTAGGAGAAGAAAAAACAATGGACAGAAATGGCTGTGGCCCTCAGAATCCCTGGTGAAGTCAGGATGGGAAATTATCCCCAAAGTATGTCGGTGTAGTCTGGCAGTCGGTGACCTTGTAATATCCCCAGTCTTTGCAGAGTCTTTCAGACTCTATGACTTGCTGACACGTTGTTTTTTGATGAGATGGTGTCAGACGTTGGTCTTTTGAAGTCTTTTTTTCAGAGTTTTTTCCAAAGTCTTTTAGTGCATGAAGGGTTTATGACATCACTGAGTAAGCACATTTGTTTAGTATCTGTCAACTTGTTATACACTTCCTTCTTAAAGCTGAGATGGCTGCTATTGTAAGTTAACACTGCTGCATAGCTGGGCAGAAGTCCTGGATTTTCTGAGGTTTTAACATGGTGCTGTATCAAACAAAGTTGTTGTTGTTATAATTAAACAATGTTAAAGGCATTTCTAAGTTAATACAGCCTACAATTTCTCGGCTTCTCACTGGAAATATCTGAGGGGTCACACAAACTGGTAGGGCTGTAAAGTCCTAGTCAACTGGTCGACTTATTGCTAATACATGCTAAGTTGACCAAAATTCTGTTTTGTCGGCTGGACTTTTTTCTGCGTCAAATTACAGTCTATGGTTAATTTCATCAGGAAGAACGTGCCAAAAGCTAATGGTGGGTGTTTTCAGAGCACCCCTGCTTTCACAGGCCAAACACATCTTCAGCTCTGCTCTTTAGATGTGAAATCAGGGACGGTTCAACATGTCTAAACCAATTTTTGAACCCTTGTCGTTGTCTCTCTTTATTTGTCTTTCTTTCCTAATGACCTTTTTGTTTTAATCCAGTTCAAAAATGCATTCAAGGCCAATGACACAGAGTTGCCCTACAAACTGCCTACACACTCATAGGAAAGTGTCAGTCCTCATACTCTCACTGTACAGACTCTGACTGACCCACAGCCAGAAGCCAGGCTTATGTAGGATAACATTTGTCCAAGTTGGAGGGAGAAGATCTGGGTTACAGAGTCCACAGCAGTTATTTTCTGTTTTTATACTGAGAATTGGGCCTGTGTGTGTCTCTTTCTGCTGCTCTGCTAACAAGCTCCTCAAGCTATGCCTCCTCTGCAGACACAGTGCTATTGGGATGATTCAAGTGTTATATTTACTCCAAATTCTCCCGAGGACAGTGACTAAGACATTGCTGCTAAGGTACAAGTGCTTCATATTAATTGAATGATTGTTTTGGACATCATTTTCAGAAAATCCAACACGTGCACGTTGGTGTTTGTTTGGTGAGTCAGCTTCGAGGAGGTGGCGCTGGCGGAGTCGTGCTTTCAGAGTAATGGCCTACAAGGGTTTTCTAAAATAGTTTGACCAAAATAATTGCCTGAGAGAAAAGAAATTACATAAAGATCAGACGCCCACGTTTGAACATATGTCTTACTGCAGGCATGTCACGAGAAACACATGGCGTTACCAGGAGCTGTCATGATGAAGCCGCAAGTTCCCACAAAGAAGAGGGATGATCAAACTGGTTTTTAAATGAGGGTTTAATATGAAAAGATTTTTTTTTTTTTTTTGGTTTAAATTACAATAACTTCTAACAATGTCGAATAATTGTCAAAATATTATCTATGTGGCTGGCTTGACGCAAATCCAAAGTTAGACACAAAGTTATTGAATATTGTTTCTAAAATATTTCTTTGGACAGCCCCCTCTCATTGTCCCGGCCATAAGGATCGTACTGGTGACCATTCAGAACATTCAGTTGTGGCTTGCTGACGACCATTCTGTGGTTGGAAAGAGGTGTTGGTTTTTTAAAGCAATGATTTGCTGAGCGTTATCGTCCAGAAGAGGATAAACCTGTGAATGCATTTCCTGCTTTAAATGTATATCTCTTGAGGCACCAATGGCCAAGCGGTCTGGGTACCCCATGTGTGGAGGTGAGGTCACGGGGTCGCATGTTTGGTTACTGGCCATGATTCTGTGCAGCATGTCACCACATGTCTCCACATCTCTGCATTTGCTGTCCCTTTTCAGCTCTCTTGTCTAATGAAGGCAGAAATGCCCCAGAAATATGACTTCAAAAGAAAACAAACAAACAAAATTCATATCTGGTTGTGATTCCAAGCATAAGCATGTAAGGCTGAGAAATAAATCCATTCAATCAAGTCATCAGCCTTTGTGGTTTTGTAAGATTTACAAAAAAAAAAAATGGAGGATTTTCTCTGTAACTTCATCCACTGCTGCCCCTGGTCATTGACAATGTGGTCACATTGTGAAAACAAACAGAATTCAGAAAATTAAAATGAAAACAGTGGAATTTATGTTCACTTTGTAGCATCTGATTACCAGCTTTGGTTCAGTTGCAATCTCCGTAGAAGACAGTGCTCTGCTCTCTTGCTCTTTAGCCCCCAATCCTGTTATCTGTCTGTGTGTGTAGGTGTGTAACCTGTTGATCCTCATAACACTCAATCCTTGCCTAGTGGTACCCTGGATGAGCAGCCCCCTGCTCCTCCTCCTCCTCCCTCACTTTCTCTGATGTGCAAAATTGTCTGTGAGGGACTGTTGAATAATTGAACAGCACAGCGATGGCTCTCTGTGACACTGCACTTAGTGTGTTAGCTTGTTTCATTCACCCTGTGTGTGTGTGTGTGTGTGTGTGTGTGTGTGTGTGTGTGTGTGTGTGTGTGTGTGTGTGTGTGTGTGTGTGTTGTTTGTATCTATCCAAAGGGGAGGGGTTTGGAAAAAGACACTACAGGGATTGATTTTTTTTTCGGTGTGTGAAAGACTGTGTGGGTTTGGAATAAGCAAGACAGTAGACCACACACTATTGACCAGGTTGAAAAAAGAAAGCTCAGCTGAAAAGGCGCGAGCACTGATAGTTGCCAGAGAGGATGAATGGCTTTAATAGAGAAAACTCCAGGCTTCACTCCAGGGGCACAGACACACACACTGACCCCGCTGGATTCATGGGATTGCTCTAAAAAAGCTTTCACACTGAATGAGGGATGGTCTTTGTGGCTGAGTGTGTGTGACCAAAGCTCTGCGTATGTGTGTGATCTGGCCCAACATATGCCTTCTGTGAGATTATCTCTGAGATTTTGATTTAGCTGCAAGGATTTCTCAGTGTCCCCACTGTTAGCGGGCCTTTTTTTAAAAGTAAGGCAACATTATCCTTCTCTGTGAGAAAGCTACATTAGTGCATCCTCTTAGAGTCCCAAGAAACCGGTAGCTGTTTGGAATTTATTTTCTATTTTAAAATCGTTATCAATTATTTGATTTTGACGAAGTTAAAAAAATTAAAATCGTCAAATCAATTTTCCTCTCTATTATGTCTTGTGCCTCCAGGCCACCGTAGGCTGCCCTTTCCTGTGAGAGTGCTCCCCACTTTCCACACACACCAGTGTAAACAAACATGGTGTTTGCAAAAGAAGGTGATAATTTTTTGGCTGAAAAAAAATTGAAATTGAAAATTGAGTTTTCAGAGAAAAAAATCGGGATTTTATTTTTGACTAAAATTGTGCAGCCTTATGCTAAGCCAACGAAATTAGCAACTGACTTTTTTTTTTTTTTACATAGTCAGGGGCTGCAAATAGTTCTTTTCATGTTGTTTGTCTGACAGTAAATATTACCTGCTTCAGTTTAAGGTGAAGTATCTTACTTAGTGTGAATATATTCAGTATAAAAAGTGTTAATCTGTTTTTCTTCACCATGCTGTAAATTGACTCATCATCTCTGGCACTGATGCTTTTTCATAACAAGTTAAAAGTCTTTTACCACATTTGGCAATTGGTGAATTCTTGTTCTGGACTTAAAGCAAATCCTGTTACTCAAAACATTTTTCTTTGCAAAGAAAATTTATTTCTCACAACCAGGTGATTGATTGACAAAAAAGCCCAGCCATGAACAAATCAGTTCAGGGAACTGAATATACATAACATGAGGCATTCAGCCAAAGGATTACATGTTTGTTTGAATAAGCATGTGTATGCTGGGGTGATTAAAACATAATGATGTTTGAAGTTTACATAGTGACAGTACTGAACAAATCCACACTTTAAAGCTCCATAATGGAGGGGGATTATCTTTCCCCCATAGCCCTTGGCTACTTCCAGACACCTCCCAAATGCCACAGGCTAGCTTAATATTACATGGCTGCCACTTTACACTTGAATCCTATAAATGGACATGTGTGAGGAAAAGGCAGTGTGAAAGTATTTCCCACGTGTGAAGGCTTTCCTGTGTAGTGGTAGTGTGCTTGTGTGCTGTTCTGCACCATAATACCTCATGAATCTGCATCACTGCGAATGGCTTTTTTACATCAATATGGAGTTCAGGATTGATATTGACCTAAAGCTTTAGGGCAAAACACAAGCTGTACCCCTTTATTTGTCTGCTGGTGTGAATAATTTGGTTCAGCACAATTGAGAGCTACGCTACATGAATTTTCATGTATCAACTGAAGTAAATGCTCAAAAGCACAGTCGTATGTCATTAAAAATACAAATGATATCTTGAATATTTCTGAAGGAGAAGGTACATCTCCATCCTTAAACATATTTTTAGACGAGATTTGAAAATAAAAAATCCCAAATCTGGATCCCCTCTGAAGTTAACATAGGATATCCAAAAAGATAATCCATTAAAGGGCCTTTTGTGATCACCTTATACTTAATATATTTTTGGTTTGCATTGAGGCTGATGTTTTTGTAAAGGACCCTGGAGCCTATACTGGTCAGGCTTCAAACAGCTGTTGTTATCTCTACATCTCTGAGGTTCAGTAAAACTGCTACCCATCTATAATAGAGGGATGCATTAATGTATCAATTAAACGTTGGCAAGTATCAGCTTCGTTGTTGGTTTTCTGCAGCAGTCAATTCCTTCTGCCAATTAAATGCTGTTAATGCTCCCGTCATTCATATCATAAGCTCCAACTCAAGGAATCATGAAGTAGTGTCAAAGTCACTGGAGTTGGCAGGAAAATCAGTACAGAGTGTTGTATTTATTCATGTAAGATGTTGATATTTGGCCTCAGGTTATAAGCAGGACAGGACGATGATACATGCCACATCAGTATTTTGTCCTTCCCCTCCCATTGATGACCTGACCAAACGCAGCTTTGGAGATTTTTAAAGGCTATTATGAGTGTTTGAAAGATTTCTGTTTGTGTTCCTCTGTTGTAAAACTCAGAAGTGAAGGGCTCTCAAGCTGTGAACTTTGAAAGTTTTAAAGATCCAAATTACAAGTGGTGTTGCCACTGTGCAGTCTTGGCTTTTTGGCTTTAGGGCAACAAGAGGAAATCTCTTCAAATAAACTACTGATTTAGAGTCAGCCCCGGGTTTTAAAGTCAGTGGATAGGCCACTTATTTGTCTCTTATTTGTCCCTCAATCCACCAACACCCACATTTATGTTGGCATTAGCCTTAAAGCTAATCTGAGAAGGTAACAGTCTTTTGTGTGTTTGCGTTTGTGTGTGTGTGTGTTTGTACACATGCATGTCTCAATAGTGTCACTAAGCTGCAGAGATGAGAGCTGCCCTGAAGTCTCCAAATCCTGCTTTACAGCATACAGTTTGTATATATGTGTGTGTCTGCCTGAGTGTGTTTTCCACTGTGTGAAAATGAGTCACGGCTATAAAAATCCACACCATGCCGCCCTGGCAGGATAATCGGGACATAATGTTTAGTTTCTTTCTATCTCTGTGGATTAGTTTATTTTCATCCAGGGAGAATTTTGCGTATTGTGAAAATCGCCTCATGTTTGGTTGTCTCAGCTTTATTTAAAGCGGTATCTCACTGCGGGTGTGATTTAAAGCACACAACACTCCACCATGACTCACCAAAAGCTCACCTCAGTCATCATCTGGCTCTCTGGGAATCCTGGAGTGACACTTCGACCCATTATCATTTCTTTAAATTCAGACAAAGTTTTAACAAGACAAACTCTTACAACAACTTAGTTAACAGTATTTTGTTAAAATGAACTCATTCTGTCAAAAATGTGTCCTCTATTTGTATCAGCTGATGGTGAGTGAGCTATTTTTGGAAGGATTATCTTTCCTAGAGGCTTGTTCAACTGTTTTATTTTTTTATATCTGCTAGTGAATTTACACATAAATCCCCAGGTAGTCATCCAGGAAGTGATGTCATCCTTCATACCTGCAGCAGCAATGTTGTCGATTGACATTTCACAAACTTTTGAAAGTTTTTTGAGTGAGAAGCTCAACAGAAAGAGGCCTGAACTTGGCCGCAGTCTTTGTTTGACACCCAATATCACACCCAGCTTGATGAATTGTTTGGCCGATCCTTCTGAAAGCTGTTCTATTGGATTGTTGTGAACAGAAATGCAATACAAGGTTGTCGAAAACGTTGCCTTTGCCAAGTTCTGCCTTGGACGTTGGCTCGTGACTCAGAATTTATGATTCATATCTCAGAGTGTCATGCAACAGGAGGAATGGAAAGTAGGAGTTGGATATCGAGATTTTTATCATAAATTCGAGCACCAAAAAAACTCTGGGTTCAGGGTGGAGTGATTTTTTTTTTATATGTTACAGCACAGAAGCTGCCTCAATACCAATCTTGGAAGAGTAAGATTTTGGTAAAATAACCTCATGTTCTTTAGGACACAAAATACTGCACAGGACAGAAGTATTTTCTGTTTCTGTTACTAAATATGAGTTCAGTCTTTCCTCTATGCTCTGATAGTTGGAGTTTAAAAGCACTTGGTGAGCACAGTCAAAATATTTTGGCTGTCTGCTAAAGGCAGCTTAGTATCAGCCTTAAAAAAGAAAGGCCCCAAGACCAGGAAGTGGATCATCGCTGGCTCTTAATCCCTTTGCTCCGTTTTGGAATCTCCCTTTCTCTTTTAGTCTCAGATCATTGCAGTTTATGATACTCACACATCCTGTGTGTCTCCTTTTCAACTGTTTACTCAATTGCTTGTGTGTGTGATGAAGAAAGTTAAACAGCTCAATCAGTCTGCCTTTTCTTAGATGCAATAATGCCACCTGTCTCATGGTACGCGACACAAAAACGTGTGTCTGCGGTGTTGATTTTCTTCTTCTTAAGGTCCTTTTGCACCGGGACTGTTTTTTTCATGTGATTATTTCGGACGCCAAATTATTTTGAACCCATATTCTGTCAATACAAGCGTTTCGGATCACGGACCAATCAGATTGCGTGTTGTTGCGAAGTCTGATTCACCGGTATATCCAACATGGCGAACTGGCTGATTGTTTACATGTCAGAGAACAGAATGCTTTTTGATAAAAGACGCAAACATTAAGATAACAACCTGAAGGACAACTTGTGGAAAGTCATAGCATCAGGTCTCTCATATGAAGATGGTTTGTGTGCTTTAACAGTTTGCTAAACGTCTTTGTTTTAACTTTCACCTTTGCTAAGTAACTTTAGCTCGTAAGCTAACCTGTTCAGATACAACATACCATATGTATTTTCACAGTCTCAAACTCTATCACGTTGCTGTCACAGCACCATAAGGTCTCAGTTGTTACCTTACGTTTATGGATTATAGTTTAATGTGCTTATCTGGTACTGGCCCCAACTCAGTACATGCTATCATGACAGACAGCCATCTCAACACTAGTGCCTAATCAGAGCTGAAAAACAGTCAGTCTGGTGTTGTGTCAGTCTTCTCGCTTCCACCTGGGACGCCCCCCCCCCGGAAAGTCGCAAAATCGTATTGGCTTGATATATATATATTTCGTAATTTCGCGTCATATATTTGCGTCAGTCCCGGTGTGTAAGGACCTTTAGTGTTACTGTAAGCACAATAAGATCATGTTTTTACACTTTGCATTTAACCTTGATTCCAAAATGGTTGAGACACTGTAAAATCTTCATTAACAATAGAATGTGATGCTTTGCAAATCATCTAAATCCCAAGATTAATTGAAAATAGTGCATGGATAACCTCACATTTGTTGGTATTTGTAGTATTTTAATAAAAGTATGGTTGGTTAAGATTTTTTTTTCCATGGAAAGTCCCGCCTCCTTCGCCTCTGATTGGCTAGAAAAGCACATGTAACTATCGTAACAACCATTAGCTTACATTAGCACAGAGGAAAGTTAAAACAAAGGCGTTTAGTAAAGTGTTAAAGCACACAAACCATCGTCATATGAGAGATCCAACGCTATGTTGTCCTTCAGGTTGTTTTCTTTGTAATGTTTGCGTCTTTTATCATAAAGCACTCTGTTCTCCGACATGTAAACAATCAGCTGGTCGGCCATGTTGGATACATTGGTGAATCAGACGTCGCAACAACACGCTATCTGATTTGTCAGAAGTGGACACACAGTCTGCGAAACTTTGGAAAAATCGACCACGATCCGAAAAAATAAATGCCGCAATATCGCAGGACGGTAAAACGTCGCTGATGTGAACACCTGTATTGACAGGATACGGGTTCGAAAAAAAATATCAACGTCCGAAATAATTGCACGACAAAAACGGTCCAGGTGTGTAAGGACCTTTAATCTCATTGGTGTCTATCAGTTGCAACCTTTGGCCTACTTAAATTAAAAGCGGTGATCAAGGGTTAAATTAAGACAAGTGATAGGTTAATGTAGATCATCGGACACTAATCTGAAGTTTTGGGTGACTTTGTTTTGAAGTCTTCTGTAATGAAGCGTGTTATATATATCATCAGCTGCTCTTATGTTACTACTTCTAAACATGAACTCCAGTATGTCTTATTCTGCTCTAAGTCAGAACAAGCAGAATTTTGATCAGTGGCATTACTTTAAAATCCAGGTTTTGTTCAGTTACTCTCACTCGAGTTGGAGCCCAAACTTTTAGTCATCAAATTAATTAATCAATTGCAGAAATCTAATCAGCAACAAATCTTCAGTAATCCGTTCAATTCTCTTTCTAAGCCAAATTGCAGATTGTTTTTTTTTTGTTTGTTTCAGTGTTTATTGTGACGGTGTTACAGTAGCCTGAATTTGTAAACTGTCTTTATTTAGATTGTGTTAAGTTTTGAGTCAGTGCTCTGATAAAACAAGACATTTCAAGACTTCAACTAAAGTTCTGAAATTGAGCTAAGAATAAGCTAAGAAATTAATGGACTTTAAACTGTTGCAGATAAACTGGGTCAGGAAATCACTGTTGGCTGCCACCTGAAATTAATATTCGGTGGGGTGGGGATCCAAAATGATATTCCTTTGTTAAGTAATAAGAAAAACACAGGATTAACCCTTCTACTTTTCCTCAGTCTTCCTCTCAGTCTGTCTTTACCTTTCTCATGTTGGTCGCACACAAATGCCAGGCCGGTCGCAGAGAGCGAGGCTGAGGAGAAGTGCAGCCACAACTTCCCCAGAGGCTCATGCAAGCGTCAGTTTGTGTTATAAATCATTCAGGGACACTCAGAAGGGGCACACAATACATTTTTATCCTTCTTCCCTCATCCCTCCATCCTCTCTTCTTCTTTTATTATTGAATGCGATTCCTCTGAGCACCCAATCTGCCGCTCGGCACGATCAAAAAGAGAGAGGAGGAGGAGGAGAAAGCGGAGGTTGGAGGGGTGAAACCAATAAGACCAGAGGCCTGGATGAGAAGCGGATGAAATAAGAGAGGTAGAGGAGGAAAAGAAAAGAGCCGCTGCTGCAGTTTGAATTCACACAGGAATTAAGCAGCTCAGAGCAAAGGTTGAAGGGTTATTATTGATGCTCTGAATTCTGTATCGACTGTACTTCCTGTTTGTTGCTCTGCTTATACACAACAGTTGGTTTGTAAATAAGGATGTAGTTCAGGGTCAGGTTGCTGACGCTGTAGATGCGCCACCACCTGCTTGTCAAACTGAAACACAGTCCGGTGGCTGATGGCGTTCTGCTGTCAGAACTACTCGCTCATACTTGATGTGTGAGTGTGCTGCATGTGTGTGAGAGACGCTGTGTGTGTGTGTGTGTGTTGGTGTGGGAGACAGCATAATATTGAATTATTGCTCGTGGGAGTGTGCGTGCCAAAGCTCGTGTTTGTCCATGGCACTGTGCGAAGCGTCCTTGAACTTGTGGTTGAAAGAGGGAAAAAAGAGGATGTGTTGAGCTGCGAACAGGAGGCCCTTCCTCTCGAATTAAAGGCCATGACATTAAGTGTAAGATACCAGTGCATTATGGGATAGATGTTGGTCCCCCTATGGCTCTAGATATGAACAAGTCATATTCAGTCAACATGAAGATGGTTTCAGCATTGTGCTATAGATAAAAGTCCATGAGCAGAGGCTGCAGTTTCAGGGCTGCAGTCTGGCACCCTTGTGTAAAAGCAGCAGTTACAGTCAGAAGTAAGAAACAAGGACGTGGCGATATGGCCTCAAATATCATATTGAGCAATAAATGGACGAAAACTACTCCACAAGATGCTCACCCCCTCCCACATTAACTTTGTCTACTTCAGCCGCTGCTCCAGCCGCTACAACTTTTGAACTGTCCTCCATCCCCTCACCTGTCTGTCCCTCTTTGTTACAGACTGGATGGGGTGGAATCACATCTCTGACGTAGGACAGTGTCTTAAAGGGACATGAGACCATAGCCTACCTACACACATCCAAACCAACTTTTATTTATTTATTTATTTTGGCACCGAATATACTGATAAGGGCAAAACGACGTTGGTGACTGTTGTAAATTTCAGTATTGATAAATTTTATCGCCCAGCCCTATAAGAAACTAAAAAAAAGACAAAAAATGTCACATTGCACACTAAAAAGGCAGTCCCTTTAATATCTAATGCAGGAGGTGGTGCCACCAATAATAACAAGGGTCTTCAAATTACAGTCTTAAAATTGTGGTGCTGACTCTACAGCCTATGCGTCTGCAGACACAAGACACTCAATATGGGGCAGCTTGTGTACCATGTGAGTAAAACCAGTGCCCCAGTTTCCCCAAATTTTGCTTAATCCCAAGAGAAGACCTAATGAGTTCTCTTTCTCTTACCTGACGCCAGTAATACCTGAGATCAGAGGCGCACTTGGACGACAAAGTGACACAGAAATGCCAAAGGAATCTCAAACTGAAGGCTTGATCCGTAACAGTGATGCATCGACTTTATATTAATCCAATGATCGGTAAACTTCACTCTGACTGATTTTATACTCGCCAAACTGAGAGTGACAGTCCTTCCAGTATACCAGAGCACATTTCCTCTGAACTTTCTGTGGAGGTGTCATCTTTCCTGAAGCTGATTAGGGACGGGATCGTGGCTGTGGATCCTGGACTTGCTAAGAGGATAATAACTGATAGTCATTAAAGAGATTTTCATTGGCCGTTGTTGAGTCATCCCACCATCTGTTATTGGTGAGGACATTTGAAAGCTTCTCTCTGTTTGTACTGGAAGAACATCGCCTCCATCTCCTTCCCTCGTGCATTTTATGTGATAAAAAAAGAAATGCATATTTTTCTAGTTTATCATAGTTTGTAAGGTGTATAAAAGACATGACAGATGCTTGTAGAAGTTGCCTGCCTCTGTGATAATGATCTTGTGTTTGGTGTTATGCTCTGTGGAAAGAGACACTGTATGAAGAGACTAAAAGAGAAGGGAAGTCAGACTCTTTGGCATTCAGGAGTTTGCAGAAGTGACACTCATCCATGAAGCACATTAGATCTTTGTCACAGAGACTTAAAAATAGACAGTGTCATACACAGTTTTCATTTAGCAATGCAACTATTACTGGTACTGGTTTTACTAACATTACAGCTTTATGTTTTATTTTCCTACTCATTATAACGACTGCCTGGTGTATCAACACTATTGAATGCTGACCGCATCTTCCCGTGCTTCAAGTACTTTGTTTTTGTCCACAGCCTGCAGATATTGTCCACCAGAGGGGAAGAGCATCTTTGGATTTGATAAGCTGGAACCAGTGACTTTTTGGCAGACTCATCAAGAATAATACAGATTGTTTTGTTTTTCTGTCTGTTCAACCTCAGGTGCAGTGTTATTCCAACCATGAGGAAAGTCAGCAAGAAGTTAACTCTGCACTGAATCCAAGACGGTAGAAAAGGAAGGAGGCAGAAGATATTCAGACACCCTCTTCACACTTTTCACACAGGTGGGTTATACACGACATGACTCTTAGACAGTGTCTGCTCAGTCTTTGTTTTCATTTTTTATTTTGTGATAGTGACTTCGTGATTATTGAACAACAGACTTTTGAAGTCACCCTGTTCAGTCTTTCCTACCGTAACAGCATTTGTGTGTTTATGTCAGATGTTGCATGTTGCAGTTGGACATTCAGTCCAGGCATCATCCGCCTGCAAACTTGTTTGCCTCATAATGGAAGCTTGCTGCCCTGCTGGCTCTCCAATGTACAGAACAGCTAACCAAACCTCTGTCACACTGGATTGAAGCTGAGCCTGGAACTTTGTCTGGCCTGTACCATGGTATTTTCAAGATGTCTTTGTGTGTTTGTGTACGCATATTTGAACTCCTGTGTGGGGGTGGAGCGCTGCAATGTAATGATTGGTGGTTGCACGTTGGCAGCATGCAAAAAAGTAAATTGGTAGATACTTCAAATTAGAGGCCATATTTTGTGGTTGACATTTTGTAACTTGGATGGGTGTGATTGTTCATGAAGCCAAGTACAGATCTTGTATTCCTGTTTGTGAAAAGTGGACGAATTGGGTTGTACAGTAAAAAGTCGAGGACAATGGTAATTTGGTCGATGCTGAATGACGGAGGCCTGGTTTTGGACTAAAATAAGTCAAATTGTACATGTAGCAGAACATAACTGTGGATTTAAGTGACTTGAAATCAGGTGGTCCAAAAGGCCTCTGAAAAAGATTCAGACTTTAACAAATCAGTTGTCTCAGAGAAAATGATTCGCTCTAATTGGAGTCGGGCTGAAGTTTGCTCATAGTTCTGAAAACGTCTGAGAATTGTGTAGTAATATAATATTATGTCTGTCAACTTGTTGTCATCATCACACAGAGCCGACAGCAAAGACTGGATCTAGTGTGAAGCCAGGCATGTATGTGTGAGTGTACTTTGTGTGCCGTGGGCAAATCTTGCTGTTGAGTCACACCCCTATTGGAAAAAGAGCTTGTGAGGACAGGGTGTGGTGGAGGGGAACAATTTGGGTTAGAGAATGACCAAAGGCTGATTTCAGATGTCTGGACTTTCTCTCTCACATGCGTGAACCTGAGGGCACAGTACCTGTGAAGTTCAAACCAGCCAGGAATGTCATATTCAACAATCAAGTCCACAAGAATGCTCACAGTCGCTCAGAGGTCTATGAGCCCACAGAGCACCCATAAACATACAAGTGTTCTGACTTTTTTTTTGCCTGATTAGATCTGTGTTTTTAGAAAAGCAAAAATGTTAACACACTGATGTTGTCCCTCTGGTGGCTTGGCCTGTATATTTCGAAGAAAAGTAGGACACAGGAGCTTGATGTAAAGCAAAAAAGATACTTGGGTATAGGGCTGTGAGATAGGGCCTCAAATCAATATCTCAATATATTGAGCAGTTCACCTCGATAACAATAAATGGACAATAACTTCTCCACAAGCTGCTCACCCCCTCCTACATTAACTTCATCTACTTTAGCCGCTGCTCCAGCCGCTACAACTTTTGAACCGTCCTCCATCTCCTTACCTTTCTTTCTCTTTTTGTTATGGACTGGATGGGGTGGAATCACGTCTCTGACATAGGACTGCGTCTTAAAGGGACATGCGACCATAGCCTAACTACACACATCCAAACTAACCGTTTCTTTTTTTCACACGGACTATACTGATATGGGCAAAATGATGTCGGTTATTGTCATAAACTTCGGTATTGGTAAATTTTCGGGTTTATTGCCCAGCCCTACTTGAATATGGATTTATTTCTTTCAACCGTGATCTTTGGTGTGAACCTGAAGTCAGCTTCATACATTTCAGATCTCATTAAACAAATGGACACCAGTCACTTCAGCTACAGTCAAAGTACCTCTGCCACTATCAGCCTTGACACTGATTTATTTTTACCATTAACACTGGCGTGAATATATATTTTATATTTTGCACACACACTTTTTTTTATCCTAATGCCCACATGAGATTCATTTCCCCTAATAGTGATTTGGCCACAGTGGCAGCTAACAGAAGTAGAGTAATGAAGTCATTCGTGACTAACAACAACATAGACTAGACCCCAGTCCACTCGTTATTCCAAAACAAAAATAACTACAATCCAAAACTACACTCACCCAAAAGCCATTGCCTCCTCATGTTACAGCAGATATCATTCTTCATTAATATGAGTGAATTGTAGCTCAGCAAGTTAAGACCTTAAGTTTTATATCTGCAGGGATTTCTTTCTGAATTACAGCAGGTCTGCTCGTGTTATGTGTGTTTCAGGATGACTGAGTTCAAAATGAGTTCAGGAAGTAGACTGTGGCTGTGACTTGTGGTCCAAAGAGTGGCTGTAAAGACTGTAACACAGGACAGTCACTGCTAATTGAAGCTTAGCTGAATTAGTTCAGTGGTAAATGAAAATTAATTTCTGAGAGACCACTCACAATAAATGTCTCCCATTGTCATGTTGTTAAAATTCCTTTATTTTGGAACCTCCACAAAAGGAAATGGCTGTACCCTAACAGGACTCAAACAGTTCAATAAAGTAGATAAAGAGGAAAGTGAAAGAGGAATGAAAAGTGAAACCGCTCTAGATGAATTAAAAGCTACAATTTACAGAGAAGTGAAAGCAAGGGACCCCCTAAAAAAATCCTTTACTGTTCTGAGACAGAAACAAGAGTTTATCATAGTGACATAGGCCTGTTTGAAAGGCAAAAAGGTTCAAAGCAAGTGAACATGCCTGCCAGTCTTTGTATTTCTGCAGTATAATACTATTACTGCAAGATTTAAACACTGTGATATCACCCAGCCCTATCTTCATTACAGACCAGTAAAGAAAGTGTCTTTCACACTGCTTGAAGGGATCCTGATTGTTGTGAATTTGAGCAGGTTTGACTTTAACAGTTACATACTGTATACACGGTACTACACGCCTGTATCAGTCGAACCTTCTGCTCATAATCTGCACAAATATGAATGGAAAATGCTCATAAATATACTGAAACTTCACATAGAAGATGTGAGTGCTTCAGATATGTCCTCTTGCATATGAATGAAGTCCTTGAGGGCCTAGTCAGGAGGACTGACATTTGAGTTAAGCTATTGTGCTCTTAAGGTTGTATATAAGTGGGTTTGTGCACCTGTGTGTGTGCATGCATGGGTATCCATTCACTATGCTGGGTAAAGGTATCCATTCAAGGCCACGCGTATCGATTTCCAGGAGAAATAATACATGTCTAATTTTCCATGATAAGAAACAATTATATCACATTCTCCTATTGAGAAGCATCGCCTATGTGACATACATTTGTGACTTTATACCCCTTTAACTTGAAATCAACTGACTCGCTCAAATCCATTTGCAGAATGATGTCCTTCAGGGTCTTGTGTGGTCGCTGCCTTTTTCTCTTTGCAACTTTCTTTATCAAAGTTTTCCGTGGTCTTTCGGCTGTTAGCGGTACTGAGAAATTAAGTCAAAATCTGAAGGCCTTCCTGTAATAAATCTCTGCCGCAAAGAACTGCACACCTCTCAAAGGAGATCAAATCTGCTGGTGCAAGATTAGTTGACAACGAACAGGAATAAAAATGCAAGAGGCACTGTTTTCTCTGTCCTAAGTTATTGTTCACTTTAAGTGAGTTTTAATTTGTGGTTTTGAATTAAACTGCTTTCAGGATGATGCATTGACATGGGAAGGCATCACAAGTACAACTGGCACTGTGCACTCTAGTAGACCTCCATATCAATAAAAACATATTGGCCCATTTACATCATGCAGGACGCATGCATTCACACATGTACGTCACATCGACGCAAACAGTTCTCTCCAGGGACCCTGCATTCTGGAGAGATCTGAGGCTTTATCTGCTTGCGGGCTTTAAGGTTTTATTAGACATGATTAATTACTGAAATGCAGTGATTTTCATTTTTTCCTAAGTGTGCTTGATCCAGTTTTTTTTTCATTGCCCACTCATATAGTGTATATGATCAGACAACTCAAAAGCTCCGAGCCTGCTCTCTTTAATGCCACGATTAAAGTAACTGTAACTGAATCATTACATAATTCTTCTCTCTTCCACACACACACTGCCGTCACACTACATCTCAACTCACTATTTGGCGGATTTACCAGTTCATTTTTTCTTTTCCTTCCCCGTTTGTGATTAGAGCTGGTGATTTTAATCCCAGTAAGAATTCCCACAGTCTGCCTAATTCCTGTTCCTGCCTAAAGCCGGTAGGGGGTCCAATAAGCTGCTAAGCCCCCCCTGGCTATACACGCACAAACACACATCAACTGACGCACACATATGGACACTCCAGCCCTCTCGCTGGTAAGGTGGTGGAGAGAAATTTACAGTTCAATCTGCACATGCATATCCTCAAATGTGAACACACACACGCACAAGAACACGAATTAGCATACAATATACAGTATGCACACTGCACACACATACAGTGCACGTCACTAATGCTCCCATAGGAGTTGAACACAGTAGAGCAGAAGACTGAACATAAAAATGAGTGATAAGAAATTCAGATTGTCTTCTTTGTCAAAGCTTTTCTTTCTGAGGAAGTTGATAAAAGAGAAGAGAGTTTCAAAAGGAGTGCCGAGAGTTAGAGAACTGAAAGAATTTAAAGATAAGACGGGAAGGAGAATATGAAGAAGATACTTGATGTGTCTGTAGAGCTGTTTCCTATCAAAGTCAGTCTGAAATGTTTCAGTGAAGGGATGTTTTCATGCATTCATAATGTCCACAAACACAAAAATAGAATGTCATTATACAAGTGTCTCTTCCTTGTGCTGTATTATTAATTTTAGAACACTTTCAAGAGTTAAAGGTTCATTGTGTAGGGAATATTTAGCACTAATCTAGATTAAAACGCACCCTTGCTCACCCCCCTTGTCAGTGAAATGATAGTGGCCTTTGGGGACATGAAGCCCCTGTAATGTATGATACATGCGATTCACCGTTCATCATATTTTTACTATCAAAAACTTCTACACAGTTTCTTTTGGGCACAACTACAGTAATTCTCTTCTTCTTCCAGCCACTGTATTCCAACATCTGCTCATTAATTACTAAAACGTGTTTATTACTAGTTTGTCTGTTCTGTGCTACGATAGAGACAAGCCAGTGCAAGATGGCAGCCAATGTTGGAGGATACTAGCTCCTAAATTCTACACTCTGAATTTTGAATTTAACTTCAGCTATATTGACATTATTTGCAAACACTTGTTTTAAGTTTTTTTTTTTTTTTATGATAGACAATTCGTGCTGTCCACTGCCTTTAAAACTACTAGGGGTGGGAGAAAAATTCGAAAAAGCATAGTATTGCAATATTTTGTCTGGTGATATATCATATCAATGCCAGTTGCTGTTAGCGGTTGTCAGCTGTTGTTAGCTGTTGTCAGCTGCTGTTATAACCAATGCATAACACAGTATTTTACTCTTACAAACACCATAGCACCGTGTGGACAGTTAGACGTTGGGCAGCACAACATATGATATACCACATATTTATTTCACAAAAACAAAACAGAAGTGCTAATAAATAATACATTGCGAGAACTTTCACTGTTACTCTTCAAGGTCCTTACACACCAGGATGGATTTCTGTCGTGTGACTATTTCGGATGTCAATATTTTTTTTCGAACCCATATCCTATACAAGCGATCACATCAGCAACATTTTTTGTCCTGCGATATTGTGGCATTTATTTTTTCAGATCACAGTTGGTTTTTCTAAAGTTTCGCATACTGTGTGTCCACTTCTGACCAATCAGATTTTGTGTTGTTGCGACGTGAGATTCACCAGTATATCCAACATGGCCGACCAGCTGATTTTTTACGTGTCAGAGAACAGAGTGCTTTTTTAAAAAAAGACACAAATATTACAAGGACAACTTGTGGAGAGTCATAGCATCGGATCTCTCATATGTTGTCTTTGTTTTAACTTTCATCTGTGCTAACGTGAGCTAATGGTTGTTACTATAGTTTCATGTGCTTATCTTATCACCTCTTATCACCGTTTGGCTTGAGCGTGTGATGACGTTTCCAGCTTTTCTAGCCAATCAGAGGTGAAGGAGGCGGGACTTTCTGAGTTGGAAATCCGACTTCAGGGGGGTGTTCCAGATGAATTTCCGACTCGGAGCTCGGAAATTCTGACTTCCAAGTTCAACTGGACTGCAGCATTAGTACAACAAACAGTACCTGAAAGGGACATTAGGAATGCAAGCAGGGTACAAATGAGATGGACATGACATATGAGGTTTGCAAGAAGTGCTACATGAAAATAAAATATTGAGTCAGTAAGACAAGTATTAGGGAAAGACAAATGCCAAATCAGCTAAGCAGTTTAAAAAAATGTACAAATCACAATATATGGTATCATAATACTCAATGTATTGCAAAATGTTAAAAATCGCTGTAATATCGCATCGTGGCCCAAGTATCATGATATTATTGTAACGTGGGGCCACTAGTGCTCCCCACCCCTAATAACTACTAAACCAAAGTAATAGGCTGATCTCATTTTTCAGATGTACAGTATTTCATGGAAAAAGAACAGCTCGATATTTGAGACAACATAGAAGTTATAAATCATTCCTGGCTTTTACCTTTTACATCTTTCCCTCTATTTTCCGGGGTATACGCCTCATTCCTGTCTTTAGTCACCATGAATAGACAATGCCGTGTCCTATTTAAGTGTGTCTGGTGCAGCACATGGTCTGCAGCTATATCCAGTAGCCTGATGGACTTGGTCCTGCAACAACATGTTGGTACATCAATTAGTCATAACTGCACCAACAGGGGGCCTGGGGGGTAGGATTGTGTACGGTGTTGTTTGTGTGTACGTTTCTCTTTGTGTGTGTGTCTAGTGTAGCTATGCATGTTGAACTTTGGCCCACATTTAACACATGTATGACTGCATGTGATAATATCAAACAGAGAACCTTTGGAGAATAACAGTGTGTGTGTGTTTTACATTGTGTTTCCTGTCTTGAAAAGTAAAGCACCGGCTCTTTGAAAAGTTGGATATCAGCCAGATATTGTTGACTGCTTTCTTTTTGTGGCTGCCAGAAACTGATGAAGAGGAAACACTGAGTTCATGTCATGTTCAGAAATTGTCAAAACTTCAGATAATCGCCATGAAGACTTTCAGAACAAAATCCTTTTTTATTATCCTTCCAAAAAACGTTGGATCCTAAAGTCTTCTTAGCCATGTGTGCGTGTGTGTAGTCAGGCCAGATTAGCATAAACCGTATAATCTCTTTTACATATAATTTGTTTTTATGATGCATAGTTTATTATATACAGAAAATCTTTTAGCACCATTACCCACCCCCACAGTCACCCCCTCACACGCCATCTCATTTCACACGCAGACATCAGTGTGCACGTACAAAGCACAGTTATTCCTGCACAAACACACTACTGCTCACCTGCACGTTAGCATGGGTGTGTAGTACATATAGCACATATAGTTAAGAAGTCACACACACACATATACACAAACCCTGTGTTTAATCTGTCGAAACTATTTGCTTAATCAGCTCTTTCTCTCTCTCTGTAACAATACAATTCATACATCCACAGTAGCCACACAAGCAGACACACACACACACACACACACATATACACACGGGGTGAACTGTCCAAACACGGGGCTCTGCCGAACTAGTAACAGCTTTAGCAAGCCCACCGTGTTACAACCTGTTGTTGCCACATTGCATCACTTCACACATCTTAGAGGAGAGGAGGAGGAGGAAGAGTGAAAAAGAGGGTGAGAGGGAGGTGTGTAGAGTCTCCAGAGTGATCACATGACTTGAGTGTTCGTTTGTTCCATTTTTATCTGTCTTTTACTCCTTCACCCACTACTTCCCTCATAGTGGTTTGGATCATCAAAGCATCTTTAGAAGTAGAAATGCTCGCTGACTCTCTGTAGATCTGTATTAAACCCCGTTTCTCTTCTCTTTCTCTAATTAAAATTCTTTATTAATGTCTTTTATTTTGTTCACTTCCCCTTCTTGCCTTATTTGTAATAATGCGTGTGTGTCTGTGTGTGCTTGTGCTTTGGGTGTGATTTTAAAAGGTAGAGCTTTGAGAGGGTGTTTATTTTGGCAGTTATCTGTAGAGTGAGGAGATGAGAGATGGTCCTGGGCTGATGCAACAAGAGGACACACACACACACACACAGTCACACACACACACACACACACACACACACAAACACACACACTCATAGACACAAGTTTATGGATGGAAAATGCACATCAAAAGATATAATTACTTAAAACATTCATTAACAAACACAAATTTGAGGCGTGTCTTTTTGCAATACTTGATTTGTTGTGTGATTAACATAATTTTTTGTCACTGTTTGTCAAGTGCTGATAAAAAAACTGTCGGTGCTACAAGAATATATAGAGCTACGCGATAAACCAGATTTTGATTTCAGTTTATTTTTGGCTCCCCACGTTCATAAAACATGATAATCAAGCCTGAACAAATTTGTGCTGCCTTCCATGTTTCCCCTATTACATCATGGAATGGATCACACCATCTCTCTCTTCCTTAACAGTTGAGTTCTGGAGCAGCCCCTCCTCTCAAACAGCTTGCATTCACATTTGAGACTATCAGGCCACCACAGGTGGAGAGAGGAGAGCAGGGAGAGGAGAGGAGGAAGCAGGGGTCTGTTTCTGTGCGTGTCTGAAAAGCCAAGGGACAGACTGAGCACATCAAGAGAGAGAGAGAGGCTGGAATGATCATGGGCATGCAGGAATACGAAAGAGCGATAACAACTCCCTGGCTAGAAAAATGACGCATCATTCAGAATCATAATAAAATACAAGCCTGATATAAACTTGACATTATTAAGGATGTTTCATAAAAGCTTGGAAAGATTAGTTAGATTTGCTGTCTGTGATAAAAGCTGTAAAGAGCTCAGATCATTCCATTTTTGATGACTTAGTGAAAAAAATACCTAACTACAATTAAAATGCTTGAATTAATGGTTAGATCAATATCAATCAAAATGATTACGATGATAATTTTGCCACAATCAAGCAGCCCTACAAGGATGATCCGTCAGTCAGATGCCTGAGGGACATCCTACATGAAAAAAACAAGCGCAGCCTCCGATACTTACAAGCAATGCTTTTACATTCAGCATATTATTACCACAAATATTTGTCGGTATCTGCGGCCTACAGGTTGTCACGTTGCTCTGCTGTACTCTACTATTCATTCATTATTCGTCACACCTCAGTCACAGGCACAGAGGTCTCAGCTGAGAGGTTTCATGCTTCTCAAAAATCCCTCAAGAGTGACCGAGAGTTGCCCCTAGGCAATAAGCATGTAAGCCGGTATATACGATCCTTCACATTATGTAAGCGGGTAAACTGAAACCATGCCTGGCGTTCATGTGACAACCACACCGTGGTTTCCAAGCCAGTTCCCGGGCATTCATAGAGAGAAATCAAAGCTTTATACCATGAAATTAGCTTTAGTCAGGGTATAGTTAGACTGGCTGACATTCCTTAAGCTGAGATGGGATGTTGCAGCTTCACAGAACATGTTTCTTCACTTTATAGCTAGCAGAGGGTGAATGTGCACCCTGGTTCGGAGGATATCGCACTGACCTCACCTGTAGAAAGATTTGACTGATAATGGAAATCAATGGATCTTTGCCAATAGTCATATCCTGCATGATCATCATAGTATTATTTTGTTATAAGCAGGTAGAATGACCAACATTAAAGGCCAACATCATTTCCTGATGTTGGCCTTTAAAAAGGAGCTTCTTGGAGTTGTCTTTTTACACTTCTACTAAAAGGTAGATTATCCTGAATCTTCAGGCGTCATTACAAACCCAAAAGTTTGCCTAAGCACAACAAAAATTTTGACAATATTGCAAAGTATGAAGATGGAATCGTGACTGAGGCTTCCTTCCACTGTGAACCTAAATTGCTCTTCCATCAGTCATGTTAGCTTTAAGAGGAGTGGTGGGAAAAGTGCAAGGCCTGATCGAAATGTGTTTACTTTTTTCTGGACTGCTTCCCTTTTTTTCAAACTTGAGTAAACCGTGTTAAACAAACTATTTATCACAGCGCAGCTTCTTGTCTCTCTTTGAAATGATGCTGGAAGAAAAAAAAATCTCCTTAAGCTCCAAGGGATTCATCTTTATTAAGGATAATGCAGTATACAGTTCATAACTTTGACACTGACACTTGGAAGAAATATTTGATACATTTCTCCAAAGTTATTGCCCCAGTCCTGAAATAGTGCAGCCTTGGAAACCCTCTAAAGCTGGAAGTGAGGTCTATATGCTTGTGGTGTTTGAAACAGGGCACAGGCCTTTGCCTTTAAGACAGATATTTTTGGAGTGGGTGTGATGGCTTTTATCCCTCTAAGAGCCAGGGATTAGGGTGATGCTGATGCTTAGTGTCTTGGCCTGTGTGCCTGTGTGTCTTGCTGCCTCTGCCTGTATGTCAGCCTGCTCTGTGTGGGGCTGGCCTTTGGAGCCAGATTTGCTTGCTGCATCTGGATGATGTGCTCGGAGATTTCACGGGAGGCAGACACACAGAAGAAGAGAGAGAAAGAGAGAGAAACAGAAAGACGGGAGATGGTGCAGGCCTGCATGCATGTCTGCGACTGTGTGTGATGCATGTGCAGTGAAGCTAACTGGAGCAGGGGGTCCAGGATGCGTACACGCTTGACGGCCCGACTGCAGCCGTGTGATGCAAAACATTTAGTGATAGCGTGTGTCTGCACGCACATGGGCGACTGTTACACTGTGTGCATGTGTGGACATGATGCATCAGTGACTCAGCTTCAGCTGTCAAATGTCTGTCTGTCTGTCTGTCTGTCTGTCTGTCTGTCTGTCTGTCTGTCTGTCTTTCTGTCTGCCTCTGTACAAGTGTGTCTGTGTCTTTATATGTCTGTGTGTGCGTGCGTGCGTGCGTGCGTGCGTGCGTGTGCGAGTGTGTTTGCATGAGCAAGTGTGACTGTAACTTGGATGAGCAGCAGGACCAGACAGCTAGCCCTCATCATATGACTGTCTTTTTTCCTCTTATCATCTTTGAATCAACACACACACACACACACACACACACACACACACACACACACACACACACACACACACACACACACACACACACACAAACTTAGATATTCCTTGAAGTGCCTTTGATGTACCATGAGATCAAACAGTGTCTGAGTGTTGTCTGCATCTGTGTGTCAGCCTGATTTACTGCTTTGACACACTTAATTGCTGAAACTTCATAAAAATGTGTGTATGATTCACTCTTTATCCTCTTTATTAATATTTAAATTGTCTCACTTGGGTCACATCAGAAATTCTTTTTTACACTTGGAGTGATCTGTGTAAGTTTCCTGTAGACAGCTTGGTGTCAGATTGAAGGGGTTCTCTGTCGTCGTTTATCTGAAGGAATCAAATGTCACAATCGTGTCCGGCTCAGCGCACAGCAATAAAAACATTACAGCTCATCATCTGTCCTCTTTGCCCTTCTATTTCTCAGGTCTAGCTGGCCAATGCCGGGCCCGTCGTGGACATCTGGTGGCGGTCGAAGCAGCAGCAGCAGTAGTCCTGTGTGTGTGAGCCTGGTGCCCAAGGCCTAGCCCATGTCCAGCCCATAATGCCGTCGTCCACACGGAAAGGGGTGCCGAAGGACCCCGAGCTGGCCGACCTCTTTTTTAAAGATGACCCCGAGGATGTCTTTTGTGACCTGCACGAGATTGGACATGGCAGCTTTGGGGCCGTCTACTTTGTAAGTGCTTTGTTAGAGTTTCAACATTGTTGGATGGACTTTAAACAAACCCACAAAGAAAACCAATGTTAGGGAAATGCCAGGATACAATGAGATAAGAGAGCATAAGATGAGATGCAACTTTACATCTTCATACAGAAATGGGTTCTGCACTTTGTCCAAAAATTACACAAAAGAAAAAAAAAGATGTATACAGTAAAGGAAAAACACATTTAAACACAAAGACAACACTCCAGTGAAAGATTTAGCACATTTAGCCCACATAAACTCCCACAGGATCCATATACAGCACAAACAGTATATTAAAGGTTCTGTGAGGAGTTTTGAGCTGGTTATGAAACATAATGAAGTGGACATTGAAGCTTTTACATGATTTATGAGGCTAAACAAGTTTAAAGATTTTTATGCTGTTATTTCCAATGCCCATAACCACAATGAGGCGGTAGAAGTCAGAGCAGATGACTGACAGACAGTACCTTGAAATGTCAGCTTTTTTGCCTAACTTATTGCAATCATAAATGGAAGGATAATTGATTGTTAAAGGCAAAAATGCCCCAAAATGTACCAGAGTGAGATTTTTAAGCAGGGAATACTTCTTACACATGTTCAAGTGCAAGATCAGCTCTAAAGAAGAGGAACCAGTTTGTCCACAGAGGGTGCTAGAATGAACTCAAACAGAAAGTTCATGACAGGAGCTTCAACCATTTTTGTATTACTTCGATATTTAGCCTAAGCAGCAACCTCCACTCTTTAGCTGGCAGCAAAAACCCCTGAGAGACACATACACACCCATCCTGAAACGCCTATCTTCACAGTAAAATAGCATGCCCGCAGACTCAAACAACAATAATGTTCAGCCAGTTCTCTTTTTTCACACGCTGTAAAGCCTTTTATTTTGTTCTCAACACATTCAATTTGAAGATATATACATAAAGACTCTAAGTCATTTTATATGGAAAAAATACATTTTAGAGTAATATCACATTTTGTCATGACTTCCTTTTGTATGTTGAGTGAATGCTGATCATTTAATCAGGACTTGATTTAAAGGTATTGAAATGAAAAAGTCATAGCGTGTGGGGTTAAAAGGACAGAGCTGCAGAAGTGATGCAGTTGCTGGTAGAATTTATTCAGCCCGAGTTTCCTGCTTAATGGACGGCATATGAATGAAGGGCTCTTTACTACGAGCTGATTATTACTACATGAGTATGGCTGTGATTTATTTATTAATTAGCCACCCTACATATTCATTTATCGATTTACTGATTTGTACACGTTGTAAGTGTAGCCCCTGCGACATTATGAGCTCTTTGAATGCAATTAAGTGGAGACAGATTCCCTCTCAGCACTTTCTCTGTAGCTTTTCTTATTAATCTCATCATCACTAATTACCCATCAAGCCTTTGATTCTAAAGCTGAGTTGGGGGGGGGGTGAAAGCATGCTGGATCTTTCTGCTCTCGTCATCGCTCCTCCTCTGCATATCAGTTCATTCCTCTCTGCTCCTCTCCTCTCTTGTCTCGTCCTCTCCTCTCTGCTCCTCTCTTCTCCTCCAGATGTAGAGCTGGAGGCAGTAAGGCTCCCTCCCTCCCCTCCTCCCTCCCTCTTAAGACATCTGTTTTCTTGCTATAGAAAAACAGGAGCTGTAGATAGCAGGGCAGGATTTACTTGGCAGAGAAGTATTTATGAACCTCTTATATCCCTATGTCATTTCCACACACACACAAAAACACACACTCACAGACGGCCCCAATACATCATCGGTAGCCCTGGTGCCAATGTCCGTCTGGCTAACAGGCTCCAATTTGCGTCTAAATCCTGCCCTGATGCCAGCTCTGTGCTCACTGACACACTTATTCTGTCCGCATTAAGACTGGCACACTGATAGCTTTAGCTGTTAGCCTAAGCTGCTCCAGTGAAAGCAGTCCATAGCAGCTTGTCAGAACAAGATATGCATTTTTTTCCATATTTAAACAACTATCTGTTCTCAAATCTGTTGACAAATATAAGATGGTTCACAGCCATTAATAACATAAACACAGTATGAATGCCATCACTAGACTGAATATATGACATTTTAAATACTTATAAATCATGACTATGTCAGTGTAGTAAACGTACCGAAATCATGATTAGTCTCCCTTGACCTGGGCACTTACTAAGACTTGTTATGTAGTGTCAGTGTGTTGTGTTTCGGCTTTTCTGTTCCCTTTTGAGTCAACACTGTGCTATTCTTGTACTTCTGCATTTAAAAATCTTTTCTCAATGTTAATTAGATTTCCTTAACCCTCAAGGGTCCTTAAAGGAGTTTCATTTAGGTCCTTAGATGGACAAAAATGTCCATCTCCTAAAAGTGCTCTAAAGAAATTATACATTACTATTTCTTTCCACTTTTTTTTCCTTAAATTTCTTAATCAACATCATGCCTGATCATATCTATCAAATATTAGTTTATTTTCAGAATTTTAACCCTTTAAATGCCAGTTTAGCTATATGATGTCACTGTTATTTTTAATGGGAGAAAAGGGAATTTGGAGTTATTTTCCATATATTAGATGCTGGGCAGGAATTTCCTTGTTTTTTTTGTTTTTTTATCAAGGTCTATGATGTGTCAATATTTAACAACAACATAAATTTCGATGCCTTATTATGATTATATATATTATCATGTAGAAATATTCTCTGATTTCTAGAAAAGTTATGTTTAGGTCCTTAGTTGGTCATTTTTGTCCATCTAAGGACCTAAACATACAGTGTTTTTGTCACATAGTGAATATTGACCTGATATAATAATGGGTGGTCATGTTTTAAAATTTGGACAGAAAAAAAAAAAACCTGAAAAAAATCATCCCATTTGCATTAACAGCCAAAATGATTAACAAATGAAAGATACAAAGTCACCAAAAATGGGGAAAAAAATGTCCCTAGAGCCCCAGAGGGTTAACTAAAAACATTAGTGCCCTTTTGCCCCTTTGCCCCTTGCCCAATGTCATCACAAACTATACACAGTCCCATTGTCCTCCAATCGGAAGGACTTCATTTAGCCTTAAAGGCAAAACCCAAAGCAGCAAGTGTTGCTCATTAAGCTAATGGCTAATAACTAATGCCAGCTTGCATGAGCATATTACCATTTCTATCAGAGCTTGACTTATCTGGATTTAAAGCAGCTTGTCAGCGAGAGGACAAAAGTTGTGATAAGAAACTCATAGTGAAACTGTGGAAGTGTTCCTTCAGTCCCAGTGGAAGCTAAAACCTTGACTGTAACTCACTTTGGGAGATAACTAAAGGAACTGATGAAGGCATGAAGAAGAACATGCAAACACACTGAGATAAGCGTTCAGATCATTGATCTAGTAAGAAATCTGAGATACCACACTTTGATTTTGTTGTACTGTTATACACCTCTGGGGTGAATACCTGCAATATTAATACTGCTTTACTGAAAACTATGCCTGCTGGTTAATTGCATTAGAGCAGTAACTATGTTCATAACAGCATGCATTTCTCTTGTTTAATGTGCATGCAGACTCCAATAAATTCATGCCATATGATCATCCCATCGTTTATGCATGTGAAGATTAAAGAAAAAGTCCATTATAGAGGAGAACAAGGGGAAGTCCCCTTGTTGAGTATGCAGGCCCATCATCCAGGGATTTGAAGACACTCCACCGTAGCTTACACTGAATGAATTAGCCTCATGTAATTATTGATACACCCCCCTCTCTGCACCAACAATTAGTTTGAATGTCTTTTAATAATTCAGTATAACATGTGTTTTTCCTCTGTTTTCCATACCCATCTTTCTATATGCTGCACCAGAGGGAGGGGGGTTTTAAACATGAACTGACAAGCGATCATATGGATCAAATGAATCTGAAAAAAAGTCTAATGGGAATATTGTGCTGCCTGCTGTTACTGTAATTCCATTTGGATCTCAACATGAAGTTCCCATTCATTTGTAAGTGGGATGAAGCTGAGATAAGGGCTTAGGCTGAGCCTCAGTGGAGCTGTCCATGAGGGCAAAAAGCCTTTGAGGTTAACACTGTGGGTTTAACATGGCTGTGTGGATGTGCACTGACAACTCCAACACTTATACTGTAGCTGCAGAAGAACCACACAGCATTTACCTGCAGGCTTCCTCTAATCATGTGGTTTTAGGTTTTATGCGCTTTGATCAGGCGGGAATTTGTTTCAATTCAAATGAAAGAATCTGTTATCGCCCTGTCACTCTAGTGTGGATGATTTGCTTTGTGCATGCTGTACGGGGTTTTGCATGCAGGCATTTATCTGCACAACAGTCAACCTATTTAATGTGTTAAGCAGCACATAAACCCACAAAAAAATGTTTGTCAAGCTCTATAATGTTGCTTTAAGGTAAACAGATGTAAATGTCTGTGTGCAAATTTTTTGCATATAAAAGTCAGAGGATTACATAGAAAAAGGCATTTGTTTAAACGTGCATCAAGAAATGAAAAATGTTTAATCTGAAACGAATGAAAAAAGTGATTATTCACAATTCTAAAAAAAAAAGAAAAGAGGGGTGAAGCTTCAAAGAAACGAAACCTCTCTCTATCTTGGTTAAACATAAAAAGACCAGCATGTGAATGACAGCGCTTTTAACCTTCCAAATTCTGAAGTTTGACAGTCATATAAGGAGCACCAGACATTTATTATTCACAGTAAAATAAGTTTCCTTCAAAATTGGTCAAATTCAAGACATTTTTGCGCAAAGAAATACACCAAATACAAAAAAAAAAAAAAAGTGGTTTGATGCTCAGAACTTCCTGGAGGAGAACCCTTTGACCATAGAGACATAAGTCTTTTTCACAAAAAGAGAAATAAATAATTATGGGAGGGAGATTTTTTTTATTTCAACTTCGAGATTAAAGTCGAAATTTTAAAAAATCAAAATTTCGACTATTCATGTCCACTTTAATCTCGAAATTTTAATTTTGTCATTCTCAAAATTTCAACATTATTCACATTTTTGTAATCTCGAAGTTCTAATCTCGAAATGTTGGCTTTATTGACGTAATTTCGAGTTTTATTAATGAAATTTCAACTATCATCTCAAAATTTCAACAGATTATTTTTTTTCTCTTCATGTGGCCCTAATCCTCTTTAGTAGGAATGACTTTTCCATTTAGTGTTTGACATCTTTACTCGTAATAATGTGTGTCAGTCTCAGTTTATTGATGTGAGATTGTTGTCATCAAGTCTCTCAGCCAGGTGTCTTACAGAAAAACCTGTATCAAGCCTTTATGTCTTTTGACAGGATCTCTGTTTACTATGTTGCAGATATGACTTCTTTAAAGTTTAAGGGCTCAACATTATTAGACTTAAGCAGGTGCTGATCACTCTGTTTTTCCCCCTCAGGCACGAAACTCCTACTCCAACGAGGTGGTGGCCATCAAAAAGATGTCCTATAATGGCAAGCAAACTACAGAGGTAAGAACTAGCGACACACACAGATGCAGCTGTAAAAGCATCATCACACTGTGGTGGCTAACTCAGACAGAAATAAGAGAGATTTTTTATTCTTTTTTTTGCTGTCACACAGATCAAGTGTTGGAGAAAGCACAAGCTCTCAATATAAAAATACCACATGTCAATTCGCTAATGATATTCACCTAACATTTGACACCACGGTAGCTCCTGAGACTGTCTCATTTGTGTGCTTGCTTGCCCTGAAGGAACCAAAATAATGTGAAAACTATCCAAAATAATTACCTAGCACCAGATGCAAAGTTTGGAGGAAAACATGCGCTCCCCTCAGGCAAAAAGTTTATGCACAATGTGTTTTAGGAGAGGGGATTTGTGATCACAGCTTACATTTACAATTCAGCATCTCTGCAGTTTAGTACGGTTAGAGAATTGCAAGTCTTTGTCAGATTCTTCCATCACGCTGAGGTTTTTGCTCACTGATTAGCTCCTCTGAAATATTTTGGGATCTTACCTGTCTTTATTTTCTATGCTGGTGCAATACTCTTTAAAACACTCCACTGTCTGTGTAACAGGCCCATAGCAGATGTATAAAAGCTATTCTACAGGTTTGAGTGGTTGCTGCAGTGATGCCAGCTGCACCATTGCAATCAAAGTCATAGAAACGCGTCCTTAAGTGTAACCTTGATTGTACCTGTAGAGTGTTACCATCTGTGTGTGTCTGGATTGGTTCTTTGCAGAAGTGGCAGGACATCATTAAAGAGGTCAAGTTTTTGGGACAGCTGCGACACCCAAACACGATTGAGTACAAAGGCTGCTACTTGAAAGACAACACTGCCTGGGTGAGTGGGTCCTTCTCTCCTCTTTAGTTCCTCTCTTTGTTTCAGTCTTGCAACATTGTTTGTTCAATCCTTTTCCTTCCCATCCTTTGTCTAACTGTTTTCCTCTCAGTCTCGACATCTTTCTCTCTTCTCTTTACCGTGTTTCTCAAATGCAAACTATTATCACTCTAATAAACAGTGCAATACAGTACAATAATGGTTTTAATGTGAAAAGTTGGCAGCCAAGAATAAGTTTGATTCTGCTCAAACTTGACCTGAAGCTCTCTAAAAGTCTTTTATTTTATGAATGATGAATAATTTAGCTGCAACTGTTTTGTGTTTCAGCTGGTGATGGAGTACTGCCTGGGCTCTGCATCAGATCTACTAGAGGGTAAGAGGTTTTATTGATGCCAAATGTGCATAAAAACATCAAAAGTGCAAATTTAAAGTTGTATTGTATGTATTATTTAGCAGATCAAACTTGCTCACAATTAAATATGATTACACCAGATTATTAAAACACTATTTTGTTTTTGTAAACTTAGAACCTTTGCAGTTTAGCTACATGGGAGCAGGTCTCCTTACATGAAGGCTGCCATCTTTAACTTACACCATAGCACAAAACAGACAGAATAATTCATAACACATAATATGAGTTAAACCACCAGACAAAAGATCCTGTTTTATAGTATTCAAAGCAAAAAGTGAGGCTTTGCCCGAGATTGATAAAAATAGCTCCCAATCCAATCCATCAAGTGAAATCAACTCATTACATTACTTAGAGCAATTATACTCGCTACAATATTTTTTTTTCTCTCTTTTCCATCCCTGATTTAAGACTAAAAACAAACATGATCTTTGATAGTTTCATGTGAATACTCAGATTAACAAGCTTCTCCGAAAAACTCAAAACTGACCAAAACACATGATACATGTTCGATCGATCACTGCAGAAATATCCCAGAGTAGGTTCTTGGCCTGAGATAATTTAGTGTGGAGCTGAATTTCTTCATTCATATTTGTTGTAATACATTGATCACGTTCTAATATAGATGGAAGGCTATTTAGCTTTACCAAAGAACATCCTCCTCTGCTCAATGCCTGACCTCCTTGTCTGTTTACCCTTTCAGCATTCCTGACCTGGACCTCATGTGTTATTTTAAGCACCTATGTGTGTAGTCATCACTGACGCAGATACACAGTCCTGACAGTTGGCCTGTTTTTTGGCCTTTTTCTCAGTCATAGTTCTGCTCTGACCTTTTGCACGGGCATGCTCTCCCTCTCTGTCTCTGCTACAGTCCATGGGGAGCCAATATCAAAACTGCGATCCATATGGTAGATGCCAGAGGGAGTGCTCTAGTAGCAAGACAATATTTTAAACTTAAACTCCAATCTTTGATCCAGACATGAAGTTTGTACTGCACTGTTATACACAGAAGCTTTCTTTGGTCTTTTCTATTCAGATTTTATGTCTTAAAGTCCTTAGAGGGTTTGAACTAATTTCCACTGTGCTTATTTCTCCCCAAGTTCATAAGAAACCGCTCCAAGAGATGGAAATTGCTGCCATTACCCATGGTGCCTTGTTAGGACTGGCTTACCTACATTCCCATAACATGATTCACAGGTGAGTCAGTTTGTTTCCTCAATCCAAGCATTTCCCAACAGGAGGTAAGCCAAAACATGATAAGATAAGATGAGCTGAGAGACCCTCGTGTTCTCCCTTTATTGCAGCGTTTACTCATTAAGCTGTAAAATCTCATGTCCATAATTACGCTTACGATTTATTCTTCTCAAACATCACTGTGAGGAAAGAGCAGTCCTCCTGTCTCACTAGAGTCCACAGTATTATCTTTATTGGCAGAAAAATATGATCAGCATCCAGTAATGGCGCCTTATAAACCCGTTTACTGTGTAGTATTGCTCTTATCTCAGAGATGTAATGATATCTTTAAATATGCATCACCAGTGGCCTGTCAAAGTTGAGGAGAAACCTCATGCATTAGAAGAATTGAGCTGGCATAGTTTTCTCATCTGTATGTCTACACTCTGTTCATCTGCCTCTGCCCATACAGAGATGTGAAAGCTGGTAACATCCTGCTGACTGAGCTGGGTCAGGTCAAACTGGCCGACTTTGGCTCTGCCTCCATTGCCTCACCTGCCAATTCCTTTGTGGGAACACCTTACTGGTAAGTTTTTCCAAGAAAAAGACATACTGTCTGCCAGGGGAAACTGAGTACTCCATGAGCCAGAATTTTTTTTCAGGGTTATTCTTAAAGGAGACTAATCCGTGCTGTTAATACATAAATATGTACATACATACATAGCTGAATTGGCTCCAAACACACATAATTTTTGGGTCATTTTGTGACTACAAAGCTGTGTTAAAAAGTAACACCCACAAGCTTTGTCTAACTTTGTATTTAAAGAGTTTTTAGGCAGAGTCTGAGAAGCACAGAAATTAGGGTTTTGATAATCACCAGTATGAGATGGAGAGTTTTTGAGCTACCCTATAGTCGTCCAAGACTGACATCATAAAAAGTTTTTTTTTTTTAAGTGTATAATAGGCCTGCTTTCATTTGCAAAGAAACTTCAAATACTTTACCCAAGTTTGCTGCTTTTACTGTTGTTTGTTTCTTTTTGTTGTGCCTTTCTTCCTCGCGTAGTTGAAACTTTCCTGTCAATGGTTTTAAAATTTTCACGCCTGAATCTGATCAGCATAAATTAAAGGTATTTTTGTTTGTTAAGTTCATGAGAAAATCAATCTGGGTTTGGGCTGTGAGAACAGGGTTGACCATTGATTCAGAAAGTAAGAGAACTGAGAGAACTCTTACACACTAAATGTGAAATATAGGGTCATCATTGTGATTCTTGGTGCCATAGTTCTGACATATAGAAATATCTGACATATATAAATAGAATAAAACCTAAACCATTTGCCTGAGTACTAAAGGACAGTGGGATTTGTCCAGCTACGTTGATTTCTTCTCTAAAAATAGCGGGTTGATCAGGCTAATGCCTCATGTTTAATGTTGAGGAATCACTCTTTGTGGATTTTCCTCTGATATAGAAATCATCAGTCAGACATTCCCCTCTGTATTATTCTCCTTACACACTTTGTGTAAGCTTTTATGTTGAATGAAAATCATCACATAAACAGCCTGACCAGTGATGGACTCTCATCATCCCAAAAGCCCACAGCATACAACTGTGTCCCACACGTCTCTCTTTCTCTCTCTCTCTCTCTCTCTCTTATACACACACACACGCACGCACATTTCGTTGTCACACTCCACATTTAGAGAAACACACACATTTTCCAAAAACCGAGCTGCTATCACAGCATACCAGAGTCTTTAAAAGCTCTGAGAGGCTTAGCAGATTATACCGTTTTCATGGATTTTTCCCCATACTTAATAAACTCTGAGTGCATGTGTATATGTGTGTGTGTGTGTGTGTGTGTGTGTGTGTGTGTGTGTGTGTGTGTGTGTGTGTGTGTGTGTGTGTGTGTGTGTGTGTGTGCATTTGCATGCGTCTCTCTCTGTCCTCAGGATGGCCCCAGAAGTGATCCTAGCCATGGACGAGGGCCAGTATGAAGGAAAAGTGGATATCTGGTCCCTGGGGATCACTTGTATTGAACTGGGTGAGCTTTTTTCCCCACCTGCTACTCAAAGGATGAACTTCTAAACCCATGAAGTCAGAAATTCAACTCATTTAAGCTGATTGACCTTTATCAGAAGGACAGATAATCTGATCTTATTTGATCCTGCAAGCTTTTGGGACTTGTTGATTGTGAAAACTTCAGCACTAACCCATCTCTCTTCTCCCGTTCTCCCCTGCTTTATTCCAGCGGAGCGCAAACCGCCCTTGTTCAACATGAACGCCATGAGTGCCTTATATCACATCGCACAGAACGACTCTCCCACGCTACAGTCCAATGAGTGGTGAGTTTCAGACACACCTCTCAAATCTGAACGATTATTTTTGTGCTTGTTTTTCTGCTCCTTTTGTTTCCGTTATTAAAAAAAAAAAAAAACACTTTTTCCAAATGTTGTCCACTTTGAGATCAGTCAAACCACAAAATGACAAAAATGGGGATGGAATTTGACCACACAATCGTCCACTAAACAATAAAAATCCAGTGAAAGCGCTGCCATGGCCCTTCCAGTCGAATGTGAGTGTAAAGCTCAATCGGATCAGGGCTCTGTCAGGGTAAGACTTGCCTGTGTTAATCTGCATGACCTGTGACCCCTGTGACAGGCATTGTGCAAGGTCGCACTTAAAGCCCCTTATGTAATTACAGAAGAAACCTCCACCAAAGAAACACTGTGTGAAGAACAACACCACTCCTGCTTTGCTAAAAGAGATCTTTATCTGTACAGAGTTTGAGTTATTCTAATATTATTCTAGCGGTTTTAGAACTATACAGTTTGTGTTTGCTGCACTAACTGGGATGTTTCTTTGAACACTGACTATGTGCTCTGAGTCTGTTATGGAGAAACAACCAGCTTTATGCATTATTACATGCTGCTCTCAGCCTCAGAGTTTATTATTGCAGAAACTAATAGATTCTCTAGAGACTGTCCTTCCAGACATCAAAAACTTTCAGCAATTAAATTTAGGCCAGCAGGTTGAAAACAGCTCTTTGCTGTGTCTTTGCAGTATCATCATCTCATGCTCAGTGCTGGAAGTGCACCTTGTTTTAGTTAGGATTAGTTGTGTTTCTGGAGAGCATCACAAAGTAAGATATTTTTATCTTTAGTTCATCTCACAAATAAAGCAAACATGTAGAAGTGTTCGTTTCGTCTGTATTCAGGAAATATCTTTGTCTGTTGAAAGTTTTTTTTTATGTAAAGAAATAATAAAACCAGAAGCATCTGCTCTGCTGCCGTGTTGAGAAGCACAATATCGACATCATATTGGTTCATCCTATTTGGAGGATTTCTTTCTAGGGAGGATTAATTAAATTTTGAGAAAGTTATTTGGAAGAGGTGAGAACAGGATTGTCAAAACTCACTTTTCCTTTTCGCTGTCTTTCCATTTATTCTCAAACCAGTTAATCTTCTTTCCTCCTCTTACCTTATGTGTAATTTACGAGCACATGTTCATAAGATGAGCTCAACAAAGTAGGACACGGGACAGATCTGTTCGCACTATTTAATAGGAAACATAGAGTGGAGAAAGTCAAATAATAGGAGCGTGAAATAAGTGATGCAGCAAGTCTTCCAGAGTTGCCCTGAGTGGCTGCAGACACTGCTCACACGCTGCATGTGAGGTGTGATTCTCAGGGCGGAAGTAAAACTAATGAAATATTCAAACTATGTTTGCTGTTCTCCCTATAATTTACCTTTCGTGTACGTCTTTCTGCTCTCACTGCCATGGTATGAAAGTGAAGTTTGCAGGCAGAGTCATGTCAGTGTTAGCTCGCTCAAATGTTTCGCAGGAATGTGTTCGAAAGAATGTGTGTTTTCCGCACAGTCAAGGTGAGAGGCAGAATTTTGTTCTCTACCTGCTTCAGCTTACCCTGAAGGCATCCATGGCCTTCCTGAGTCCGCAGATTCAGCTTTCAATTAAATAAAACCTTAAAAGGAAAAACTTATCATCACTGCTGACACTGTGAAAGTCAATTGAAACTCCTGCTTTGCTGCTTTGACTGTGCATTGAGAGTGCCTGCTGCAAAATTAGCGGGTTTTTTTTGTAGCCACAGTGTTCTAGCAGGCGGGGGATTGTGCGAGGCTGCGCAGGGTTGTAGTATTTTTGGAGGAGCTCCAGCAGCCTGAGGCGTCGGCAACATCCAGCCAGATGAGACGAGTAGAGACATCAGCCTCATAGTGTAACTTCAGCGCATATATACAAGGACACACTGTACACACATCGGCCTGACATGTACAAGTGCACTCATGGACCTTTGTGAGCCACAGAGGACACTAGATTTAGAGGCCACAGAGGTGCGAGGTGATAACAAGGAGCACTTTCTGACCCACTAACGTCCAAGCATGGATGGGAAATCCAAATCTCAAACAGCACCTCAGAAGAGTGCTTTACCCCGACGACCCAAAGGAGCAACTGAAACATGCAGCAACCTTACACACAGTGGTTTTCATGAGCGTATTTTTAGATCAGAGTCAGTGGCACGGTGCTCCACAGCTCCAGTGGCCTATATTTTTATTGCTCCACATATTTACATAATCCATAGAAGGTTCATATATAAGGCTATACTTAGAGATTACATAGGATTGTTGTGATTTATTTCATTGATATGATAAACACAGCTCATGAGGAGATTACGTAAAGCGTTCATCAACATTAAGTACATAAGGTGTGGTCTGTCATTACATTATCACTGCTGTCTCTGCTGAACTTATCCTGGTTTAACTGGGTTTGATGGAGATGGGAATCATCGACCTCCTTCTTTGTCTCTCCTCTCCCCAGGTCTGACCCTTTCCGGAGCTTTGTCGACTACTGCCTACTGAAAATTCCTCAGGACAGACCCTCGTCAGGGGAGCTGCTACGAGTGAGTGAGCTTCCTTTGTAATCCCTCTAGCTGTGACCTCACTTCCTGTCTCAGTCACTCCCTGAGCCAAGGGGATGAGTCACTCCCACCAACCCTCCCACGGCTCCCTAATACGCAAGAATATACACAGTGTCTTCATGAGGCACCCCCTGCTGAGAGGGGCTTACTCTATCTCTCTCTTATTTTTTTTTTTTTTCATTGTAACTTCACTTCCTGTGCCCTGCCTTGCAGCAGTGGCGCTCAGAGCCTAAAAATAACAGTTTGCATTTGCTTCTCACATCACTTCTTCAGAGCCCGGCATATATGGGTTTGAAAATATTGTCACAACACTTTCTATAACCTCATTTCCAAAAAAGGCGGGAGGCTGCGTGAACTGTTCATCAAAACAGACTAGCAAGATGAATCATATGTAAATTTTACGGCTACATCTTATTGAAAATACTGCAAAGACAACATTTCAAATGTTAAAACAGGATAAAGTTACTTGGCAAATGTATGCTAATTTTAAATATGATGCCAGTAACGCATTGAAAACTGTTTGGACTGATGGGACTGGGATATGTAGACTTTTGTGTTGTCGTCTTTTGACAGCACTCTGTAAATGTTTGGAAACCAAGGAGACCAGTTTCCGGGGTTTTGAACGTTAAATACTGTGCCATTCTTGCCTGATGAAGGATTTTTGTTTCAAGAGGCCCCAAGGGTTTTCAACAGGTGACAAGTCAAGACTGCAGACAGACCAGTTTAGCACCTCTTACGCAGGCTCTTGTACCATAGAGACATGCTGATGTAACATGTGCAGAATGCAGGTTTGTCTTGCAGAAATATGCAAAAGTCTTGAGAAAGCCATTGTCTGAATGGCAGTGTATGTTGCTCTAAAACTTGAGTATAATGCTCCACAGTAATAGTGCCCACTCAGATACCCATGACAGGGGCTCTTATGCATCCCCATACCATTATGGATGCTGTGCACTCTCTTGAAAACAGTATCCATGATTTTCAGAACAAATGTCAAGTGTTGGTTTGTTGAACTACAGAACGATTTCAGTCCACGGTTAGAGAACCGTGTTGATAGTATCAGATATAAAATGGGCTTATATTTTTCTTAAAGCAATAACATATTTTAGTTTCAACATTGATATGTTGTCTTTGAACTATTTCAAATTAATTTTAGGGATTTTAATGAGCTCCTAACTATCAAATCTTCTTTATTATTGTTTGACACAGCATCCCAACTTTTTTAGAGCTGAGGTTGGAAATGAGGTTTGCAAGATAATTTGCAAGATAAGAAGCATTCATGATATTTTCAATGTGCAAAACAAGTATATAGGTTTCCACTTGATGTTTTTACTGATTACAGTAGAGCCATGAAAGAAAAAAAGCAACGATGCAGAGGTGATAGGATTCATGTTTATCACTTCATTAACATTGTAGGCCACCTAAGTACCGTATAGTTCATACTTACAACTTCCACACCAGTTTTACAACCCAGAATATTAGCCAAGATATTTTCTTCCCCAAACTCTTGCAAAAAAATCTCCTCAGAGTGTTACTTGTCATGAAGACTTTTGGTCATAGTTTCCATTTCCAATCCAGTAATGAATCCCAAAAACAAAATTTAGATGATGTTGCAACAATCCCACTATCTCTGTTCTTTTTTGAGTCACTCTGCACTGTCTGCTTGAAAATAAGAGGCACTGTAGCACATGTAGTAAAATCTAAGACTGAGAAACAGTTGCAAATCTGTTTTTAAAGTGTTATTCTCTGGCCACCCTATCCAAAAACCCAAATGAACTTACAAGTTAATCCGTGTGCGTTCATTGTGTTTCCCTGTAATTGAAGAGTTTATCTTTTTGTTTGTCTGACTAGCAGGTAATCCTATTGGACTGGTAAGAGTTTTATGTTGGGGTGATCACACTCAGCAGCGCAGTAGCAGGAGTTTTCACACCTGCTTCACTTTAAGGAGGAGGAGGAGGAGGGGAAGTCAAAAAGTTAGGCTGTGAGAGATACGGGGGTCTGGACTGTAGTTTGGGGAGGATCTATTTTAGACTGTGATTCAGTCTTCCCAACACCCCTGACCCAAATCCAGTCCAAAAAACCATTAAAGAGGGATAAGTACCAAACAGACTTTGGATCAGTGTCGAAGGGGCTGCTTCATACTGAAGAGCCTGGGGGGCTGGGGTGTTAGCTTATGATTAATACCCCACTTTCTCTTCTCACGCACACATGCATCTACAAGCACAAAATCACTTATTCTTTCAGCGCACGCACACACACACACACACACACACACACACACACACACACACACACACACACACACACACACACACACACACAGATATACAGCGACGCAGACACACGTCCCTCCAAGCTCTTTAAAGAGGAAATCAGGTCACTAATCTGGTGGCCTTGAGCTATCAGTGCTCTGGCTTCAGGTTAGATGCCTTTTCTCCCCGTAAACCTTGGTCAGAGTGATAGTATTTAAATATGTTACAAAGTCATCACCTCTTACTGACCTTCAGTAAACACTAAACATACTCCGCTGAGCAAAAATACTCTATTGATATGTAAAAAATTGCCGTGAGGTTATTTTTTGTTATTCCATACATTAAAGCTCCTGCGAGGAGTTTTTCAACGTTCATGAAATAGCATGAAATTCATATTTATACCTTACTATTATATCTAAAAGCAAACTAGGACATCAAGGATGAAATTGACGATTGTTTTATGGCCTACGTAGGGCTGGGTCAGCCAATACTGCTATTTCAACAGGGAGCTACAACAAACTTAAAGCTCCTCACAGGAGCTTCTCGAACTCTGCTTGCTTTGTAATGAAGATAAAACTTGAAAGTTACCAGTGCGGTAAATATGTAGTTTTATCGAGCAGCTGCTTACCTTAGCTTTGTTATATGACTGCTAATAGGGAGATGTAGCTAGTTTTGCTGTGCCTCAAGGTAAAAAGGGGAGGGAAAAAAAACATGTAAAAGTTCTCTGTAAAGCAGTAAATGTAACATTTTACATTTTAGGGTTCATGAAGCTTGGTTAAGATTGTTTGCCTTGGGCAGAGTAAAGCTTGACTTCCCTTTTTATCCCAGTCTTCATGATACGCTAAACTAAACTAGCCACTGGCACCAGCTGTGTATGTGATTTTACACGAATTTGATCTCTTCATCAAACACATCTGCTAGAAAGAGGAGAAGTGTTTCTCCAAAATGTTGCTGTCTGGGGATTTTTGCTCCTGCTGCTACTGCCTAATTGCAGTGGAAATAAATTCGATGGACTAAAGCAAAGTGGGTACACTAAAAAAGTTAATATTAATATTCGATGAAAAAAACTAATGAGACTTAACGGTGTAAAGTCTATGAGGAAGAATCAAGGATTCTGGCCTCAGTTTAATCTTGATTCAGGGAGGATAGAGAGGATGCTGTCGCTTCATTTTAACCCTAATCTGATAATGAGGAAGAATCCTGGGTGATGGGACGGGGGTGGCCAACCTCCCACACTCTGGTGTTGGTCCGTCAGGAAACGGGACAAATCACTCTCATCTCTATTTTCAGAGCGTGATGTCACTCCCCCGTGTCCTGACTAACCCATTACACCAGCATCTGTCACATGGACAGGAAGGTGTGCAGAGAAAGAGAGCTGGAGGAGACAGACCTAAAAATACACTTTTACTTATTCTCTTTACACAGTATGTATATTTTAGTCCTGCACTCCAAGGATGCATACATTTCAGCTGCCCAACCACACTATATTTTATGAATGAGAGTGACTAAGAGGAGGTGTGAATATGTGAGTGCGAGGAGTAGGAGGAAGCACAGGGGAGAGAAGATTTTATGGGGTTTTTTTTGGTAGATTTTTATTCTCATGTTGATGTCAAGCTGTGTAAAATGCTGAAAAAGAAAGCAGATAACTAAAAACAGGACAAATCACCGCCTCCTTCTGCCCTGACCAAAACCAGCTTCCCCCAGCCACTCTGACCTGCTGGTTATGTAACGCAAATAAATAATTACATGAGTGCATAATGGTCGAACCTCTGACAAATTACACCTCCATCAAATTACCCAAAGGTTGGTTTGCCTCAGTGGAGAAGCCCAGCACTTGTGACTTTGATAAAAAAAAAAAATGTGTGTAATCACTCTCATCAGTTCAGTGTGAGACTAGTCTTAGATCATTAGATGGTGAATTAATGAAACTTATAAATGCATTTGCCCTTTTGGGTAATTTTCATTTTTTTAAAAGCAGTGTGTGTGTGCAGCAGCAGCATCTTTTGGGTTTTGTTCCCTTCATACAATCAAATTATGATCGCCCCCCCGATTCATTTTTTTTCCTAAGGCAGATAAACGCCTTGAGAGATTTTAGGCAAACAAAAACTTCCACATAAAAAAGACAGAAACCTCCTCATTACTCATCTTCAAATTCCTTAATGGTCTTTGTCTAATTTATCTGCAGCTTCCGTTAACTTCTGGGTAAAGAAAATCCATTTAAGAAATTATTTGTTGGGATGAAAAGGATTAAGAGTGTTTTTTGAAAATCAATTTTATGGACAGTCTTACACACATCCCATGTGTTCAGTGTAAAAGAGGATGAAGTGTGCTGGGACTCCAAGGATGGACTGTGCAACCTAACAGCGCCCTCTAGTGACAGACACAGACGTGGTGTTTATTGCAATAACAGACTGAATGAGAAAAGGTTGATGTAGATGTACTCTTCAAAATAAAATATCCCTAAACTAGGTTAATAAGATGTTTTTTTTATAAAAACAGTCTTCTTCTTCCTGCAGAAATTGTATATGCAGAGGATTATTAATCTGTCATCATCAATCAAACAAAATTTCTTATTGCTTCTCAAGAGTTTTTACTTGTTACTTGTACTTTCATGGACAGCATACCTTAAGTGTAAGTGATTTAAAAGTTTTTGAAACAAAGCTGATTGAATGGCTCTGGAACCACCAGCAAGTTTAAAAGTCTGAAACCAAATTACATTCCCACTATAAGGGAAAAAGGACAAGAGCTGGAGATAATTCAGTCAGATTTTCTGTTCCCATTTTATTTTTTGAGACCATTTTCTTCCAATTGTCCCATTTCGAAAAAATATTTGGCCAAATACCTCATTGTTTTCTTTTTTTTTCTCTGTCTCTCCAGCATGATTTTGTGCGACGAGAACGATCGCCACGCATTCTCATCGACCTTATCCAGAGGACCAAGGATGCGGTGCGAGAGCTGGACAACCTGCAGTACCGCAAGATGAAGAAGATCCTCTACCAGGAGAAACACAACGGGCCGATGGGAGAGAGCCAGGAGGAGGAAGAGGTGGGAGGAGGGGGAGGGAATGAAGAGTTAACGGACAAGATAAGAGGGGTCAAGAAGATGAGACCAAAAAAAATCAAACATATGTTAGCGTTGGAAAGTTTGGCAGACATTAGGGGAAGGTGTTTGGAATCGAAAGAGTTAAAAACATGAAAACCAGTCGAGCCAGCGGGCTGTCATCACCTCTATTGTTTATGGTTTTTGTGGAGAGTCACATTCAGTTCAGATTTACTGTCACAGAGTAAACTTTTGTGTGAAACAGATACACCACATAACCACAGTGTTTGTGTCACAGCAGCAGGAACAGACGATAATCAGTGAGCGGGGTAATCCGTTTAGGAGCATTTATCAGCAGTCAGGGTCGTCTTTTACAGTGGTGTTAAAGTTGAACTATCAAAAACTTATTGATTCAATAACACTTGATTTGGTCAAGGAAACGTAAAAATGATAATAAAGTGCCAGCCACAGCCTTTAAGATATTCATGATCAATTATAATGAGGGAATGTTGATGTTTGAGAATTGAAAATGGAAGCTTTTCTGACTTTTTTTGACAGACAGTTGATTATAATACTAGACAAGTAACTTTATTATTTGATTGATCAATTGATTAATTCCATGCTGCACTTAAAACACAAGAATTTCAACACTTGTTAAGGACTTACAGTACTTTAATTCTCTGAAGTAATTTCAGTATTATCTTTTTCTTGTTTTAGTAGGAGTCGTAGAACATTGTTTCCAGTCATTATATAATAATGTATAATAATATATTATAATACAACGATTTTCTCAGTCCAGACACTTGAAACAAAGCTGACCGTCGTATATTCAGCAGTGACTGAACAGGCAGAAGGAAAATGTTCATTTAGGCTTGCTCCACATTTTTATCAAATTAACTCACTTCCAGGTCGATCATAAACACTTGTAACCTTCAAAAACATTTTTTTTTAAAAAACACCAACGACAGAAACACATTCTCTCTTTCTTAGCTTTTTTAACGGTAAACTTCCAAACACTTTGGATTTTTCAAGGCAGGGACAATCCTATGATGTGTAATAAAAGTATCAGTCTCATGATCATGTCCAGAAGAAGCAGAGTAAATAAATGAGATCCAGTGAACTCTGATTCATCGCATGAAGGCTGAAGGCAGGATGATTTCTTTGGTGTAATGTTAGTGATCTTACTGTAGGTCTGAAAGAGAGGCTTACTACATGCCATCCTGTTTCTAAAACGGCCCTCATGACTGCGTTTATTTATTTTTTTCACTTCTAATAATGTTTTAAAGAACCTAGAAATACAGTTGACGGCTGCTCACAGCAGTCCGGCGCTTAGACATCACAACAAACTCCCCCTACAGCCACAGCAGCGTGACATTGAGATGAAATGTCCCTTAGCTGACCCTGCTCTGAGGCGGCAGGAACAGGCATGGACAGCCAGCAGCCACAGCAGCAGTGTCATCCTACACCACAGGAAGAAAGACACAGCAGCTACCCAGAGCTCGCTGCAAGGAGATGCAGCTGCAGGCTTAACTGAGGAAACCTGCAGTCCCAAACCTTGTTTCTGGTTTCAGAGGAAGACACAGAAGCTGATTACAACACCTCAATTATGTTCTGTTACTGCAGACTCAAAGTATCCATCTGCTACAACTCAAAGTGTGCAGTTTGACCCCAATTTCCTATGATCTAATCACGCTTAAGTGGCCTTCTAACAAGAGGGCAACAAAATTAGACAAATCTACCACAAGATGAGAATTAACACAGGTGAAAGATACAAACACACAAATCTAAACACATACCAATCTGATGTTACATGTCAATTTAGAATGACTTTGACTCTAATGTCATCTGGAGGTTAATAGTGTTAAAGTGACTGCATGTAATGACACAATTCAGCCAGACTTGTGCGTATCAAAGACAAAAGAGTCTGCATGTGTCATTTATGGTTGTTTCTGTGATTATAAATAAACGTGTTTGTGTCTTTGGATGTTCTCTTGCAGGACAGTGAAGCGGCCAGCTGTAAGATGAACAGCCTGGGCAGCAACCACTCCATCCCCAGCACATCGGTCAGCACAGGCAGCCAGAGCAGCAGTGTGAACAGCATGCAGGAGGTGCTGGACGACAGCTGCTCTGACATGACTATGATGCACCCGCCGGACTACAGCAGCACCCTGGACTCCTCCCCACACACCAAGAAGGTAAAAAAGTAATAGGTCAATGTTGGGGTAGTGGGAGAGACTGGTGAGTTTTCAGGGCTGAATGGCACAAATGAAGTCTCAACATGCAGAAAGGTTGCGCCACTGACTTTGGACTAGAATTTTTGCTGTTAATAGCCATCTCTGGTTCCAACCCAAGGTTTCATCTAGTATAATTCATCAAAAAGCAGACCATTATCAAAGTTTAGAATCCATCGAAAGTTGTGAATCACATCTTTATGGCACCATATCAGGATGTCAATTAAGTAAAAACATACTGAGCTGCAATTATCTGTATTAACTACAATGAAAAATGATATCCCATGATGATGCCACGCTGTTTTCAGTTCAAATCAGTACTCAGTGATCACTGGAGAAGCCATCCATATGTTTCTACCACAACTCATCAGCTAAGGTTAAAAAATAAAACTTCAACGATGTTTTATATTATGAGGATATTTTAAGACAAAATCACACTTTGTTTTGTTCTGTCACCCCCGTATGACTGCTATTCTCTCAGTCTTTTAGTTTGAAACACCCTTCTTATTAATGCAAATGATGTTCTCAAGCATTTTGACATTATCATTTTTCTCCCATTAGTATTCTCAAATATATATTTTATATATAATGTGACTGTATCTAATTATTTCTAAGGTAACATGTACTCCTTAGTTTATGGAAGAACTCGGCTTCAGTTCACATTACACTGATTCTCACTTTTACGAATTTGTTTATGAATGACAGGTCTGATCAGTTATATATTTTGGTGTCAGTCCACCAAATTCTACTGATTTACTGTAAGGTCTTTCAAATGTCCTTTACACAGAGGGAAAAACCGTGAAACACAAACAGTAAATCCTCCTAGATGGAGCTAAAACCTAATCAAAGACAAAGAGAAACTTTGACCTTTTTCAATAATTTCCCCTTTCTTTGTATTACCTGGTTGTTGAAAGTACCATGTACAACTTTAGGATCAGCCTCTTAGGAGATAATTATATGGAGAGGGTTTTTTTTTTGCATCTTTTTAGTCCTACCAATAAACCGCTCATTCACTAAGAGAAAATATTTCTTAACATTTGAGGCCTCTAGACAGCTAGAGAAATCCACAATAATAAATAAGTGATGAACATATTAATGCAGCAGTAATTCTGATTTAATAATCTAATATTTATTACTCTAATGCTGAGTTAATTAGAACTACAATTTAAAGGAAAATGATCAAAGTGCTTTTCTCACCATTTAAGTATTTATTTCAAGCAAAAAAAAAAAAAACAAAAAAAAAACAGAAAAAAGCTGCTACAAAATATTATCTCACAAGAAAGAAATTTCTGTATTATGAACCTCTGAGGGTTTCTCTGAAGGGAAAGGTGTCCTCTGAATCCTGGCATGTATTTAGCTACTCAAGGGACCTTAGGCTGGAATTTAACCTCAGTCACCTGTGTGAAGCATGACCTCCTGACATGGGGCACATTTAGACTTCTAGGCCAGCAATGCCCTGAGATATTTGGTCCCAAAACTGTCAGCCCCCTAACTCATTGTCTGGTGATTCACACACCTCTGAGCTCTATTTATTAATATCAGACAAGATGGTTCTTTGGTATATCTTAATTAATGCAATCGAAGATACTTAACTGCTGGAATAAGAGTGGGTTAATGTCTTTGGTTGATGCTAAAGTATGTTTAAGCTGTATTTTCTAACACTTTGACATCTCAGAGGCTTACTGCTCTGTTAAAAACCTTAGCTCCTCACTGCCCCCTTTTGCCTCTGTGTCTGTGTATGCAGGACCTGCTAGGCCAATTGCTATTTTAGGATGAAAGTGCTGTAGAGAGAGACAGGGAGGGCCTCTATTATGGTATTAAAGAGGAAATATTTTGACTTAAAATATTATTGATTCCCTTCGCTTTATCCAAAATGATATCTGGAATATAAGAATAAGAAATTTCAATAATACCCTTTGATTCCAGAAATCTGGTTCGGTACATTTTCAGGGGAGCTGAGATTAAATAAAAGAAAGTCTAATTAGTTCTGAACCATGTAGAGATTTCTAAGAATCCTTACTGAATACACGAAAAGACATGGTCAGCTACCAGCGCGTTCCTCATACAATGACTCCTTTTCCAGTCTAATTACTGTGCACTCAAAAATAGCAAGGACACATGGCTGCGCATAAACATCGTCTGACTTTTTTTCTGTTTTCACGAGTCCCCGATCTTCTCAAAACCATGGAAACGCGAGACACAATCCTCACTGTCTGACTGATCGCTTCAAGTTCATCACTAACACCATTCACACTCTGAGAACAAAAGCTGTGTACACACATCAACATGCAGCAAACAGTCCCCATTTCCACACTTGCAGCTCTGTCATCCTGCACGCTGTGTACACAGGTTAGCACAATGCCTAACACTCTGACTGAATACCTCATATGACTTAAAACTGAACGAGGAGAGGGCTGTCACTGCTCTATCATTCCCTTTCTTCATCTGCTCTTTGTATTTTGACAGAGGCTGAATGAGCATGTCACTTTATGAACAGACAGACAGACAATGTGTTGTTTCAAGTTCAGGGGCTGAGCTGAGAACAAATGAAAGTGACACACACTGTCTTCAAATGCTGATCAAGTTCCCTCCTCATGAATAAACTCTTTGGTCCTCAGCTTTTAACGGCGGGACTGAATGTTGACATTTCATCATGCTTTTACAGAGGTTACAGTTGACACAGTTTTAGCAAATGTTGAAGATTCCTTTTGAAATGCAGATTTGGTGAGATTTAAATCGACGGGGAATTTGTTATTTAAAAATTCACAGAAAGATTATGAAGTGTTCAAACACTGGCACACTTTTCGGTGAGTGAAAGTCTGAAATAAAAGTGCACAGTTTTCACCCTCAGTTTGGGACGCCTGATTCTGGTTTTGTGCTATTTTAATGCAAAATAACTGTGACTGAATCCAGATCTTTGACGTCATGACTTCCTATAAGATTAGATGAGATGAAATAAGATAAGTGGAGATGACAAAGGTGGAGATGATGTCAGATGAGATGAGGTAAGATGACATACGATAGGCTGAGATGTGATAATGTGAGATGAGAAAAACACAAATTAAAATAAGATGAAGTAAGTCAAAATCAGTTAAGATGAGATAAGATTAAAAGAGATAATGAGAACAGATAGGATAGAAGAAACTTGATGAGATTAGATCAGATGGTGTACTATGAAATAAATTGAAGTGAGATAAAATGTGATGAGATAAGGTTAAATGAGATTTAGATGACATAAAATGAACTGAAATATAAGGTGAAATAAGCTGGGGTGAGGTGTGATGAGATAAGATTAAATCAGAAGAGATAGATGAGATGACATTAAAAGAGATTAGTTGAGATTCCCCAAACTCAGATGAGATGAGATACTGTATATAGGGATGAGAAAAGATTAAATGAGATGTGATGATATTAAGCACTTTATTTATTCCTCAGGATTTTCCTCGTGGCAGTTTGCTCCAAAATTATTGTATAAGATAGCATCAAGTATTTGTGAAACATCAAAGCACTAAACCCCCAAAATACCAAGTGCATGCAGAGAAAACGTATCTAAATTGGAAATAAAGTAGGAACTCACTTAAGTTCACTAAATTAAAGATACAGTGTTTTGAAATTGGATGATCTAGTGATATCTAGCAGTTCTAGATATCTAGATATATAGTCCATTTCTGCCAAATCTGTTCTGATACTAAATTCCACATACTGTACCTTTTAGTACCAAAGTAAGCTTTAAATAAATAAATAGAATTATTGAGAGCTTCATTTACATAATTAAGAGGTAAAAGTACTTTTTAATGGACAATAAATAAAAGTTCACATCAGATTCACACAATTCAGTCCAACCCCTTTGAAAAAGTCAGCCATGCATGTATATCTTTGGCCTTAAAAATGTACTGGGCTGCCCTTAGATTTTTGCAAATATTCTGTTATATCCTTTCAGGGGATAACACTATCTTAATGAAACTTTGAAATAATGCAAAGTAGTCAGTGTGCTGCTTGAATAACAGTATAGATTTATTGTCAATTGAAAATTACTCTGTACACAGCTGTTAACGTCTAAACAGCTGGCAACAAAAATGAGTACACCCCGTAGTGAACATGTCTAAATTGTGCCCAAAGTGTCAATATTTTGTGTGACCACCATTGTTATCTAGCACTGCTTTAACCCTCCTGGGCATGGAATTCACCAGAGCTGCACAGGTTGCTTCTGGAATCTTCTTCCACTCCTCCATGACAACATCACAGAGCTCATGGATGTTGGACACCTTGCACTCCTCCACCTGCCTCTTGAGGATGCCCCACATGTGCTCAATTGGGTTTAGGTCTGGAGACATACTTGGCCAGTCCATCACTTTAACCTTCAGCTTCTTCAGCAAGGCTGTTGTCATCTTGGAGGTGTGTTTAGGGTCATTATCATGTTGGAAAACCGCCCTACGGCCCAGTTTCCGGAGAGAAGGGATCATGCTCTTCTGCAGGATGTCACAGTATATAGTGGAATTCATGTGTCCCTCAATGAACTGCAGCTCCCCAGTGCCGGCTGCACTCATGCAGCCCCAGACCATGATGCTGCCACCACCATGCTTGACTGTAGGCAAAACACATTTGTCTTGGTACTCCTCACCAGGGTGCCGCCACACACGCTGGACACCATCTGATCCAAACAGGTTTATTTTGGTCTCATCAGACCACAGGACATGGTTCCAGTAACTCATGTTCTTCGATTCATTGTCTTTAGCAAACTGTTTGCGGGCTTTCTTATGCAGCGGTTTCAGAAGAGGCTTCTGTCTGGGGCGACGGCCATACAAACCAATTTGATGCAGTGTGCGGCGTATGGTCTGGGCACTGACAGGCTGACATCCCACTTCTGCAACCTCTGCAGCAATGCTGGAAGCACTCACACGTCTATTTTTGGAAACCAACCTCTGGATATGACGCTGAGCACGTGGACTCAACTTCTTAGGTCGACCCTGGCGAGGCCTGTTGCGAGTGGAACCTGTCCTGGAAAACCGCTGTATGATCTTAGCCACTGTGCTGCAACTCATTTTCAGGATGTTGGCAATCTTCTTATAGCCAAGGCCATCTTTGTGAAGCGCAATAATCCTTTTTTTCAGCTGCTCAGAGAGTTCCTTGCCATGAGGTGCCATGTTGTCCAGCGTTCAGAGAGAATTGTGCCCAAAACACCAAATTTAACAGCCTTGCTTATCATTTACACCTGAATCCTTTTAACACTAACGAGTCACATGACACCAGGGCGGGAAAACAACATCATTGGGCACAATTAGGACATGTTCACTGCGGGGTGTACTCACTTTTGTTGCCAGCTGTTTAGACATTAACAGCTGTGTACTGAGTAATTTTCAAAGGACAATAAATCTATACTGTTATTCAAGCAGCACACTGACTACTTTAAGTTATATCAAAGTTTCAGTAGGATAATGTTATCCCCTGAAAGGATATAACAGAATATTTGCAAAAATCTAAAGGGTGTACTCACTTTTGTGATATACTGTACATGTATATCTTTGGCCTTAAAAATGTACTGGGCTGCCCCATCATAGCAGTTCACGTGTACACCCCATGTACAGAGGTTATGTCTCTGTATGCATGTTGTATGTTTCTGTCATTTATGTTCAATATTTTCCTTTTTTAAATTAAAGACTTTGAGATAATTTTCAACTCAACTAAAGTGGAAAATAAACATCCTGAATTTTGAGTCAAGTAACATTTAGAGGTAGTCAAAACTTAAACTGCACCAAATAATGACGATAAGATAGTGTATGATATTCAACACACCATCAGTTGAATGTGATAATGATGGAAAGTGAAACTCTTTCCTGTGCAGTAGTATTGCACATAGTCTTAAAGGGTAATGGACTGATCGTTAATACTGTGTAATATTCCTTTATGTGTGTGTTTCTTTCACTCAGGATCACCAGTACAACTGGGACGATGGAATCCACAGGGACCACCGGTCTGGACTGAGGCCAGCCTCCTCTGACAAGAGCAGCCAGGCCCAAAACTACAAGAACCAGGGCCGCTTTGCCACCATAAAATCAGCCTCACTGGTAAGTTGTACAAAAATCTAACCTCTTTCTTTTCTGTTTTTCTTTTTCAGATCCAAAAACATGCACCTCAGGGGGTTCAGGATCAATTATTTGTGAAACATTCACCTCAGAAGTCATGTTCCTTTGAAAGCCAAAAAATAGAAAATCTACTTTTTGCAGAAGCCAAAATCTCTCTGAGAGTGTTGTGTTTACACCAGAGAGTCATATGAGGGCACAGAAGGGGCACTATGTTGTTTTCTGCACTCAAATCTGTCTGAGAATGCGCCAGTTTAAAGTTGATTCTGGGTGATTTACTGTAATGTGACTGCACAGATCGATGTGATTAGAACGACATCTAAAAGCAGAGACGTCTTTCCTTTTTGGACTCTCCTTTCACAACAACCTTTATTTAGAGTTTTTTTTTTCTAGTTTTTACCTCTTTGAGCTCTGCGTCTCTGCTCTCCAGTTTCATCCCTGTCTCTGTAAGATCTTTGTTTCCTTGCCATCTTACCTCTCATTCACCTCACGCCTTTTGTTTTCTCTTCTTGTACTATGCTTCACATTACCACTCCCCTCCTGCCGCCCCCTCCTTTATTTCCTCCTCTCCTGCACTTGACAATACATCACACTCCGATCTTAACCAATATTCTGTCTTGAAGGGCTAGAGTCCTCTCTCTCTTTCTCTTTCTTTGTCTCTCTTACTCTCTCTCCCTCCCCGTCTGTTGTCATGGAAACCAGCCCTAGTAACTTGTAAGTAGTTGTGGTGCTGTGTGTAAGTGTATGTGAGTGTGTACCTGCTCACCCATCCATGACCCATTGGTTTTAATTGTGTGTTCCTGCTGCCATCAGGTCTTAAACCCAACATGAAAGAACCTGTGAAATAAGGTGTGTGTGTGTCTGTGTGCGTGCGTGTGCACCTGTGTCCTTCTGCTGTCCTTGACCAGAGTGTGAATCACACAGGGCTGTGATTTTTTTTTTATTTTGGACCACAACCTCTCGATTGTTGTCCACTTTGACTTTGTGTAGAGATGGCTATGTGTCTCCGTCTCCTTCTGTTGTGCAAAAATAAAGCCAAAATATCCTTGATAGGATAGGATCAGTGACGTCACCTGTAGCCAGAGTGTGCGCAGTCGTGAGCTGGTGGTGCAGCGGTGTTGCTGTCCTGGTTTGTCCTCCAACCAAAACAGGCATATTACCTCCTTAAACCACATCCAGAAATCAACATCATGAGATCTACATATAGTGAAGAAAACCATTTCTAAGAAAGAATGTACGACTTTTTATTTAATTTTCAACTTGGTCTATGCCCCATCTGTTAACATGGAGGAAGCAGCCTTATGACCCATTCAGCACTCAATCTTTTCATTGCCTAAGAACCCACAGCTTTCAGTCATCGACCGCCAGTCAATTCAGACCATACACTCTATATGGAATGGACGCCATCTGCCTCCTCACTGGGTGAACCCACCACAAGAACAGCACACTCTGGTGACAGGCTGCAGTATAGGTCATATATCCCGCCTCCTCCAGCAATCCCTATGGAGCTGTGGACAAACTTTCGAAATTAATGACACAGAATATACATTTTTCTCCCCCCTGCTTGCGATGTTGACATGTAGTTACTGTAAGACTAGTTTGTGTTATTACGGGGTTCATGTTTTCTATGATTGACACTTGATCCAGCCTATGGGCATACGAAGATTGCGTAGCTCACCTAGGGGATACGCTGTGTGAACCGATCATCATCACAGCGACACTCGGCGACTCCCCCACCGGATGCGTACAATGCTACTGCGCAAGTGGTGGGTCCAGGAGGTGAAGAAAATCCTGGAAATACTGAGAGTTATTCGAATTCATACAATGGCGGAAGGTGGAGCCAAGTTGTCCATAGCATATACAGTCTATTGTCTATGCCCTCACTCAAACAGGGGCAGGGCTGCAACTTTCATCTGTAATCCTTAGGAGCCATCTTCCTTGTGCAGTGGGACAAGGATAGAGTCGGATTAAACCGCCAATTTAAGCTAAAACTGCAGCTCAACTTAAATTTGCATGTAAATGCACTAAATTAGATCCTCCTTACTTCTGTTTGTCACTTCTGTTTGATGTTCTGTTGTGTCACTTTTATTTCAACTGATGTGATTTGAAGCAATCTGACCCTAAATTGTCATTGCTAACTCATAAACTGGAGCAGTTTATTCTGCTTCAGTGTGATTTGCAAAGGATCTCCTTTGCAAATCTTTATTAATTGCTTCCGCGATCTGTTTTAAGAATCTCTTAAGCACTCAAAAACTGTCGGTAAACACGCCACACTTCTGTCTGACAAACAGTCACTGCAGAATGTAAGTTGCAGTGGATTAAAGTCAAACTGAAACGCTTCAGATGTAAGCAGCTGAGGTGGCACAGACAGTGTCGGCGGTTCTGAGTGTCTGCCTGTCTTCAAAAGAGGCAGCATCGTGTAAACCTCAGAATCTGTGCCGTGTGATAGCGCCAGTCCTGCCCGCCGGCGCTGAGAGGGATGACATCATCTTTTTCTGTGGAGCGCAGACGTCCTCAGATTGGCCTCGACTCGCTGAGACTGGAATCAGCAGGTAGACAAAGAGAGACAGAGAGAGAGAGAGGAGAACGGAGGGTCCAGATGGAGAGCGGTAATGGATCGAAAAGAGAGAGAGAGAAGTTGGAGAAAAGGGAAAGAAAAAGACAAGCAAGACAGGATTTAAAGATGAAAGACAAACAGCCAATATTAGATCCTCAAAAAAACAAAGTATGCAAATTCCTGAGTGAGAAAATGAGCTCATACTTTCTAAAGACAGGGAAGGAAATCAGAGCGATGGAGGGAGATTTGTAAGGATTAGAGCATGAATGAAAGCGGCTGCAGAGGGTAAAGACACGGAGGACACAGACGCCACATATCAGGAGGCTAAAGAGACAGATAAGCAAACAGGAGAGAGACAAAAGAGCACTGCAGATTGAAATCTGGACGGATAAAGAAGGACAAAGTGAGAGGGGACTGGGCTTCATTTCCCAGAGGTTACCTGAAGCAGAGAAAACATGGAGAAAGAGAAGAAGAGGAGGGAAAAACGTAGAGCTGAAGGGGGGGGGGGGTGTAAAAGGAGATGAAAGCAGGATGAAAAATCACAGAGGGAGAAGGATGGATGTAAAAGGGAGAGCAAATGTGGGACATAAGAGGCTGGGGAGAGGGAGAGCAGGGGTTATTATAGGTCAGATAAAGTAAGAGACTGAAGAGACTAAGAAAATTCCCCACATGTGCAGCTCTGCTCTTCATTAGGTTTGTCTCACCTGGCAGCTTGTAAACATATCAGCACGTCAGCCGCAGCAGCAGAGAAGCACATGAGAACACGCTCCTTACATCACCGTCATAATGCTTTTTTGGCAGCCATTAGAAACATGCTTTATTGATTTACATATCTACACAAAAACACTTTTCTCACAGGTATACTGTGGAGTATTTTCTTTCTCTTCATCCCCTATGAGGCCCAGATAGACACACCAGAAGTACAGGACCCTTTGGATTTGTGCAAACAGGAAAACAGGGTCTGTGGAAGCTCTCTGCATCTCCTGTTTATACAAATGACTTCCCCACATGTTACTCTACATCTGCAACAACACTTGAACCACAGCCATGTCTTCTTTTTCCTGTCTCGCACCTGACAAACAGCCAAATGTAGGAAACAGCATCGCAAGTCTTTAGGAAGAACACAGGCACATCTCTTCTTTAACTCAATATTAGCTGTATGCATGAAAGAGCTGCTCACTTGTATTACTCTGAGAGAGACTTCTTTTCACTCATCAATCTGCGGGCATGAAGATTCAGTTTTCTGCCGAGCATCTTTCATCTGCTGTAAATTGAATCATTTCTTTTCAACTCTGAATTCTGTCTGGAAAACAACCTTGACCCACCCGGTCAAAGTACTTCTACATAAATCATCAAAAAATGAAGATCGAGACCATCTGTACGCTTTTATTTTATATTCAATTTATTATGTTTCTGGACACAAGCGCACACACATATTTCTCCTCCCTGCTTCTTCCCTTCACTCGGCTTTGATGTTTCCCTCTACACACACATTTTAGACAAATGTGTGTTTAGAGGTTGTGCTGCCTTTGTTTGGTTATCAAGAAGCAGACTTTGGGTCGGTTCATATTCATGGACACTTTGTGAACTCAGTAAACACTCAGAGCTCAAACTATCCGTGTGTCTCAGTGACCTGTTTCTGTGAATTCAATATATTCACGAATACAGAAAACAAACCGATTTCTTCTTGCACAATAACCTCACCTCCTCACAGTAAACAATTTAGAATTTCTTCCATCTTTATCCCCAAAATAAGCAGAGTGACTAATCTGCTTGATTATGGCTGATCCTACTGAAACATTTACCTTTAGCCTGCAGCCTGCTCCCCTCCTCCTCCCTCCCTGAATATGATCTCCTTTCCAGCCCCTCAGGCTCGTGTGAAAGAGGCCGTCACATGACGTGACTTGGCCCTTTGTGGCAGCATGCAGGGTGGCGGTGAGGCAAGTGACTGGGATTGGGAGCTGCTGTTACAGTGGGGTATTGATTCAGCCCAGATTAAGAGGAGACGTGGGCCTCGACCTCCACCTCTCCCTCCCCCTGCTCACTTATTCCGTTTAGATGCTCTCAGTTAACTTCTCATTATTCCCTTTCTTCTATTTCCCGTAACTCTCCCCCAGTCACTCTCCATCTGCTGTTCCTCCTTCACACTCGTCCCCCCTCCCCTCAGCTCTCTGCTCGCTCCTCTCTGACCCCCCCTCTCCAACTTCTCTCACTCTTTCTCAATGAGGTATTCATGTGACCCACCTGCTGTCCGCCGCTTAGCGTTAGCCCAACTAAAGAGCAGCTCTGTGCTCTTGTTGGCCCGCGCCGTCGGCCTGCCTCATTCACAGTTCACACGCCTGCCTCGGCCGCTGCGTGCCCAGGGCGCGAACCAAGGAGAGGGAGGGGTCGGTTGGTGTGGAGGGGGGTTGTCGTCCAGTAAGGGTGGGGTCTCAGGGGTGGCATTGGAGTGCAGACGAGGCTCTGCCAGGCATAGGATGCTGCACAAGGTTACTGGATGCTGGTGCACTTGGCTAAAGTTGCCATCATGTTTGGCCTGAGGAGTTCAGGTGGAAGTTATGAGAAGATGCGGAGCGAGTACCAAATTGACGTGGAGAACCCTTTCAGCCTTGAGGTTGGTTTATGGAGGGGCCGAGTTTGCTTAGAAAAATGAGTAGCATTGCTCTGAAGACATGTCACCATGGTCTTAGCCTGATTTTTTAACTTATTCATGTTTTTTGATGCCTCTTTAAAAACTTTGAACTCCATTTAGAGTCAAGTGCAGTATTTGTGAGAGTTGTCTTATCTGGATAGGTGACGGAGAGCTGTGATGGACCGATAAAAGAGCTTTTGTTTGGCTCCAGTGGTAACGCAATCTGAAGGATTTCTGTTTTACATTTCTTTATTTCATCCAAACACAGAGGAAAACTTTTTTCTTTATTCACTTTTTTCTTGTCAAAGTTATCTTGTAAAAAAAGCTGCCACTAATTCAAAACTTTTTTTAACAAATGTGCAGTTTTTCTTTAAATTCATGTTTTGCATTTTCAAAAAAGGAGAGGTAAAGTGTTTCTTTTTGATGCATCTGATTTTAATTGTCAAAAATTAGTTGGTCAAACATTCCACTCTTTACTATCCAAAGCTATCCAAATTCGGATATCCCCACGCTCACATCTCCTTACTACTCTCCTTCCACAGGTGACCAAGCAGATCCACGAGCATGAGCAAGAGAGCGAGCTGCGGGAGCAGATGTCGGGCTACAAGCGCATGCGGCGGCAGCACCAGAAGCAGCTGATCGCCCTGGAGAACAAGCTAAAGGCCGAGATGGACGAGCACCGGCTCAAGCTGCAGAAGGAGGTGGAGACGCAGGCCAACAACGCCTACATCGAGCTGGAGAAGCTGGCCAAACGCCACGCCGGGCATATGGAGAAGGAGGTGGGATATATGCGAGGGGTTCACAGGGGCTTATAGGACACGATTGGAAAGGCATGAGTGGACGCATAAGAACAGTAACCCCTGAGTTATTTCACAGATGATCACACTGACCTACATGTAACAGGCAACAGTTGGCCAGGGGGATAAGATGTGCTGTGGAAAAACTAAGAAGGACACAGTGTTGGGGTTTACACCTGCTGTAGGAACTCTGATCGAAATGATGTTTGTAACCGTGAATCAGCAGCTTCAGTCTGACTGAATACAAAGGAAAGTTTTTAACTTTACACGCTGCTGCCACCCAATGATACATGAGATGAAACACAAGGGCAGAAGTGGGTCACAGAATGTCATGCTCTGAAAAACAAGCTGCATATCTCTGTGATTAGCAGGCAGACTGCCCGACCTGCCAGGGCCTGGAGATAGTCTATCTGTTCATGTACAGTGGACCAGCCTGCACTCACAAACAGCTACATCAACATTCAACCTCACATTTAGGGGACATGTCACATTGGTAGACCTGTCAGATATCCAATTTCCTTTAGTCTGGCAATTCATTTCCATTTTTCATCAGAGGCCTCTGCTGCACTATGTTGCAGCTTTGGCTGTTTCATGCTGCAAAAAAATCCAAAATAAGCAAATAATTTTGTCTTATTTCTGGTCAAAATATCTTGATGGACTTACATAAGACATAAAAGACTACAAATACAACAAAAGATATGCAGTTGTGTTTTGAGTAGAACTTCTAACATATTTGAATATTTGACTTTTTATATTTGAATAAGTTCCTTGACATAAGAACATTTCTTACTCCCATCAGCAGATCATGTTCACTCACTACAAGCAACTCAGGTCTGATTTTTGATTCTAGTGTCTTGAAATAAGATGTTTGTTTTCTGGACTTTTCAAGTGAATGTGTCTTACAGTAAGTCTAAAAAGACATTTTACCAGAATTGTGATACAAACACTTTCTTGGTTTTGATTGTTAGCAGTGCAGGACTGGACCAGAAAACAGAAACACTATCGTACTGCTGACACTATGATTTCATTCTGCCTACCTAAATATGCTCATAATTTTACAGTCTGTCAATGTGTGATGGTGTATTTCTACATCTGTCACCAGGAAAAATAAGCAAAAGACATCAAAAGCCCCATTGCATCTGTCTTTGACTAGTGCTGCTACAGTAAAACTGAAGAAGAATGTCTGCAAAACATCCGATTGATAAGATCTGTGATTCATCTGTAGCTCATTTTATGCTAAAGTGGGTTGATTGAGTGTTACAAAGCATGTAGTTGTTTCTCTGTGTTGTCTTTTTTTTCAACTTGATTTTACTTTTAGCATATTGAAAAAATAGTCCAAAAGATTTATTATCGGCATTCTGAGAATGACATAAAATTCATGGCAGAAAAGATGGATAGTAACAGCAGAGGAGAGATAAAACATAATAAAAGAGAGGAAAAGGGGAAAATCCCTTCCATGCTAAGCTAACAGCCCCTCTCCCCGTCCCTCTCCTTTTTTCTGTCTCTCCCCTCAGATGAAGACAGCGCTGACGGATGAGAAGAAGTTCCAGCAGCAGATGGTTGCCCAGCAGAAGAAGGAGCTGACCACCTTCCTGGACAATCAAAAGAAGCAGTACAAACTCTGCAAAGAGAAGATTAAGGAGGTGTGCCTCTTTCATTGCTTTTTCCTCCTCCTTTGTACGCCTCTCTCTCTCTCTCTCTCTCTCTCTCTCTCTCTCTCTCTCTCTCTCTCTCTCTCTCTCTCTCGTGGATGACACACGGGCTCCTGTGTGCTGTTTACTGTTGAATCAGCCCTCCTCCACACTAACATGCACATTCAGTACCTCTGAAACGCTCTTCTCTGAGATGTGTTGAGTCATGCGGCCTACTCACTATGTTCCTACACATGTATCTACACACACAAACAAGAGAAAAAAAAACACATGTCCAGAGTGTACACAACCTTGAAAGTGAGAGAAATTGCTCCTGTGGGCTGCCAGTGTCATCCACTGTGTTTTTCAGTGACGAGATAAGTGACCAAAATTAGGTCAGCGCAGTTAAAAGAAAGCGTGGCTGGCAGGGAGAGATATTTCCCACCAACTGAGGGCTGGAACCGAATTAAACACCACAGAGAGCAGGGATCAGACTCATGTGTGAAGTGCATTAGCTGGAGTTGTAGATTACCTTAAAGCCCATGAAAGAGACAGAGCGCTCACACTGAGGAGGGAGTGATGGGCCAAAACTGTTGTTCTGACCCCTCTCTGGCTCTAAAAGTCATCAGCGCTGTCAAACAGAAAGTCAAATGCAGTTTGACTTTGCTCCAACTACAAACAGAAAGTGTTTATCAATATATTAAGAGGGTTTTTTGTTTTCTCATCGGAAAAACATCCATTTTTACTCAAAGTCTGGACATTTAAAGCTCAGTTGGACTTTTAGCTTCTAACATATTCACTGGTTCAGACTGTATCAAAGTCAGTGTTCCTAACTCACTCCATTAGGCCTCATTCACCAGTGTTTCTTAAGGTTTTTCCTTGATTTCTGCATTTCTGAGGACATTTCTGCAATATTTAAGGAAAACTTGAAATAAGAAACTAGATACAGCATCTGTCAAATTGAGATAAAGGCAGAGGGTGGAGCAACACCTCACTGCATAAAACTTTGCAAACAAACAACATCAGCGTACATGCCATCATCCCATTCTAATAATGTTCAAATTTACACAAGGCCATAGTTCTTGAAGCAGCGGTTGCAGGTTCGATTCCCAGGAACGACCCTTCACTGCATGTCTTCCCCCCTTTCTTTACTCCCTGACATTCCTGTCTCTCTCTTTAGCTGGCCTGTCTTATAAATGCAAAAACACTTGGAAAAAAAAACAATCACTTACTGGAACAGCTCTGATAAATCAACAACCTTCTTTAAATGGTACACTGCCACATAGAAGCATTGTTTATCATACTTTTATTTCAACGTTTTTTTCGGTCTTGTTTTATTTCCTTCATTTTAAAGCCATGCTTTTATTTTGAAGTGGTTTTCTTCTGGTAGATCGTAATTTGTAAACTGAATAAATAAGTTTCAAAAACAACTGGAAGGTTGAAAATATTAAATTGATAAGCAACCAGGAAAGTCTCAAGTCCTTAAGAGATGTATCATGTATCTTTGAATGTTAGTTTTTGAGAGTGCCAAATCATCTCTTGTTATGGCGTCTTTTCTCTCCTTCATTTTACAATGTGCAGCAGCCAACCGGCATAAAGGAAGGACCACTATTATGAACTCAGGATGTTACTGTTTTCTCCCTTTAGCACAATGTTGACATTTCATATTTAAAAACTGTGTAGAAAAATGTTTGAAATTCTGTAGTGTTGAGGTGTGTTGTTATTAGTGGGAACAAGTCTTTTTTTTCAGCATTAGTTCTTGTTAAATTTCAGACTTTAGTGTGATTATTACTTCAGTTTGATGTCCAATGTAGTTATTTTTTTTTCCCTAATCTTACTTTAAAATTCATAATTTCCTGTATTTTAACATTTTTGAGTGAGCTCTCATTAGATCTCTGACATGATGCCCTCACAAGATGAAAAAAATAACTCCTTATCTTCTCCTTTGAATTGTGTGCAGGAGATGAACGAGGACCACAGCACACCCAAGAAGGAGAAGCAGGAGCGTCTGTCTAAGCACAAGGAGAACATGCAGCATTCCCAGGCCGAGGAGGAGGCCCACCTCCTCGGCCAGCAGAGAGTTTTCTACGACAGGAACTGCCGCGGCTTCAAACGCAAAGTGATGATCAAGAGACACGACCTGGAGCAGGAGCAGATCAGAGAGGTGTGGAGGATGAACATTTCTGGAAACATCTCATACTCTTGAATAAGTGATACACTTAAACATGGACCCAGTTTTTATACTCACCTATTAAATATCAAATCAAGTCGACCCAAATCATATTTTCCAGGAGAGTTAGAATGAAATCAATTCCCTTGTTTATTTGGGAGGTTTTTTTTTGGTGATGGTGGAAAATAAGGTCCAATGAGATTATAAAAACAAAAAATGTCTTTGTCAGCAAAAAGCTGCGTTTTTTTCTTCATAATTACGCCTATTGTTCCTCCGATCTATGAGGTGTTTCCTATTAACTATAAGAGGATTACTGCAGGGTAAAGCAAGGCAACAATGTCATAATCTGAAAAGCTGCTGTGTAAATCGGAGAAATGATTGGAAGCTCCCAAAGCTGTCTGAGGGAAAACACGCGAAACTCTCAGTCACGTTTTCAATAATAGTCTGAAAGTTTGGGTTCAAAGGAAAGGGAAGTGTTCTTCGGATAGAAAAGGACTGAAAATACTTGAACTGGTCATGTTTATAGATTTTGAAGCTGTTGAGGATGGCAGTCAGAGTTTTAACCTGAAACACACAGAAGATTTGATTTCCACTCATGAATGTCACATTGAAAAATAAGCAGCACAGACGATCCAAATCAACGCCAATCATGCATCCTCTCCCTCTCTTTCTCTACTTGTCCCTTTGCAGGAGCTGAACAAGAAAAAGACCCAGAAAGAGATGGAGCACGCCATGCTGATCCGCCACGACGAGTCCATGCAGGAGCTGGAGCACCGGCAGCTAAAGACCTTGCAGAAGCTCCGCATGGACCTGATCCGCCTGCAGCACCAGACCGAGCTGGAGAACCAGATCGAGTACAACAACCGGCGGGAGCGTGAACTCCACCGCAAACATGTGCTGGAGCTCCGGCAGCAGCCCAAGAACCTCAAAGTGAGTCGGCACACAGACGCCGAAGTGTTTCATCCAGATGTAGAGATACAGGCGTTTCAAATTCAAGGTGCAAAAAAGCCTTTCTGGATTTCTTTTGTTTCAAGATTCGTTTTTTAAAATTTATTTTTCTGCGTGTTTGAAATGTTAAGCTGTATCCACCTCTAAGATGGTGCAAGCTGTGAGCAACATCCTTTCTGTTTGGAAGATTTTGATAAAACACTGATGCAATATGGATGTAATGAATTAATTTGAAAAAAAATGGTGAGAGAACATGGAAGATGAGTCACCCCTGAACGTCATCCCAGTTTGATTTGCTCCTAAGAGATACGGTGAAGAGGAATTTAGCCCCTGGGTTATTTTAAACCTTTAACCTGAGCGGCTCGATTCTTCATTTGTGACAAACGATTGACAGAAAAGTCAAAAAAACAAGGTCTGAATCTTCTCTAAATTCAACCGTCTCAGTCAATTCTCAATGCTTCTCCGTCCCCACGACCAGGCTCTGGAGCTGCAGATCAAGAAGCAGTTCCAGGACACATGTAAGGTGCAGACCAAGCAGTACAAGGCCCTGCGCCACCACCAGATGGAAGTGACGCCCAAGTCCGAGCACAAGATAGTGCTCAAGGCCCTAAAGGATGAGCAGACACGCAAGCTGGCCATCCTGGCCGAGCAGTACGAGCAGAGCATCAACGAGATGATGGCCTCACAGGCGGTGAGCAGAGAGACGTTTCCATGATCTCTTCTTCCTCTACAATCACTCCTTCTTCCCACAGACCCAGACATGACCATTTCAGATACCAAATTTAGAAAGTAGGAGAGTTTTTGTTCACTGTTGCTAATTTTTTTTTTACTTTTCTCCTCCTTGTTTGTCCTTGTCTTGTTTTTCCTCTTCGTCTTTCCATAATACCTCACCCTTTTGTAAATCTCTCACCCTTCCTCTTCCTCCCCCCTTTCCACTGTCTGCCCCTGTTGCCCTTCCACTTTCCTTCACCTCTTCCTCTCCGTCTTCACACCCTTTCACTCTGTACTCTCTATCCCCTCTTTCTCCTCTCTTCCCTTCTTTGTGTCTCATCAATGTACCCCTACCCTCCACCCCTCAATCGACCATCTCTCTCTGCCCCCCCACCCCCACCCCACCCCCCAATTGCGGTCCATGGTGGGCTGTGTCAGCTGCGTCTGGACGAGGCCCAGGAAGCTGAGTGCCAGGCCCTGAGGCAGCAGCTGCAGCAGGAGATGGAGCTGCTCAATGCCTACCAGAGCAAGATCAAGATGCAGACCGAGGCGCAGCACGAGCGCGAGCTGCAGAAGCTGGAGCAGAAGGTGTCGCTGCGCCGGGCTCACCTGGAACAAAAGGTGTGGTGGAGCAAACACTCCTTCAATAGATTGTTTCATTAAAGCTGCGGTCGTGGCTTCTGGGCAGAAAACAGAGATCACAAATGAATGAAAGAGGAGCGAGCTCTTCCTACTATTGAAGAGGATGAACAAATTAATTAAAACTCTGAAAAGCAAGAAAAGACGCAAACCCTTACTGGCAGGTCAGCATGATGTTTTTTTTTTTTTTTAAAGAGTTAAAGAAATTGTATTCCTTCATGAAAAAAAAAAAGCTCTGCTAACCCGCCCTTCCTATTTCTCTTCAAAGACAGCTTACAACTTGAGTTCAGTAAAGGTCAAGTTTGTTTATCTGCTGCAGCCGAATTTTTTCTTAAAACTTCAGACAATTAGTTTTTTTAAATGGAAGGAGAAGAAGAAGACAAAGAAAAGGAAGCAGAGGGTGACGGTAATTTAAGACAAAAAAAGAAACTAATAATAATTTACAAATGAAAATTCTGCTGACAAGAGGCAACAAAAAAAACAACAGAAATAAGAGTGATTAAAGATAAAGCTTTATTTTAAATCTAAATTGTAGTTTTCAATCTATTTAAGTAGATTTGGAACAGTCTCAATCCAGTCAGTGTGTTTTTAAATAAAAGGTCAATTGTGTGAAGCCTTTTAGTCAGCTATTATTACAGTAACTGTGTTTGTTTGCTAAAAATTAAGCTCACAAAGTAGAAGAATAACACCTCATATTTGATTGTTTTGTTTTTTTAATTTAACCTTAATTTAACCAAGTCATAATAACCCACTGGAGTCCAGATCTCTTTAACAAGGGTGACTTGGCTGAGAGGTCAGCAGCACGCACCTTCATGAATATTACATTATTAGGAGACAGATTACAGACAAGGCCTTACATGACCGTCCTCAGAAACTGATGAGACATACAGCAAAACATAAAATGTGATTTTAACCTCTCTTTTAGCTCTCTCCCGCTATTCTTCATGCTACAAATTCAGATTCTGCAGCTGTGTGAGCGTGCACCTAAACACAACACCATGACTGCCTGCTTTAATCCTAAATCATGCAACTTACAATGATCATGCAGCTCGACAGAAACTGGCTTTTTGCTCCATTTTGGTCACTTAAATACCCGTGGACACCTCACTTGAGTGACTCGTGACTGTTTCATACTACTATAGTGCCAGGAAAATTAGTGACGTGATGATGGCAAAGCATTAGTCACAAAAAAATGTTTGTCGTACTTTTTCACAATGACCTCCTCTAACAGGACTTAAAGTGAAGCACACACTGTAAGTATTTAAGGATTATACAGAACCAAAGCATGCAAACAAAGTACGCAGACAAACACAAACGTGAAAATGAGTTGAATCCCGAACAGTCAAGTGCTTCTTCATGAGCTCATCCTGGTGCTGATGCAGACAGGTCCAGATACAGATTTGCATCCACCTCAGCAAGCAGAGCGAGCGTTGAAAAGCGACCCAGACAGTCAGTCATGAGCTCACACAGACTCACACAGACACACACGCAGATTTCCCTCACCACAGGTGGTGATGACAGTGGCATGCCTTCCTGCAGGGAGCAGACAGCCTTTTCTCTCCCACACACTCATAACGCTTGTTAAATCTGCACACTGCAGTATTGTCTTCTTATTAAAACATATTTTTGTCACCCACCCGGTTATAATGAGAAACATTTACTGCAGAGTTCTTGTTGTTCTCTTAAATCCGCTTTTGTACGTGTCAAAATGTAACTGCGGCACAGATTCCTGAAATGTTATGTTTTTTTTAAATGTTGTTATCATCTAAGAAGTGACTCAAATGAAGACACCTTGAGTCCAGGTTCATACTGGCAGCTTGTCTTTATGCTTTCCTCTTGAGTTCTGCTTTTTCCACACAGTTTCATTGTTCGGCGTCACTTTTTTGGCCTGCATGATACTGATGGAGACACATCGTTGATGGGTTAATTCAGGCTACCTGTGGTGTATACAAACAGCATGTGATCAGATTAGAAACACGCCGTGCACGCCTCTTTCCGAAGTGACCGACGTCATCGACACAGTCTAGTAGACAGCACTCCGACAACAAAGGAGTAGACGTTTGAAATGCCGCCCTGATCCAGTTCTGCTGGGTCCACCAGAGTCTGGAGCGAGCTGCAGTGCTCTGTCGCCATCTCCTGGCTGCGTTGTGATCTGCACTCAGGGACTAGGATGATGTCATGGTTTTCAGAAGCACTATTGTCCTCGGGTTCGGTTCATGGTCAAAGTCTGGAGTTTTCTGTGCATGCTCAGTAGTTGGCCAGATTGCCGTATTGCGCCATGCAGTGTTTGTCTGCACCTGTGGATGTGTGTGTGTGTGTGTGTGTGTGGAGTTTGTGTGGGAGCTGGACTGAAAGAGCCTGCAGACACAGCTCCTGACAACACAAACTTGACGCATTCACACCTTGTGACACACAGCGTGACAGTGCACATTGAAACCTTCATCATTTACGCAGATGGGACACATTTTATGGCTATTTTGTAGGCATGAGTAAAAGAGCTACAACTGTTGCAGAAAAAAAACCCAAAATAAATCTGCAGTGTCGTGAAAACCAACTGAACGCAGTGTTTGTAAAGGTTACAGTGCGACAGTGTCAGCGCTGTTGTGCGGCTACAGTACAGTATATGTATCCAGCTGCACTACACTTCAAAGGCTTCTCTATTACCCGTGTCTAACTCCTGCTAAAACTGACAACAGGCATTAGATGTGGGAGCCAGCTGAGGTTCCACCCAGAAGCTAGTCTGAGATAAGGATTATTAAAAACTACAAATCACAGACCACAGCTTTTACTCTCTTTGCTCCACAAGAGATCTCCTGCAGGGCAGTCAAGGTGTGTCTCCACTGTGTGATTTACATCACCTCTTTACTTTCCCGTGGGTTCTGACATGCCTCTTAAAAAAGCACCCTAAACTTTGAAGTTACAAGTACAAGTACAAAAAGAACAAGCACTTTGCACACTGTCCATGCTGAAAATCTGCAGTCTTGTAGTTTTTACTTTTTAAACTCCAGCTTTCAACTCAGTTTTCAGCCAAATTCCAGTTTTTATCCCTAACCCTGACACAACAGATATCACAGGGAAAAAAAGGTCTTCTCCTCAATCTCCACCAATCCACCCTTAGTAAGACTTTACAAACAAGGCTAAAAGACTGAATAAAAACTTAAATATTAAAGAAGGAAGCATAATTAAGTCTGCTTTAGCCCAAAATATTCCAAAGACTCAATTTTTTAGAACTCAGACCGAACTAGTAAAGCAGGAAAAAACTAATCTCGATAAACTCTAAATGTGTTCCCTGCAGATTGAAGAGGAGCTGGTTTCCCTTCAGAAGGAAAAAACCGACCGGGTCAAACACTTGCTGGAGCGTCAAGAGCGCGAGATCGATAACTTCGACATGGAGAGCATGCGGCTGGGCTTCGGTAACCTGGGCACCCTGGACCTCCCCAAGGATGACTACAGATGAGGGGCTGCTGTCGCCGGTGTTTCCACCGCCGTGATCCCCCTGAGCGTCTGTCGTCTGCCTCAGTACTCCCTTCCCTCTCCTCTGACCCACCTGACCTGACAGTGCAGGTGTCCACTGCTGCTGACGCCCCCACTCAAACACACAGACGCAACAAAAACTATCACAAAACAGCTCCAGAATCAGCTGGTTTCTGGGCGGCTCTGAGAGTCCAGGGCAAGTTTCAGTGCCCCAGAAAAAACCACCTGAACTTCATCCCTCTCCTTGCGCCTCATGGTGTCACAAGACGACAAAAAAAAAGATGCTGGATCCTGTAGTTGTCATGTTTTTGTAAGAATACTGATAACATAGTGACGGTGTTTCTCATTTTTGTGCAATGATGACACTTTTGGCGTGACTAAAAGTGGACGAGGAGAGAAGGAGGGAGAGAAAAACGAAGGGGCAGTACAGTGAGCGTAAAACCTGCATTTTTAGAGGTGATTCATTTCTTTGCTAGTTGCAAAAACAAAAAAAAATCTGTCAAAGCGATAAATCAAAACAACCGATCCTCCTGCAGCCGCCACTCGAATGCGCTGCTTCTTCAAACCTTTTTGGTATTTATTCATCAGGACATTTTTATGACAAATTTGGATAATTTGATACTCTGAGAGACAAATATCACGTTGTATATAAAGGTACGCTTCTGAAAATGTGACTCCCTCGAGTGATTATGGAGGGGAGCGTGAATCATGGTACTCGATATGTGTATCGTACTGATTTCTCTGCACTGGCAGCCAATGTGAATAATGATAATAGTACATGTGACACGTGAAATCCCAGCTAGCACAAAGGGCTTCATGGGGGGGGGGCTTGGGGGCGGGGCTTGTACTTTGTGTATAGAAGGATTTATGGAGAGCTTTTACTTATTTTCGTATCGTATTTTAACTGTCACTCAAATCAAAACAGAATTTTTAAAGGCGCTTTTTTCCCTCCCCCCTCCTCAGATAGTATTTGAGGCGCAGTCATCCGTCTACGGGACTTTTTTTTTTTTTTTTTTGCTTTACACAACTCTCAAGCTGTGTATTTTCTTACAGACCAGACCAGTATGATGCTTTATTATTGCATGCACTTTAATTTTTTTTTTCCAGGTTCAAAGAAAGCATGATTCTGTCAGAGCTTTTAATTATATTTGTAAATAAAGTGCTCATCACACAAAACAAGGACGTGTGGATGCATATGTGTCTAATATCAAGTTACAATGTCGTCAGATTTACTGTTTTGAGATGGAAATCAAGAAAATAAAGACATTTTTTTTAAAAACTGGGTTACATTCAAACAACTGGAGGTTTGCTGTTTAACTTGGGGACAATTTTTAATAGTTGAGGAGGACATCTGCAATTTTAATCTTGCGTGTTTGTAACTTGTCAGGTAAAAACTTCAAGGCAGATTATCAGCCATATTTCAAGACCCACAGAGGTCCTATGATAACATTAGTCCGGTCTCAATTAAGTGTGATCAAATGTGTGTCATGAGACAGTCCCAAGAAGCTCGTGGGATGCATGATAAGTATAATCCTGTATTTGTCCATTTCTTTTCCATCAAAACGTCTACCAACACAAATACAGTGGAGACATGGTGATGCAAGGTGGCGGGCTTCATTAAAGGGTTCCTGCGTCTCATGTTAGATGGGGGAAAAGGTCACTCACATTGTTTTGAGTGTTCTTCTGCTTTCAGTACGAAGATCAAGTATATCCAACGTACCTATACGCTGGCATGAGGGACCTTTTAATTTGCATGGATGTTTGAGCATACTTCAACCCACCAACACCATTTCTCCAGAGAACACTTTTAAAACTACTCCCCACTTAAAGAAGTCATCTCTCATCATATTTAATTATTTAATTCTTGTTTATTAGCAACAAAAATCTTTGAACGTGTCAACAAACAACACAACCACTTCAGTGTGGGACAGATTTATTCTAGTAAAGTGCAGGTCAGATCATGTAGAGGCTTTTCTCATGTTGGTAAGTGGCACACTCACAAAAACAAATGGTTTTTTAATGTTGGGTGTTTTTCTTCCCCCAAGAACACAAATTTCCTACAGACCCCTAAACCTAATGGGTTCGGGTTAGTGCTTAAAGCTTCAGAGTCCACTCTTGTTGTTCATTTTCCAGCAAGCTGCTCGTACAGTTTGGGGACGTAGTTGTCCCACTCAGCCTGGTAGCAGGTTCCCGCCACAGGAGCTTCGAGTTTGTACTTCTGCCTGAAGCTGCGGATGCTGAACTTTCCACGTCCGTTTCCAGAGCGGTTAGTGAGGACCGCCTCGGAGCAGTTAAGGTTTCCTGACTGCTCATAGATCAGCCACACGTACCTGTGCAGACCTGAAAGAAGGAGAAGCAACAGTTCCAGGTAGATATTTTCATACAGGGAAATCCTCTTAAGTGTAACTGTCTTCCTCTTCTAATAGTCAATAACCTTCTTCCCCTCTTTTACCTGTGTCTTTGGGAGGACCAGACCCCACATAGTCAGACATGACGCAGCCAGAGGAGACGTCGTTCCCCTTCATGTTGACCACCAGAAAATGATGCCACTCCCTGATGTTAAGACAGAAAATAAAGGCTATGAAGTTTTGAAGGCACATTGATTAAAAAAACTGATTTGAGCTGGTTAACCTGCTCCTCTCACCTGAATTTGTGATCCTTCCTGCTGGGGGCGTCAGGGTCAGTCAGGGCCAGAGTGTACGTCTTACTGGGGTCACATCCTTCCCACTCGATGCAGGTGGGTCGGTTCTGCACCTGTTAATAATTATAATCGCAATTTCACAACAACATAAATAAAAAATAGTGCTGATGAATGACTGGACACACGACTCTAGCTTGTATTTCCCTCATTGCACCACTTGGTGGCGCCAGTATCCATAAGATACAGCCTCGGCCATGCTGAAGGAGGCATTATGTAACCTTATTCATTGTGGCCACACACTTGCAAACACACTTTGCAACAGGATGAACTGCAAAGCAACCTGAATGCGTAGAAATCTCTCTTAAATTTACTATCACGTGACGAGTTTAGGCTAACTTTTGCTCATGACGCTAATTCATCTGTATTGTTGTTAGCCTGGCTAACTCACAACAGTTAGCTAGCAGACTAACCTGTGTCGGTGTGAGCACTTTCCCGAGCTCGTCGATCTCCACAGAGCCGTATTTGATCGTCAGAGGCTTTGCAGGTTTCTCCTCCACCTCCTGCAGGGCCAGATCCCCGCTCCACTGACTCAGATCTGCGGGCATTTTCACTTAGGATCTGCTGACTGACGTTACATGCAATGAACACTAAAAACTGCCCAAAGTGCTGCGTTCAGGTACAACCCCGGAAAAAAGGGAGAGCAGTGACGAACTCGCAGCTTTCGCTAAAGGATCTGTACCAAAACTTCAATTTAAGTCATTTCAGCTCGAATATAAATTTAAATAACTTAAGTATCAGTATGAATACAGTTTACTGTGTTGTGTCCGAGCTTATGTTTCGTTAATATCCCCTTGTAATGCTTATTTTAATTTCTCTTGTAGATTTGTATCCAATCTTACACTGTATTTGGTCAGAATACTGATATAAACACCGAATTATATTCTTAAATTTCTCAGTTATCATAACACCAAACTAAATATGTGATAAATTAACTTGTGTATATGTTTTATCCATAGTGAAATGAGGCGCTCTGTATTTTCCTACTTATTTAAGAACCTATAAACATCACAAGCAGCAATCCCTCAAAATGACCACCAGAGGGCGCCGTCGCATCAACGCAACTATAATTATGATTCGCTAAATTTTCTGTCAATCAAAACATCCGTCCAAAATGTGTCCCTCCTCCCGCTCACATGCTCTATTGACACATTTTTGGTTGCAGACGTTTCCATTTAAGAAACTGGAGCTCTTCTCTTGATTTTTCTCACGTAAAATCATAAGTTGTTCTATTCTGCCGAAGTAGAGGAACCTGTTTCCCTCCAAACTGAGCTGTAAAATTGTTCCTTCTTGCAGTTTTATAGTATGTCTGTGGTTATGAGTAGGCCATGCTTTGAGTTATTGTAAGGTTTTATGGTTGTTTGTGGTTGTAAATGAATGATGCCTCTAATCTCACTTTTTATTGCAGTGATTACAATTTGCATACCACAGACCTCAAAGCACTTTAAAGATACAGTTTTGATAAGATTTAGTTGCATCAGTATCCTACCTGTGTTTTTACATCATTGTTTTATGCCTGAGGAAAATAACAGTGGTGCAAATTTATATTTCATGAAATGCTAAAATTTATTTAGTTAAAACGTTAAGTTGAAACAATCAGAACTACACAGATTTAAGTTCCTTTAATTTCTGATTAAATAAATAAATATATTTGCTATACCTGATTCTTTTGCTTTATTTTAAGGGGAGTTAATGTTGGAAATGTGTTTCACTCATGTTAAAGTCATAATAATCCCCACAGTTGTAAGTGTTCAGCAGAAATGTGATTTTATTTTTATTTTTAGTGAACCTGCTGCAGCCTGGCATGTTTGTGAAACTTCATGCTGACCACAAATCATATTTAAACTGTGTGTAAGCCCCAAGAGAGCAACTTTACCACAAGCTCTCTGCAGGCTTAATGTTCCTTTGCCTTTAATGCAACATAATCTGTAGCTGAAGATGTTTGCTCGGTCCCTCATATATTGCTCCTTTTGTCATCACTCTAATTGCACAAATAAGCGCATGTCTCTTTAAAATCATTAGATAAAGGTAATCAAAAGTCCCTACACAGCATGTAGACTTTGTGGCGTCATGCTTCCTCAACTTTTGTTTCAGAGGTCGAAAGGAAATACTACAGAAGCAAAAAGAGAAAGAAGGAGAAGCTAGTTTTGGTTAGCCTATATCTCTGTATTGTTCTGAGACATTTTAAGTTTCAATGCATGTCTGCCAGCTTTAATATTCCACTTACTAAAGCATATTTTTTTCTCAGAAATCACAACTTTATTCTTTTGGTTTTATAACATTGGTTTTGGACTTTTACAACTTTATTCACCTACAACTTTACTCATGTAGTCTTACAAGTTCAATCTCATAATGTCAGATTTTTTCCATTAAAAGCTCCTGTGAGCAGTTATGACTTTGTTTTGATTATCTGCACCTGAAAATTAGTCCCAGGGTTCCTACTCAAGTATATGGAAAGTATGGAAATAAATTTGGTAAATTTTCAGGTATTAAAAAGTATGGAAAATGAAAAATTAAGGAAGGAAAAATATTTGTGTTTCCAGACTATTACCACAGTTCTAGTTTGGTTCAGATTGTATTTTATGCTGAGCCAGGCACAGTTTGTGTAAAAGGAAACATACCAACTGATTGTCAGTGTGTGTGTGTGTGTGTGTGTGTGTGTGTGTGTGTGTGTGTGTGTGTGTGTGTGTGTGTGTGTGTGTGTGTGTGTGTGACAGTATTTACAGTTTTATGTTCAGACACTTGCGGGACCCAAAAAATAATTCTTCAATTCTTAAAACGAGTTACGATAAAATTCAGTGCATTAAACTTATCTGAGTTTATTAATGGCTATAATCACCCAGCAGAGCCGGCTCAAGGCATAAGCGAATTAAGCGCCTGCTGAGGGCCCCGCGGCCAATTGGGGACCCCTAAGAGCAATCAAAAATAATAATTATATATTTTTTATTTTTGAATGTATGAGTGATGCTTTCTGTGTGATTAAATATATATCATTGTAAAAATAAAATAAAGTAAAAACATTTTAGTGCTGCTGCTGATGTAGGCCTATGATTCTTTCTGATGATATGTCAAAGCTCTGCTACCGTTAAGTGCCTTCTACTATGCAATGCGCACTGAGCATCCAAAGAGCAGGCAGTTGTGGGGCAAAACAATGATGCTAAAAAGGACATATCCCTCAGGAGCAGAGAACAGAAAGAGGAAGAAGAGGAAAAAAACGCCAAGATAAAGGCATGTCATGGAATGTTAATCAAAGAGATTTCTGATTGTGTGTGAATGATCAACAATCAATATTAATGGCAGAAATAGAGGGCCCCAAAATCAAATTTTGCTTAGGGCCCCATTGAGACTGGGGCCGGCTCTGTCATCTAGTAATAAACTGGGGTGGGGGTGGGGGGGTGGGGGGGGGGGGGGGGTGGGGGGTGGGGGGGTAGTGAATCGAAATTAGTTTGGAAGAGGAATAAGAATAAATCCACAGTATAACGATAGTGAATCTGGGCTTTTGCCCCATTGTCCTAATTAAATATGATGTGAAATATTATACACTGATATTTAGTGGCATATTCCCAGAAAGAAAGTTCAGAAAAGTCTGAAAATTAGGGTATGGAAAAGTATGGAGTTTTTTCCCCCAAATGTGTAGGAATCCTGTTGTCTGAATTTTCATTTTCAACTCCGAAATCAGAGAAAAATGTCAGTTTCTTTACATCAAATGCTAAATTTTGAGGGGGAAAAAGCAGACTTTTGTTACCTCACAGTTCTGACTCTTATATAAAAGAAAAGTGACAGGGTTAAAAGAGAAGTCAGGCCTAAAATGAAATGAAATAAATAAATTAAGAACAGTAAATAAAGTCAAATTTCTGGCTCTAACCCTCTTTTGTAATGAATGGGCTGTATGCATAATAAGAGGTGGGACTGTCCCTTTAAAAAGGTGAGGTCTGGGTGTGGTCTGTTCCTGCAGAGGTTTCCGGATCAGCATGCTGTGGTAAACAAACGTCATTCCACCATAAAGGCAGAAGTTTCATTATCATGTCAGAGTATCTGGTCTGAGCTCTCTCTCTCTCTGTGGTCTGTCTGTGTGGGTTATAATGGGAGGACTGGTGCCCACTGTGCTCGTGAGTTAGCAGACAGGCTCGCGCAGGTGGACTAGTCAGACAGGTTTGGGACTGGACGCCTTTTGTGTTGTTCACCTTTACTGAGGGCGATGCAGGTGAATGTAAAGTTACCATGAAGATAGTCGCGACTGTAGCGCTTCTACACCTATGTTTCTGCTTCACAGGTGAGTTTTCAAACAGCCAGGTGACATACAGGTGAGTCTCCAAACCTTTCCTGACGCTGTTTTTCTTCTTCTTCACCGTCTTTTAAAGCGGTAGTTTCGGGTGATGACTCCACCGAAACGGCCCTGACAGCCGCACCGGGAGACGTCGCGATACTTCCGTGTTACTCCATCGGTAACGTAACACCAATTGTAACGACATGGATGAAAAACGGACAAGAAGTCATTTCAGGTGGAGTTTCTACACACGTAGGAGAGCAGCAGAGGCTCACGGTGCTGCATGACGGGAGTCTGAACATCCGGGGGGTGACACCTGGAGACGAGGGCAGCTACCTGTGCCGCTCCACGCTGCCAGGCAACAACACCTTCAGGGCGCGCGTGCTGCTGCAAGTAGGGAGTAAGTGAAGTTTACAAGTCCACGTCTGGAGTCCAGTCTGGTTTAATTGGAGGTTTTTACTCTGTAACTGGGATTCGTTTGAGGTTTTCAGCGTGAACTGGTTCCTCCACATTACAGAGATGTTTCTGGCGCTGACTTTGAGGAAACGTGGAAGTCCTGCTGAGATAAAAGTGACGGTGTCATGCTGTCGCGGTGAGGCAGTGGAGGGTCATGTCAGTTAACATGGGTTATACTCATAGACATACAGTCTATGGTTATACTGTACCTGAGTCAATGACGTGACGCCTAAATGTTCTGTCCGGCTGTATTTTTTTTAAGTTAAAAAAAGGTTTAAATGCACAAAAATACATGTAATATCTCTCTCATATATTTAGTCACTTCAACTTTTCAAAAATCAGGTCTTATTTGTAATTTTTCTGAACTTCAAAGTGTCCAAATATCATGTGGTGCGACCAATAACATCAATTGTATTAAATACAAACTCAAATATCTAATTTCTGTAACTGAAACATTAATACCTGATACAATATGCGTAAGTGAAAGGTAGTTTTAAAACATTTTTATCAGTGTTATGCAATTCAAAGAAAAAATTAGTCAGTTAACTACATTTAATTTAGTGACTGTGACATTATAGAGCTATAATGTGAGATTATTATTTACAAAAACTCAAATGAAATGCAAACACTCTGTTTTTATCTACTTCACATTACTGACAATTTGTAAAAAAAACTATTAAGTATGTTGAAAAAAATTTATTAGTTTTGAGATAAATGATGGTCGCACCACATGAAATTTTTTAAGGCCACGGGCAATTCATCCATATGAAAAGACACTAAAATTGGGTAATTTAAAATTTTAACATTAATTTTGTATACACAACATCCTTAGTGTTTGAACTTTTGCAAAATATATTATTATTTGTGTTATTTTAAAATTGGCATGTTTAAAACCCTTATACATCATTAACCCATCTACAGTGTTTAAGGCAACAGAAAATGAGCGGGTGTCATGTTTATAACAGCCTCAGAGGATGATATTAAATTATACATCAACTAAAACAAACTGTCAGGGACAACATTTTCAACTTCGACAATCCTTAAAGGTTAAAGTTATCTCTTACCTTTATTTGTAACTCAAAGTTGATGCTGAAGTCAGATTTCCTGACATTAAGAAGAACTATCATTATGCTGGCTTTAACAGACACTCACTGTGGATATTTGAGGAATTTACAGGCATTAAAAAAGACCATAAATAAACAGTTAGCCTTCCTCTTAATGGTATAGTTATTCTTTTTGGAGTTCATGGCCTCTTAGTTCATCGCCTTGTAAAAATACGTTAAAAAAATACCTGCAGAAATACACACAACCTGGGTTATCATCTTCCTTTTTGCAATGCGTAGTATGAAACTATTACAAGTTAACTATGAGGAAAAGAGCCGACTGTCACATCTACAGTGGGAAGCAGAGCGTTTTTGCAGTAAAACAGCTTTGAAAATTGTCTCAAAGCAGAACTTTGATACAAGTTCCAGTTTCTACATGATCAAAAAGGTCAATGGCATCAAAGTAAGTTCTCAGTTTTCAGGACCAAATGTTTATAGAAAAAATGACATTTAAGATGTAAAGTTTCACACTAGACTAATAAAAAGTAAGCTTTATCTGCTCTGAGGCTGTCAGATCAACTCAAACCATAGACACGTACAGTATGTGTACAAACATTTTCCCTGACTTCTTCTGGTATCTATTTTAAAAATGCATTGCTTACAGAGGCTTGTTTTTCTCTCTTTTATTAATGTCGTAATATGTTTTTTTTAATCAGTTTAAGCTGGAGACTTCAGAAATATCACCTATTAAGTAGAGGGATTTTTTCTCGTGAGATTATAGAAAGATAAGGTCTGAGTTGTTGCTTGTTTCACTCTCAGGTGGTCCAGAAAACATATCAACATCTATAAGTCCAGCCACCACCCTTCCCAACAGGACCCTCACTGTCCACCAAGGTTCATCTGTCTCCTTTAGCTGCTCCGCCTCCTCCTATCCATCACAGCAGCTCACTTGGTCCTTCAGAGGAGCCACATCCAGCAACGAGTCTCTGGTCTCATCCTCTGGATCCTTTCTGGACTTCAGGATAGATGACATCCAGCCCAGCAATCAGGGGGTTTACACCTGCACGGCCTACAACAACTTCACCAAACAGGTCGTCAATCAGAGCTCAGAGCTGCTGGTTTACTGTGAGTATCATCGACTCTGTCATCTGTTTTTCCTTTTCTTTCCCCTTCTCTCAAAATATATGAGGAGTAAGTGGAGGTAGAGCATGCAGCTCTGGGTGGTAGGTGAGCTAAAACAGGCTGAGATGGTGTCTCACTGTACAGTATTTAGGTTGTGTTCTTAGCTGGTTGATTGAAACACTTTGTGTTTCTGCTGCTTGGTGAGTTTTTATTTGCCCTGTGCGTGGTGTGGTTCTCAGTGTGCCCTGGTGAGGACAGACTCTGTGTACTTTTTTTAAGCAGGTGATGATGACTAACTTTGACTATTTAGACAGGAGGGAAAAATACACAACATATAATGTGATAATTAATTTCAGGAAAGAGACAACTGAAGATCAACGTTATTTATCCTTTTCTCTTAGTGCTTAAAAAGATGTATACTGATGTCTTTTTGTGACCTAAAAAAAGGAACAATTTGGCTTCCTTAATTGCTGGTATCACTGTCACAGGGTAGGTGTTGCAGAAAGAAAGTTAAGGCTGCAGAAACAGACAGTGATAGATTAGAGAGATTGCATGTTGGTAACAGGTAGTGAGGTTTTTGCAGATTGTATATTACCCCCCATGTTGCACATCTTACAAACGAACAATGACACTTTATGAGATTCAACCAGAAAGATATTTTTCATCAGTTAGATATTTCAAAACCTGCTGTCCACGTGAAAATGATGAAATGTGGTGACATGAGGATGTACGGCCTTGTTTTTGTCCAGCTCTTTCAGTGGAACCAAAACTGTCTGCCTGTGGTGCCATCAGTGGAGCGGCTTCATGCACTGGCATGTTTGTCTTACACTTAGACTGTATATACTATGGACAACTTGGTTCCGCCTGCCGCCAGTATACGGATTTGAAGCCAAAAAGCTCTCGGTATTCCCACGATTTTTCTTCCTTTCCAATTAAAGCAACCAGCATTGCGCAGTAGCATTGTACGCATTCAGCGGGAGAGTTGCTGTGATGACACTCGGCTCAAACACCCCGGGTGAGCTACGCAATCCCTGAACGCCAGTAGGCTGTATCAGGTGTCAATCATAGAAAACATGAACCCCCTAATAACTTTTAAAAACTGAGCTTCACAGAAAAAAGAGGACTTGAGCACAAACCAGTCTTACAGTAACTACATGTCAACATCACAAGCAGGGGGGAGAAAAATGTATGTTCAGTGTAATAAATTTCTCAAGTTGGTCCACAGCCCCATAAGCTTTACCGGTGGAGGTGGGATTTATGACCTATACTGCAGCCCATCAACAGAGGGTGCTGTTCTCAGAGTGGCTTCACCCAGTAAGGAGGCAGACGTTGTCCATTCTTTATACAGTCTCTGGTCTTACATGTTACCATGTTTGTTTGGGGTACAGCTTCACACATGGAAAGAGCTTGTTTTGCCAGACAAAGCCCCCCCTCAGCAAAAAGAGTTTATTAAATAGCCAGTTTGTCCATGCCGGAGTTGATGCACATAGAAAGTTCCCAACAGCAGCTGAAAATATCTTACACAGGGAACTTTGATCAGGTTTTGCATCCCACTTTTGCCCCCGACGAAAGAAGCCGTACACTGGTTTTTTTTTTAGACCATTTCACCCTCTTTTACTGTTTGTTGTCTCCTCCAGATGTTCCAGACCTACATCCAGACTGTATGTGGTCTCCAGCTCAAGACCCCTCCCATGTCTTATTCATCTGCTCTTGGGCTAAAGCGTATCCAAGCCCGTTGCTACACCTCGAGGACTTACAGGGGACCAAAGGAGCAGCCTGGGGGGCTCATGTTAATAAATCAGCAGTTACAAGCAGCCTGTCCATGATGCTGAACCGCTCCGAGTTGTTTGAGGATCAGACTCTGAGGTGCACGGCCCGGCATCCAGCACTGGCTCCGGGGGAGGAGAGGGAGTGTTCGTTACCCCTCAGTAAGCTCTTTGTGGTGACATGAAACTCTTTCTGCGCTGAGATGTGATGCTGCTGAATCTTTTATGTGTTTTCCACTTTAGAGGCCTCAGAGACACCAAGAGAGTCCTCAGTGAGGGTCTGTTTAGAGTCCAATCCCACCCTCAAAATGATGCCATCTCAATTAACACCATTCAAGTAACGGCATGCAGAGAGTTTTGATTATCAAGGCATCTGATTTTGAGTTTTATTCCCAACAAATCAGTGTCAGTTTTGATGCAAATGAAAATACACAGCATCTCACCCTGGGAACTAAGATATAGCCTGTGGGAAGGGAGCTTAGCAGACTGTCAGCAGTCACAGAGGCTCTTGTTTGTGGTATGAGGTCATGTGAGGAGGTGGAAACACAGTGTTTAACTTGACTTTATCTGCTGTGGCTTGGAGATATCTGCCTGTTAGATTCCTGCCTCCACCCAGGTTCAGCTGAGGACAATACAGTTGTATTCCTGGTGTTCACAGAGCTGTAAAAGCAGACACCCTCTCAGTCAAAATGTTTCTTTTATTGTTGCTTTTGTCAGTTTGGTGAAAAACAGCACCAATAGAAACTGCTCAGCACATGTCAGGACTTTCCTAGACTTAAAGACACTGTTCCTGGAAAGAGATTTTTCCACTTAAAGATTCCCAGAGGGGCAGGAACACCCCTGTTTTTACTTTTTCCCCTTAAACATTCTCATCAAATGACACATTGGACTGATGAAAGTCAGGAGGCACTTTTCAAGCATGTAGAACAAGAAAGGCATAGACTGTTTTGCCCACTAGGGGGTGCCAAAATTGAGACAAACTGAAAATTCCTCACAGGAGCTTTAATTGTTAAACTTTATTTTACTAGGAGCATAAAATCTCAGAGACAAATATCTATTTTAACAAAAAGCTTGCCCCCATCACATTATGAACAGCTTACTTTGAGAACAAATAAATACCGGCATGGCTGAGAATCACGGCAGGCGTGCGAGAAAATAGTTTATTGCAGAGTCAGAGAGGGTTATAAGCATGAATACTTCAGCCACTGATAACATGAACCTCCTCCTCCTGTAGCTGCTCCCTGCTAAACTCAAGACTTAACGTGTGAACCAACAGACACTAACCACATGCTGTGGAAAAGAAGTCAGATTTTATAATAAAATCATTCGAATCAGACCAGATTTTCTGCTCCAGGTTAATGTTCTCTTGTAAAACAAAGTGCCACACCAACACAGTTGTAAGCATGCAGGACATGTGAACAGTCAGTGAGTCATGGAGGAGTTTTATCTTCTCAGGAGGACAGGATTGTGTAAACAGTCAGCTGATGTCCAAATGTGTGATTGTTGTTTTAGACTGACAGCAGCAGATCATTCAAACAAAACACATGTCAATCAAATAGGCTCACTGCTGAAGCTCCAATTAAAATATGGCCGGTCATTATACAACATTACACTTGACGTCATTCTCACTAACACAGATAGAATTACGGAAATCTGTAGCTCACAAAAGCTTTCACAGTTTTTGTGTTAGTCAAAGTTGACTGATCTATTTTGATGCTCAAAAGTGCCAAATATTAAGCAATAAGTCTGATATTTTCATAATCTGTTAAAACTTGAAATATTCCTTTATCCATCGATGGATAACTAAGCATGGGATAATTGTGCTAGTGGACACAGGCCCTCACAGAGCAGATTCTCACTCCCTTGTCGAGAGTGTGGTGTATATAGAGAGCGTGTTGTAGGTCCATTTTCAGCAGCAGTGGGTGTTCAGAAGATCGCGATTGAAGCTACAGCTAACTCCTAACAGATCAGTCTTTGTCTTTTTTTCTTAGAGTGTCCGTTCCCTGATGGTGAGCCTCTGGTCACGGCTCTGGAAGGTTCAAGTGTAACTTTAATCTGCACCGAGTCCACTTCCAACCCGTCTGCAAACACAACGTGGAGGAAAGGGCTTCAGCAGGGGGACATCATCCCTGGATCCAAGTACGTCATATCTGAGGAGGGCCCCGTCCTCAAACTGACAATTAACAACGTCACAAAAGACGACGAGGGGGTTTACTTCTGCCGCAGCGAGAACCCGCTCACCATCAGAGAGCTGGAGGTCTACCTCACAGTGAGGGGTGAGTGTGGGAGGACAGGGAGGGTTTTGGATTCAATATGTACTGGAAGATGTTATTTACGCTGACGCTGGTTTCTTTTTATTACATACAGAGGGAGTGAAATCTTAAAAATGTAAACAGATGTAATCTGAAACCATCTGAGAATCTGTGTTAGTAGTTGTTTAGTACACAGCTCAAACTGCCTGTAGACGGAGCACAGATTCACACAATGAGCCAGTCCCTGCAGGTGCGGACTCCACCTCTGGAATGCCGGTAAACCTGCTGCTTCACCTTTTCACTGTTTCCTAATCCTCTCCTATCTTTTTGTTTGGCTTCAGCAGCCTCCTCAGCGTACACAGGAGCCATCGTCGGCCTCTTCATCGCCGTACTGATCGTCGGATCAGCTGCAATAATCGCAAAAACTATTTACTCCAGCCGCCACAGAATATGTCTGGGTAACCTCGACTTGTCTATTCAACATAAGCATAAAAGTCACAAATGCATGAAGTAAACATGTGCATGAAAGTTTAAGATACTAAATTATAATTCTCTTTTCACACTGTTGTTTCAGGAGGAGGCTTTGGGTGAGTATCTTCAATTTACTTCTATTTTAGAATCACTGAACTGGTGCGCACATTCAAGGTGACTCTGGCTTATAAGGTCTTCTGTGAGCTGACATAAATGCATAATAAGGTACTTTTGCACCTATTCATCATGGCAGATGATTAAGGAACACCACTGGCCTAGTGTCCTCAACGTAAATCCCAGATATGAAGGTTATGATCCTCATGCGGGTTCAGTTCCAGCCTCGTTCCTGCATGTCATTTCCGCTGTTATCTCTTGTCCAAATGAAGGCAAAAAGCCTGAAAAATAAATCTCAAGGAAAGAGAAATAAATAATAATATCCTGAATATCCTTGGGCATGTGTGGACATCGCTGAGTTCCACATGTTCTGAGGAAAATTTTGTGTCACATCAATTTGAACACAGCATGTTTAATCTTTTTGCTAAAGTTGTCCCATACATGTAAAAGTTTTTTCATTAACTAAGAAGTCCTCCTGTTTCTATTTTAAATGTTTAAATGTATCACCCATATAGAGTCTCTGCTATGAAAATGAGCAGTTTTGACTGTGTGCTGTTTTTGCAAACTCTAAACACATCTTGTGTAATTAAATTAAATCAAACTTTAGTTAACAGTCACATACGCAGTCTCACCTAAGCCCACACATACATGGATGCTAAGATAGTGGACATGTGACTGTGTATAGATGAACAAGTTGAGAGTACTTAGTCTGTAAACGTGAGATCGTGTTTACGTGTATAAGGCACTAACTGCATTACTAGACTTGAATAATACTTCAATTAACTCACCTGAAAGTGTTTTTTCTGATAAAATCTGCATTTTGACTCTTTTTCTCACTCAGAAACTGTCTGAATGCTAATATCTGAAAAGCCCCTTGCAGGATTCTTCTGCAGGGAAACATAACGTTTACATTCAGTGCTTTCACCAAAGCACACTGTTTACACCTTTCAGGCTCTTTTTCAGCATTTCAAAGCAATTGAACTCCTGCAATAATAAACTGTTTATATTGATATTTGTTGGTGAGGGTTGTCTCTATTTTGCTGCTCCTTTTATTTACACATTAGAACTGACAACTCTATTGTACAAAGGATACTAAAACCTTTGATTGGATCCCTTTTGTGAAAAACCCACAGCTGAACACCTCACTAATCCTCTATGGAATTAGGACACAGATGTTGACTCATCAGAAATAACTCCTGGGATGCATTTAGCAACAGAGATTTGACGATGTATATCAGTGGGAGGAGTCTCAGGCATTTTTATTCCTGACCTGCATGATGTACTCTGCTGCCAGATAATTAAATTGTATCTCTGCTCTGTAGACAAGTGGACGATGACAGAGGTGATGTACTGAGTCTGGTGGATTCGGACGACGAACAGATTTTTCAAGACGCCGTCCCCCGACTGCCTCCAGTAACCAACGGACACCAAACGACACTCGTCCAGATACACAGAATCCCATCAAGTAGGGTCTTTATGAAGTGTTATGTCAAGTTTAAGAAGTTCAAAGACATCCCGTGACATAAAAATGTGTGTGTTATTTTTCCAGGTGATCATGAGGAAGTAGAAACAGCTGACACGAGCACTCAGCAGCAGGGAGACACTGCACAGACAGAAGAGCCAGTGGATCTTGTGACATTTTAGGTATCGGGTGTTTTTATTAGAGGAGTGCTTTTGTTTTAAGTAAAAACTACATCCAATGACAATGTGAAAGAAATCGGTGGAAGACTCTTGTAAAAATGAATATCTGATCATTTGTTGTTTTTTTTTAAAACAGGGTTTACAGCTTTTTAAGCTTCTTTTTATGATTTATTTGTTTGTACAGCCTTTTGAATGTGTTGCTCTGATGTTGATGTTGATGCAGTAAATTAAGCTGTTCAAACTAAATGTGAGTGTTTGGATCATTTTTGGTGGTAAAACAGTTGATTACTTCCCTTGTTTGTATTGATTTAGGACACAGGAGTCACACAAGATATATGACAGTGCCTGTAAGAAATTCAGCTCTAGATGTATTACACCTTTTTGTTATATTTTGGTCCTCAAAGGCTTGAATTGTTTCTGGATTTTCTCAATGGAAGGGGTGAGCAAGGGAGCAGTTCAAAGAGACAAGTTAGATCACTCTTCAAATTTTTTTTATCGCCATTTTAAAAATGGCCGCCGACAATAAACCGCCAATACACCAGACCCCATATCTTTTCTTCTGTTAGAGCTATAATCATAATATTGGTGTCAAAGTGCACATTTTTGGGGTCTAGGAACTCAATTAAATAGGTTTCAATGCAAAAAACCCAATGCATCATTAATTACCATGACAACGGGGGGTAAAATATGCAAATTTTATGAAAAAAATGTACATTTTGACAGGGTAACTTACCCCCCCCACCCCTCCCCCTAAACTGAGAACTACTGTTCCTTTGGCATGGAAGTACCTTAGGGTCATAGGAAACATTTTATCCAAAGAGACAAGTTAGATCACCCTTCAATTTTTTTTAATAGCCATTTTAAAAATGGCTGCCGACAATAACCGCTTATACACCAGACCCCATATCTTTGCTTCTGTTTGAGCTATAACCATAAGATTGGTGTCAAAGTGCACATTTTTGGGGTCTAGGAGTTCGATCAAATAGGTTTCAATGCAAAAAACCCAATGCTTCATTAATAACCATGACAGTGGGAGGTAAAATATGCAAATTTCATGAAAAAATGTAAGTTTTGACAGGGTAACTTACCCTGATCCCTCTGATGCTTTGGAAGCTCTCGGCAGATCATGGCTTGTGCTGGAAGATGTGGCTACAGAAATATCAGGAAAAGCTACTAGAACAGCTGAACTTAATTTGGGGTTGATCAGAGGCACTTTAATTGGTGACAGCTGTGTGCTGACTCCAATTTAACCTGAGTTTGAATGTTATTGGTTAAATCTGAACACAGCCACATCCCCAGTTATTAAAGGGTGTGCTCACTTATGCAACCACATGATCTCAGTTGTTTATTTTTACTTCTCCTCCCCGAAAGATTTCTTGTTGTTTTTCAATTGTGTTGTACAGGTTATAGGTCACATTAAAGGTGGAAGAAGTTGTGAAATTATTTATCTTGATTTAATTTTTTTACATGACAAAAACCTGGCAGTTGAACAGGGGTGTGTAGACTTTTTATATCCACTGTATATAATGCAAAATATTCAGTATTCAGTTTACTGACACTTATTGAATTATAGTTTGTTAAAGCTCTTAAAATTTTTTGTGGTTTTGGTGGGTGTCATTCATAAAAAATATAGGCTACATAAAAAGGCAGGGAACCGGTGCAATGTATCAAATATGAATTAAAAATGGAAATTAAATCAAAGTAAAACAACCAATTTATGAATTTTGGAAACAAAAACATTTCTTCAAAAAGGTGAATATTTATCGGAATGTCAGACAAAAAGTTTCAAAGCTTAGTTAAATGGGCTAAACAGTTAAAGTAACTTTTCTTTTGGAAATAAAACTATGCCACAAGAAAATAGTAATGGGTTGTTTTTACAAAATGCTTCCAAGATTTTTTTCTTTGCTTTCACGGTCAGAAACTTTTATGAATTATTCTCTATAGTTGTCGCATTCTGTATAAGAGGAAAAATGCCTCTATAAATAGATTACGTAACCTACATTGTCAATAACAAACTATCCGATCTAACCTACATTTTATTACGATGACATCAGTTTCATGACTTGGAGTTACGTGTTCTATTAATACTCAACTACAGTGGAGAAATAAAGACGTTCTTCTCATTCATTAATAATTAAGTAGCGGGCGTGGCGCGGCTCTGTGATCTTACGTAATAAAACAAAAACGTGAGGACGTTGAGCAACACCGCAGCCAATGGCACAGAGTGAGTCAGACAACAGGAAATCAGCTGAACAGTTTGTTTTCTCAGTCGCGCATTTTCCACATAGCGAACAGTCCACTTTCACAGGAAGAAAGGACTCCCAGCGAGGAGGGTTCAAGTCTCCGTCTGGACATGTAAACGGGCGGCGGGACTCAAACGAGGACGACGAAGAATGTGAAGAGAAAAAAAACGATGTGCTCCACGGAAAACAACGCGGAGCTTCAGCGGACATGTAAGTGACACATTAGAGATTAATTATGTGCGAGCTCAGTCATGTTGTCATCGCAACGCCCTGTCACTAGGCAGCGGTTTCTAAGGGGAGGTGAACGTCCGAACAAAACCCGAAAACGGAGCGGGTATGTGGGGTTAGATAATGGAGGGAACAGCCCGCTGTCAGTGTCGGAGTGGGGGATGAATCTGTCAAACGTTAAGCCTCCTCTCCGCCCCCTGCCAGCTTCAGACCCGGCTCTCATCCTGGAGCTGAAGACAAGGAGACCTCCGTCCTTGGAGGGCCGGGCGGGATGTGAGACCTGGAGCGTGGACTTCTCTCCGGACGGAGCCTGGTTCGCCTGGTCGATGGGACACGGGATCGTGTGGGTGGTCGCCTGGCCTCTGGACTCTGAGTAGGTTTACCTGAATACGATTTATCCCACACACATGATGCGTTCAGGTGAAACTCAGACTTTCGGCAGTCAGAGTAACATGGAGACTTAGTATTTAGAAAAAAAAGTAATCTATAATAAGATTACTAGAACGTAAGAACGAAATTATTCTATGTTTATGTATATCTTTTTTATGAGGAGTCTCTATAATGTACAAAGCTATCTCGGTAATTATTAAATCCATGTACTCCTGAAGGTGAAATATAAAAACCCTCTTGACACTTCGACTTTTCACCGAACACCAAAAACATTTCACTAAAGGCACAAAAATATCACGAAAAAAAAAAAATACAAAAACAAACAAACAAAAAACTGAAATTGCAAAAACATCCAATATGTCATGTGAAAATAATTTTATAAAACACAATAATATTTGATCAATCACAATAGTATTTTACAAAATGCAAAAATATTTTACATTAAATATTGTGTTACACATTTGATGAAGCAAAATGTTTTTCTCTTTTTTTGCAAAATATGATATCCCATCTAATTTTTTTTTCGCATTTAGTGAAATGTTTTTGGTATTATGTTAAAGCTCCGGTGAGGAACTTTAGTTTGGCGCCCCCTGTGGACAAAGCAGTATTTGCATACACTTGAAGCTTAAGTTGTCTCTTCCATTTAAAAAAAAAAAAACACCTTACCCTGCTGACTTTTGGCAGCTTAATTTATTATTCAGTGTGAACATTTTAATGACTATTGTAAAAACAGTGATCTTTATCTGTTCGGCCAACACCTACCCCCTCACACCATTTTTAGACACTAACAATTACAATACCTGAACAGTCAGTCATGTCGCTGATGATCTTGTTTGCCTAACTATATCATAAATAGTCGTCAGTATGAAGTTTAGTCTATTTTATAAACCCCCAAAACTCCTTGTGAGTGTTTTGTATTTCTTTGCATTTAAGTAAATGTTTTTGGCAATCACTGAAATAGTATTTTTGCACTGTGCATAAAAAAAGAGTACAAATATTAGAATAAAACCATGAACACAAATATCTTGAATCAAACATTTAGTAATAATTTTGAGTAATTTCATATCTGTGTCACATAATCTCTCTTCTTTATACATAATTTATTTCAGGGTGTCTTAATTATTAAAGATCTCTTTGTGTCTCAATACAATATTCTCTTTGGCCTACTTTCCCTTTTACAGCACTCAGAGCAGCTCTAACCCTGGACCATCATGTTAATAGGGGTCAGCTGTCCAGACAAATTTTACTTCTCCTTTCTGCATCCTGCTTCTTCTAGGACAGTTTTCATGCAGTATATGAGTTTTTGAAGTAAAATATTAGAACCTTTTTAGAATAAAATAAAGCATGCACAATCTACTCATGCACCAGTGTTATTTAAATGAATGGTAGACTTAGTTAAAGAGTTAAAGAGTTACTTAGTTATTGATGGCACCAAATGCCTATATTTTAACACAAAATAAAGACACAGTTATGTAATGGCTTCTTAGCTATTTGAAATCATAAACAGATTTTTCTGATTTTCCCAACTGTTTTTGAAAGCAGCATCTTTTAATCTGCAGCTCCAGCTTCACACCACCTACATGAGAGTTTTTCTCTGGTTTCTGCATATTTGATTCACTTCTCGCCCACAGAGATGCTCAGAATGGAGACATTGACCGGGAGGACAAGAGCTTCAGCTGTGGTCACCCGGTGTGGGGCCTTGCCTTTGGACCCAGACCTCCAAAATCTGCTGCAGCATCACACCCCACCAGAAAACCACCAAAAGGGAACCATAGTCTGCTCCTGGCCACCGGGTTGGAGAACGGTGTGATCAAAATTTGGAAAGTTTTAACAGGTAAGGGTTGTTTCTTTTCTGTATTTTTGATATGATCGCAGCTGGTTTTAAAAAGATGTCTGTGCATTTTTTTTAGGTGAGGCTGTATTTGATCTCCACGGTCATGAGGGTGTTGTCAGGGACCTGGTTTTTCCTCAGAACGGGACCCTCACACTCATATCATCTTCTCGGGACAAGACTCTGAGAATTTGGGACCTCGCTCACAAAGGTATGACGAAACTCTGTTACTCAACAAGTAAATCAATTAAACCCTTCTGGAGGTTTCAAAAGACTCAGATGTGTCCCTCCTCTTGTGATAACCCAGTTTGAAGTGGCGTTCCCACTGATAGGACTGTAACAAGTGTTTACTTTTCCAAAACGCAATGTAAACTTACTGTTTCAAAGATAAATACCTGAAGCAAACAGCAGCTATTTGCATTCAGGGAGGACATTACTTAAGAGCCATTACATTCAGATATATTGCCTCTTAAAATTTTTGTTTTCTTTGGGCTTATTATATGTAGACCGCCATTTTAAACATCTTTCTATGGCTGTATTCAGTCTTTAAGTAGAAAAGGGTTTCATTCAATGCAACAAGGAACAAAAATGAGCTGAAATTGACTTTAAACTGATTTTGCTGTCATCATAAATGGGGTTTGAGAAGCTTTCCTTTAGACGTGTTCAAAACATATGAGGCAATTTTAATATTAAAGCTCCTGTGAGGAACTTTCACTCAGGCGCCCCCTGTGGACAAAGTGATAACCCTTGTATTGTTGCTGATATAGTCTCAATCTTATGAAAGCTGTGTTAATTGACAAAAAAAATCATTGTATTGGGTTTTAATAACAAAATTTATGACGTATCATGAAACTTTATATGGGCTAAATACCCCCTCCACACACACACACACACACACAGTTTTGGGTGTAAAAAATTGCAGCATAGAAATTGTCAATCTTGCTTTTGCACAAACCCTTTAAGGACAAGAAGCTCGTGTGATATGTGTTTAATGTGATCTTTCATTGGTCAAGCCTGTACTATCAAAATGTCTATGAATAAAAACATTTTTAGACAGAACAACCACCCTCTTCTTCTTCCTCCTCTTCCTCCTCGAAACAGTTCAAAAATGCATATGGCCCATAATCCACTGTAGAAACACAGCCGTCTCTGTGGAAGGGGAACCCACTCCTTATGTAGATATGAAAGGCTCATTCAAAGTCAACAAAATCAGAATTCATGCTTAGAAGGTTAAAATTACATTCCATGAAATTATATTCAACTTTTACACACAGTCTATTCTGCAAAATGCTTCCTAATATTACTCACTGCACCTTTAATTGTCTTCCCAAAGCTATTTAAAAACATAAGAACCACTCTAATTTCTGCTGTTTTATTTTATAACTCTTGATAGTATAATAAACCTCTGCTTTACTCACCTTTTTAATTGTCTTGGCTTTCTGATGGCCTGCCAGGACTATTAGATAAACATGCACTCTTTGACAGTGTTTCTCATGACCTTTGTCAAGATGATCTTGATATCTTGCTTTCTGAATTTCCATATTGCTGACATGTGCAGAACAAACCTGCCTTTCCTCGCCACATATCCACAAGCTTTGAGCTTGAATTGAGTCCGTCTAACCTGTTACAGAGCTTTCAAATGTGTCTCTAAGCTTTAAAAATCTGCCTCACGCAAGAAGAGCTCAGAACAAACTCTAGTTAGTGGGCACGAATCTGAGAGTAGTTTCCCAGAACAGGGAGGGAATAAGGGCTTTTTTGCACTTTTATTTTCACGTTTGTGTTTGAAGAGAGGCTGCGGATCCTTCATCATGTGCTTCTTCATGCTGTTGCTGTCCATCTGACTGTGAATTTGAAGGTCAAGGAACGGAAAACATGATTTTGGCCAAAGAACATGAATTGAAGTTGGAGAAAGAGCACAAAAACAGGGTGGTTTTGTTCAGGCATATCTCTTTGGCAGCGGACTGAATGCCATATGTGGAAGCATTCTTGAACGCACCTCTACAAGCTCTCCCTCTTCAAACATTAACTCACTGAGAGGTTATTACCAAACAAGTTTCAAGGCTCTGCAAACTCAATTTCACACTACATTGATATCGACTGAAACAATGACTTCCTGGAATGATGGAAGTCAGGCCAAAGGCTCAGAGAGGGCAGTGAGCACTTAGAATGCGTCCGTCTGCTTCTGAAATAAGCAGTTTGGTGGTTTTCTACCCTCCCTCCTCTCTGTGTATTTATCACCTCGCCTCTGTGTTTTGTCACTCTGCTAAAACCTTCTGCTCCAAGCAAACAAATGTTGGTGTTTGCACAGACAGGAGTCACACTCTCCTCCACTTCAGATATGTTTCTTTTGCAGCCTGTTCCAGCCACAGTAGTGAGATTTTCTCTTTCTGTCTGTTACAGGTAAAAAGGTGCATGTGCTCTCGGGCCATAAAGACTGGATCAGCTGCTGCAGCGTGTCATCAGACTGCAGCATGATCGCTTCAGTCGGCAGGTTTGACAGAGTGAGTAATACTGTAACTGACTTTCTGAGTGAGTGGGTGCATGTAAGTTTTCAACTTTTACCCTCTGTGGAAATAGTTTTATGATCAAGTTTGTATCCATTTGCACAATCCACAAAAACCCTAATATGACTGTCAATGAATAGGTTAAAAGAAAAACACAACTTTATTTTTCACCTCAACAATAAAACAGTCCTGATGAGTTTATCTGAGTTACAGATCGCTTTGAAGTGATTTCCTTCCAAAGTTCACTTCTGCGTTTGCGCTGCATTGATCTGATTATCCTCATCTGCTCCCGCGTTGAGCTGTCCTAAGACCCACGCGGTTCATCAGTGTGATTCTTTGTTTTTGTTTGGATCACTGGGCGGCTCTTCCCACTCTCGTCAAACTGCTAATTTGACACTTTCCCATGTGAAAAAAAATCAGGAGCTGATAATTGTGTAAGAGTAGATTCACAGTCACACTTGAGGAGGGGTTTCTGCCTGTTTCAGCTTGTCCTGTTGACATTCACTGAGTCGTGTGTTTCTGAGAAACAAGAACAGCAACGTCTGCTGTTATCGCTGCAGGCCAAATACTCAACCAGGACTTGGCCGACATTCAACACCCTAAATAGAAAAAACATAATTAGAGCAAATATACAGACTGATTAAGCCTTAATGGTTTTACTGTTGATAGATGGTGTGTCTGTGGAGTCTGCGTTCATACACGTTCATGAGGAACCTGACAGGAGGGACCAACAAGACCTTGTACCTGCTGTCGTCCTGCGATTTCTCTCCTGACGGGGCGCTGCTCGCCACTGCAGCCTTCAGAGGGTCCAGCTGGTGGATCGACCTGTGGGACCCATACACTGCAGAGAAACTGGCCACTCTGGTGTGAGTATAACACATCAGGAGGACTTCATAATAAGCAGTGAAGGGATCAATCAGATTGATGGGAGGTTGAATTTGGACAGTACTTTTATGACCTTTTATGAAGACAGAAAACAACATCTCCTATTCTGTCAGTGAACCTGTAAACTTTTTTAGGTCAGATTTCATGGTGAGATTTCATCCCACACAGCCGTTATCAGTAGTTACATCTCATGTGCTGCCTGAAAGTGTGTCAAAGTGTCATGTGTCGAGTAAAACCTGTTTTCTATCTCACTTTCATGTGATGAACGTTCTCCCTGCAACTACTTAAGTCTTCTGTCTTCTCCACAGTGATTACTTTGAGGATTATGGCCAAAACCAAATCTCAGCTATACAGTTCTCCCCGAACGGTCTGCATTTGGCGATCGTGACAGACGACAGGTGAGCAGATCATCATTTTCATTTCATCTATGCTTCATAATGATATAAAAGTAACATTTTTAACCCTTTTTCAAGCGAGAGTGCCGTCCTCAAATAGTGTAAAATATTCATAAAACAAATACAGGAAAGGCAAAGTCTAAGTAAAACCTAGAAAGAACATAAAACATTAAAAGATGAGAATCTATGTTTAAATATACCCAGTGCTCTTGAAAAAAGAGCTGTCAAAGAGGCAGAGTTTGTAAAAATGTTGTTTTAAAGATAGAGTTTCCGAGCAGAAATGGTGTCAGTAGACCAAACGCTTATAAATTTGTGTTTGCAGAGCCCTTCGGATCTGGGAGCCTGGAAAAAGAGGGATGGTGATGCAGACGAAAGCTGACAGAGACTCAAATGGACTGTGCTGCAAATACCATCCACAAGGGGGAGTAGTTGCCACAGGGTAAGACTCCTCCATTCTTCATCACATTAAAGTAGAAGCGTTCAAACACGCTGATTTAAAAAGCCTCACACTATCATATCCTTCTCACTCCAGAACCAGAGACGGCCACGTGAGGTTCTGGAGCGCCCCGAGGACGGTGCCCAGCCTGTGCCACCTGTGCCGGTCCATCCTTCGGGACTCCGTCTCCACGCACCAGATGGAGCCCCTCCCCCTCCCCAAGAGGATCCTCGAGTACCTCACTTATAGGAACATCCCAGACCGCCTCAAAACCTGCTACTCCTCAGACGAAGAGGAGTGGGAGGGTTAAATAAAAACACTAACGCAATATAACCACTGACATTCACAGCTAATGATTGTTCTGCATTGGGTCTCATTATTACTGAGAATGCCTTTATTGTTTGCTAAGAGATGCTTGCACAGGAAGCATTATGTAATTCCTACTCTGAGAATATCATTTTTTTTGCACTATTACTACAAGACGATGCATAAACTCAACATTCACGTGCTTGACTTGAATGTCACTGTTTTATACTCTTAATTTATTATGTAAATATATAGAAGTATGTATTTCTAATTCCTCTGTTTATCATGAAGAAGCACATTCATTATACTACTGATCCTGCACATGCTAATTGTTAATATATGACAACAAAAACTGGACTTTTAGGAAATAGTTTTATTAAACAGATTCAAAAGACACAGACATGTTCGAGACTTTTTCTTACACCAATGAAAACTGTTGTATTTTTCTTAGTTGTTTCTATCAGCGACAATGAGTCTATCCTTCACTGTTTTATAAATGTCCATATTTGAAGTGCCCTAAAGGACAGATCAGTCTTGTACCACAGCTACAAACCGCTGCCTTCCATGTTACTCGGTTTGTATGCAGATGTGAGTGACTCATTTAGCTGCTAGCATCGACTCTGTGCAGCGGTGGTGGGCAATCACGCAGTGGGAGCTTTCAGAGTCTGGATCTTTTCTTGTAAAATAAACAAATTCCGATATTTCACGACAAAACCATGAAACCACCTGTTGAACTGCTGAAGAGAAAATCAGCCTTTCCCAAGCTTAGATACAGTAAGATTTTTGGCAAACTTGAGAGTTTTGGACGAAAAAGAAGGGACATATAACACAAACTCCATAAGCTGAAATCTGGATCGAACTGTCATAAGTCATGGTAGCCACAGCTGAACTGTTTTACTTCACCTGCTGATTCTAAATGATAGAGCTATTTGTGAGTCTATGAGGCCTCGCTGACCACCAGGTCCCTCACCGCCTGGAAAGCTGCGACCATGGAGCTCAGCTGGATCTTCTCGTCGGTTCCTGAGGCCAGTCTGTGTCTGAGGATGAGATGAGTTGTGAGAACAAGAGCAACATTTGTGTGAATATCTGAAGTTCTCATGGAGGCTTCACTTCCTCTGAAAGAACAGATGTGAGAGGTCCAACTTACTCAACATCAGCCAGCTTGATGAGCAGACCGATCCGGATAGCAGGAGGGAAGTCCACTTCAAAGGGGGAAAAGAAAAACAATTATTGAGATAAAGACAAATCTATGAGTCAAAGTCAACTGTGCAAAGATAATATGGACAGAACAAGATTATTATTCCAGCTGGCATGACACATCTCTGTCAGTAACGCACTTCAAAGTCAGCCTGCTACCTACTGCTGTGCACGGCACGTGGTACTGTTCCTTTAAATTGAAGCTACATAAGAATGTTTATTTAAAGAGCAGCTATTGGTTAAAAAAGTCATCTGATGTAATATGTTATCATAATAATGGCATGTATTTGCACATGCATGTAAAGGACATTCACCAAAATTGGACGATAACGTAATTTTCTATATTATTTCACTGAATTCATATTCCATTTAATTCCATTTTTTTTTTCATTGCACCATTTCCCAACATTCCCTCCTATTCCTTCCTTCATTCCATCCCATCCCACTTTATTCTACTCACCTTCCCTTAGTTCAGTTCCATTTTTTTTATTCCACTCAATTATATTTCTTTCATTTTTTTCTTTTCCATTCTATTGTATTTTCATCTATTATGTTCCATTCTATTCTATTCTATCCTAGTTCATTCTTTCCCATTCCAGTCTATTTTATTTTTCCATCTTATTCTCTTATTTTGTTTCCTTTTATTTTATTTTATTTTGTTTTTCCATTGCTTTCCTTTCTATTTTATTCTAATTCATTTTGTTCCACTGAATTCCAGTCTATTTCATTCACTTCCAATTCACTCTACTGTACTGCATTTTTATTCCCTTGCCTTCTATCCTTTCATACCCCATTCTATTTTATTCTAACCCATTACATTAGATTCTATCCTATTCTCTTCTATTTCATTTAATTCTGTTATCTACATTAGATGAAAATTCTACCATGTTGAAATTAAATCTTCAATTGCTAAAATCAACTAAAACTTATCAACAGACATCAGAGACAGTAAAGCGTCTCTTGTCCGTGGATCATCACAGTAAACCTTCGCTAATACAAAGCAAATATACAACCAACATTTCGAAGCAGATAAAGGGAATGATATCAGATTCTTAAAGCTGAACTGTTGATGTTTCTTTGGCTCAATGCTGGAGAGTCTTGTGGCAAATAATCACAGACCGCCCACACATCTTACAGTTTTTAAGCTAAGGGCTGTATTTAAAATGAGACTCAGAGCTTCTTCAGCTAAAAGAGCTGGAAGCACCGAAACCAAGATTTATTAAAATTCAGAAACCTTTTGTAGAGAGGAGCAGATGGATTTAACCCCCTTCTGACTTACTGAATTTTCATTTATTGTTACACTTTACATTTTATGTTTTAGCACTGATTTTTTTTTTACTCAGTGAGTCTTAACCTCTAAATAATGAACATTAAATAACATGAAACTGAGAAGTTTAAATAGAGAAAAACAGCCAGAGCTCAGGTTAAGAAGTTTCATTTAACTTTGGTTCACACATCAAAAATAAGATGACTGAAGCAGATTATGGAGAGGCTGCTGACAATAATAATAATAATAATAATAAAACAACATCTGCAGTGGCCTCACCTCTGTGTAAGAGCAGATGAACCTCAGTGAGGATATCATGCAGGGCCAAACCTTTTAAAGTTTTCAGCTCAAGGATTTCTGAGAATGAAGTGTTAAGGAGTTTAAAAAAAACACATCTAAACATGTTTGAAATAAATCAACATGATCATGTGTGGAGGTTAAAAGAAACAAAAACCAGACTGGAAATCTTTCTGACTCAATTATTCAGAGAGACAAGTAAAGGTAAGCTGAAGGATACGTTTGTAGGCTGTGGTGAAGTCTTTGTTGAGGGACCAGTCCAGGATATTGGCTATATCAGAGCGGAGGGGGTGACCTGTGCAACCGTACACTGTGTCCTCTGTCACCTTCCCGTACGCCATGCTCGTGCTCTGTCATCATAAAAAAAGAGAGAGGTACTCTTCAGTTTAACCTGTTACGAAGAGGAAACATCAACACTTGGAGAAAACTCTGACGTGAGGCTGAAATGATGGATAAAGACCTGCTTTAGTTTGTACCTGCAGTATGTTGAGAGATCTTCTCATATCACCTGCTGATAAAGTCACGATGGCCTTCATTCCATCTGGAGTTACATCAATGCTGAAATACAAACATCCAGGTTTAAATGACCCGTCTGATCCACCTGATATGAACTATTCTGAACTTACATGTATGAGTTTGGATTATGGCTTTAATATGACACGGTTTCTCATAGACAAGGTTTCAAGACAAAAAATAATAATGTAATACAAACTCAAGAGTGTGAATCTAATAAGGTATTTAGACATGCTGTGTATAAGTCAGATTAAAGACCTCTAACAGGTGAGAAAAGACTCTCTGTAACTCTAAGACCTGTAAGGATCTGCTGGAACCCTGGTTAGAAGCATGTTGACTGTTGGAGCACATAGATACATTTCAGATAGTTTAATAGTAGTAATAATAGTTTAATGAATGCAAACACGTACTTCTCCTGCTGGATCACATACTCCAGCCGAGGGATCATCTGGTCCGAGGACAGCGGGCCGAAGCGAAACCTGGTGCAGCGAGACTGGAGGGCTGGGATGATCTTCGAGAGGTAGTTACAGATGAGACAGAAGCGAGTGTTCTCTGTGAACTTCTCGATCACTGGTCGGAAAAAAAGATGGAGAGGCGGAGAGGAAATCAAATACTGAGAATGAAGAAAGCTACAAAAACAGAACCCCAACCCAGCAGCGGTGGGTGGCTGTCTAACATGAGTCTAGGTCCTGCTTAAGGTTTCTGCCTGTTAAAAGGAAGTTTTTCCTTGCCAGTGTCACTCATGTTTGATGAGATGGGTCAAATCTGTCCCATCTTAAGGTTGGGTCTTGGTAATATATCAGACAATGAGTGTGGTCTAGACCTGCTCTTTTTGGAAAGCGTCTTGGGATAACGACTGTTGTGACTTGGCGCTATATAAATAAAATTTTGATTGATTGATTGAGAAGGCTCTCAACCCTGACAGTCGTCTAAGAGTCCTCTTCTGCAACAGCTTTTCTTTAATCATTTATAAAAGTTACACTTCAAAGTTTGAGTCATTATGCAGCTTTCACTGCATCCACTAACAAATCTTTGATAGCTTAAAGCATGGTACATTTTTTTTCAAAAATCTAGATTTCAAATGAACTTCTCCCATATATAATGTTGTTTTGAAACAACATATCAGGGTGAACAAGCTGCCACCCTATTATTCACCAGCAGCCAAAGTGTCTCTCTGCTCAGTGAGGCGTAATGCTCACACTGGGCAAGGCCCGGCCAAACAGATGGCTTACCTCGCCGCAATGCATTCTGGGCATCTTGGGTCATAGCATCGGCCTCGTCCAGTATCACCAACTTGAAGCCCTTCCTTCAGAACAAGAGGGATGGACACAAAAGCAACAGTTTTTATAACTACCTCGAAGAAAGAAAAGAAAGAACATCTATGGATACAGATATACAGTGGATATAAAAAGTCTACACACCCCTGTTCAAATGCAAAATTTTTGTCATGTAAAAAAGTTACATCAAGATAAATAATTTCACAACTTCTTCCACCTTTAATGTGACCTATAACCTGTACAACATAATTGAAAAACAAACAGAAATCTTTAATGGAGGTGAAGTAAAAATAAACAACTGAGATCTTGTGGTTGCATAAGTGTGCACACCCTTTAATAACTGGGGATGTGGCTGTGTTCAGATTTAACCAATAACATTCAAACTCAGGTTAAATTGGAGTCAGCACACACCTGTCACCAATTAAAGTGCCTCTGATCAACCCCAAATAAAGTTCTGCTGTTCTAGTAGGCTTTTCCTGATATTTCTGTAGCCACATCTTCCAGCGCAAACCATGGTCTGCAGAGAGCTTCCAAAGCATCAGAGGGATCTCATTATTCAAAGATATCAGTCAGATAAGGGCTACAAAAGAATTTCCAAGGAATTAAATATACCATGGAACACAGTAAAGACCATCATCATCAGGTGGAGAAAATATGGCACATCAGTGACATTACCAAGAACAGGACGTCTGTCCAAAGTTGATGACAAGACGAGAAGAAAACTGATCAGGGAGGCTACCAAGAGGCCGACAGCACCACTGAAGGAGCTGCAGGAATTTCTGGCAAGTACTGGCTGTGTACTACATGTGACAACAATCTCCCACTGTCTTCATATGTCTGGGCTATGGGGTAGGGTGGGAAGACGGAGGCCTTATCTTACAAAGAAAAACATCAAAGCCCGGCTTAATTTTGCAAAAAGACATCTGAAATCTCCCAAACACATGTGGGAAAATGTGTTATGGTCTGACCAAAGTTGAACTTTTTGGGCATCATTGCAAAAGGTATATTTGGCGCAAAATCCACCCTGCTAATCACCAAAAGAACACCATACCTACAGTGAAGCATAGTCGTGGCAGCATCATGCTTTGGGGCTGTATTTCTTTAGCTGGACCTGGGGCCTTAGTCAGGTTCCAAATACCAGTCAGTGTTGGCACAAAACCTTCAGCCTTCTGCTAGAAAGCTGAAGATGAAGTGGAACTTCATCTTTCAGCACGACAATGACCCAAAGCACACATCTAAATCAACAAAAGAATGGCTTCACCGGAATAAGATTGAGACTTTGGAATGGCCCAGCCAGAGCCCAGACCTGAATCAAACCCATCAAACATTTGTGGAGTGATCTGAAGAGGGCTGTGCACAGGAGATGCCCTCGCAATCTGTCAGATTTGAAGCGGTTTTGCAAAGAAAAGTGGGCCAATATTGCCACATCAAGATGTGCCACGCTGATAGACTCCTACCCAAAAAGACTGAGTGCTGTAATAAAAGCCAAAGGTGCTGCAAAAAAAGTATTAGTTTAAGGGTGTGCATATTTATGCAACCAGGTTATTTTAACTTTTCTATTTTATTTTTTCCCTTAAAGGTTTCAGTTTGTTATTCAATTGCATTGTACTGGTTACAGGTCACATTTAAGGTGGAAAAAGTTGTAAAAATATTTATCTTGCTGTCATTTTCTTACATCACTAAAACCTGGCATCTGAACAGGGGTGTGTAGACTTTTTATATCCACTGTATCTCAACAGAGAGTATGTGACAGCTATCAGTCTTACTTGAAGATGGTTCTGGTGCTGGCAAAACTCAGAACTGGACCACGGACAACATCAATACCTCTGTCATCTGATGCATTAAGCTGAGATGAAAAAGAGTCAGGTATTAAATAAAGAAGCCTGAACTTCAAACACTTAAGGAACAAGGGGGGAAAAAAGCTTATAAAAAGAATCTCCAGAGTACCTCCAATACCATGGAGTTGAACTCTCTGTCCTTGTAGAGTTGTCTGGCACAGGCGAGGATGGTGGAGGTTTTTCCTGTCCCAGGGGGGCCGTAGAACAAGAGGTGAGGAAGCTTGTCCTCACTGATAAACCTCTGAACTGAACACAAGAGAGACAGAGTGATGTTTTGAACATGTTTTGATCCTGTTAAAAGGTAAAATCAATTCTGAATGTGAGGAGTGTTTTCAAAATGTGATTTATGTTCCTTTAATTATCAAAATTATTAACATTACTTATAGTACAACTGCAGCAAAGAATAAAGAGCCAGCAACAGTGACTGACAGCTGCGATAGTCAAAGGGATATTCTGGCGTAAAATTAATTTAGGGTCAAACACACCAAACATCTAGTTAGACACCCCCTTGAGAGATGAATGTTGCTGACAGTTTGCTTCTCTCATTATAACAACTTAAGTAATGGCCGCATGATAGCAATACACAGCGGTCTACGTCTCCACGCACAAACCTCAACCAAAAAGCCACTCTATAGCCACAAATGATGCTCAGAACAGCACCTAACTTCATCAACAGTACATATAGGGTCTCAGCCATAGTACTAGCCATCAAACTTTTTTTTAACTTTGCCTGATTTCTTTAGCAACTCACCCACTCTCTTCCAGCAGCCGCTTGTTTGTACGGAGACCTCAGGCGAGTCCATTACTGCAGCGGGGTGAAGCAGCTCAAAGAAGAACATTTATGATCATGGAATTGCAATCAGACTGAGACGCTAAGGCAGAAGAACTACCACGCCTGCAGTGCAAAATGATTAATAAGGTGATTATTACTTCAAGAAAATGATAAATGATCATAAATGTTCTTCCTTGAGCTGCGCCCCCTGCAGCAGTCCGTAATGGACTGGCCCGAGGTCTCGCTACAAACAAGCGGCTGCTGGAAGAGAGTAGGTGAGTTGTGTTTAGTCTCTTTGCTAAAGAAATCAGGCAAAGTTAAAAAGATGTTTGATGGCTAGTACTATGGCTGGGACCCTATGCTGTTGATGAAGTTAGGTGCTGTTCTGAGCATTATTTGTGGCTATAGAGTGGCTTTTTGGTTGAGGTTTGTTTATGGCTCCTCAGACTGCTGTGTATTGCTATCCTGTGGTTGTTACTAAAGTTGGTATAACTAGAGAAGCAAGCAGTCAGCAAGATTTATCTCTCAAGGGGGTATTCATCCCTTCTTAGTCCACCAGGTTTTAGACAACAGACAATCAGCTGACAGTCACACTGTTAGGGAGCCAGTGGCTGTTCAGCTTTCCCGATTTTTTTAAAGCTCAGCAATGAATGCAATGTGAATGTCAGAGAGGGCCAATACCACTGATGGAAAAATACTAAAGTTTATGCACACATAGAGCTAATCTGTTACAGTAATATGAGTAAATGTGATTACTTTCTAACCCTAAAGGAGGTGATGTATTGTACTTGTTGTGATGGTTCAGGTACTTACTGGTACTAAGAATATCTCTGTGTGAGATCAGATCATCAAGCTTTTGTGGTCTGTACTTTTCAACCCTGGGAAAACAGAATATAAACATTCTCCATTAACTCCAAATGATTCCAATTTACTTCATGATTTATACATTTACCTTCAGGGGCATTAATTGTCAGCGTTTCACAATGTTTTCTTTGCAAAAGGGACTCAGATACTAACACGGTAAAGCAGCTTTTAAACACTATCTTGATATTTGTAGTACAGAAACGATCATCATTACAGTTACAACATTTTAACATCTTACACGTGGTTTTAGATACTTATGCGATATGTTTTTGGCTAACTTTAAAAACTCTGAGTTGTTGACAGCCACTTTTCAATTCGGCATCACCATTTTACACCATGCAGAATCAAATATCAATTTTTATGGAGATCCTACACCTGACGCTGCTGACAGATATCCACATAGTGCGGCTAGCAGCTAGCTTCAGCTGCAGTAGTGTGATTGTTAGCTGGCTAACATTGACAGTTTCAAGCTATCTGTGATAAACAACAATTTTCCAACTGACCATGGAAGGTTTCTGGTCTGTGCCGGTGCTTTGCTTGTTGAAGCCATGTGTCCTTTTAGTTGGATTAAGCTCCAAACTGGGTTCGACACTAAAGTAGTTTTGCGCAGTGCCTCTCTACTTTCTCAGTCAGTGGCTCTGTTTGCCGCGCTCCACAACAAAACGTACTCTACACGTCATGCCGTAAAACCAATCGAATCGCTTTATTGGTTCATATGGGCGGGGCTACATGACAAGATTGTCCGCTGTAAAAAGTGTGTGCCATGATCAACTTAAAAACGACCAAAAAACTGGTAATTTGAACGAATTTTACTGTGACGTTGCGGTCAATTTGGAGTTTACATTTCCGGAATAAATGTGTCTTTGAAACATGTTTATATTTCTCTAATTATCTAAGTGATTAGCAGCTCAACGCACTGTTTTATTTCTCTCTTTCAACCAAGTTTCCACACTGAACACTGGCTCGCTGAGGGACAGGGCGATGTCAGAAAAAATATATATATATTCCACCGCCGTACCCATTCCTCATGAGAGATGACTTTGTGATAATGTCTTTTTAACGATAATTTCATTACTGTTAAAATACATTGGAAAGGTGTAACATCAAAAATTATATAGATCAGGGATGATATTTCAGTGTTAACCCATTTTAACCCTGATCCCAAATAAAGATTTTTCAGGGCTGGAAATATGCACAAACAGGTTCTAACAGAGAGAAAAAAATCTGATATTGGCAGAAAAGTGGATTTTTGACACTGTTTTATGTAGTACTTACAAATCTACTAAAGCGAGTCAAACAATGGCTGACAGTGGTGGAGCGGATTGTAACACATCTCCAGAAAGTGTTACAACTGTAAGCTTTAACAGTTAAGTCAATTCAAATGTTTCTGTTTACTATTACAGTTAACGGTTTTTAAGTTAAGCTAAAAGATTGTGTTTATAGAATTCATACAGGGAACTATTCACTATTCAAGTGTTGACAGGTTCATATTTACATATTTTCAAGTTTAAATGCTTCTCTCTGCAGCTGTTTGTTAGGCTCAGCAGATTATGCAGAATGTGTTTCTGAGGTTCATTTACAATTCTCTGATTGGTAAGTGCTGTGACGTGTGATCAGGGTTGTCCAGGATATTAAGTTTTGGGTTATGTTGTGGGGATGACAAGATGGCTGAAGAGTAAAAGTGCTGCTAAGAAATTTATCCATCTCCATCCTGCTGTTTCTCATCACTAGAATTATCCAACCACCTTACATTCATGTTACACATGAAGCTGGTCCATCTATTTCATTTTTTATAACTTTAACATACTCACCACCTCTGAGGCTGCCTACCTGATATTTGAGAACTAAAACCAAATGAAGAGACAAACATTTCAATCATTATGGCATATTGTTTTTAATGTTTTGGTGTTCTATGTGAGATTTGTATATGCTCACTTTAAACTTGAAGCCAGCAACACGTTTTTTTTAAAAAGTAAGAATATGGACATGTTTACCTTTGTGTTGCATCACTTCTTCTGTCAACAATATAATGGTGGTGACAACTGGAAACCAAGACGATTGGTTTTGAGAGGTTGGAAATCCAGTGTTTTCCCATTCTTGCCTGATACTGTATTTCATCTAAGGTCTCCTTTGTAGTTTTTTTGGTGTCACAATGTACCAAATGTTTTCAATCGGTGACAGGTTGAGACTGCAAGAAGACCAGTTAAGCATCAGGACCCTTCTACTACAGAGCCACATGTTTGTAATGCGTTCAGAATAGATGGTGCCATCCCAGACCAATCAACCAATCATTCAATTTTTATGTATAGATGTCCAAACTACTCATGCAACTTGCACTTACACATCTCCATACCATCACCAATGGTCCTTATCTTTAGTGTGCAGGAATTCCACAAAGAATGTCAAATTTTCATTCATCAGACCACAGACCAGTTTTCCACTTTGCCTCGGTTCACCATAAATGGGTTCAAGCCTACAGAAGTTACCGACATGTCTGGATCAGGGTTATACATGGTTTCCTCTTTAAATGGGACAGTTTCAACATTCACATGTGGATGCAACAACAAACATTGTTCACCGATAGTGGTTTTTGAGCCTGTGCAGTGATTTCCAGAGGCATGTCTATTTTTACGCATTGGTTTTTGGCCTTGCCTCTTTTTGCACAGAGATTTCAGCAGATCCATGGCCCCTGGACTTTCATCAACTTTGGTGCTACACTACATCCTTGCATCTGCTTTAGGCATTAAAATCAGCATATAAAAGTAGAATACATCGTTGCTGTTGTTGTCTTTAATGGATGTCATTAAGAGTCATGAATTTCAATTTCAGACTGTTTCATATATGTGAAGAAACATCCCATGGGAGCTTTAAAATTTAGGGTTTAGATAATTTGTAAAACATCTAATTCTGTCTCATCAAAATTTTACCCAACAGTCTGGAATTAGTGTATAAACAAACATGCCACTAAAACAAAGGTACACAAAACACCTGAAACCATACAGTGGTAACACACAACTTCAAATGATCAATTTAAGACAACACACTCAGATTTAGGTCTGACTTTTATAAACGACAAAAACTAATTTAATGGATTCACAGAAACATGTAAGAAGAAGAAACAGGCCTTTTATTGGCTATGTAAATAGTGTGTCAGGTGTAGGAGAGTGTGTGTAGGTTTTTCATACAGGAGAGCGGGCATACACATCTCTGTGTGTTCACACATCATTATAAATGTCTAAAGCCCCTCATCTGTCCTCCAAAAATGTTAAAAGTCCTGCTCCCATCCAATACAGGCCTGGATGGACTGAAGCACCGAGCCCACTGCACTTCTCGCTAATCTCGCGAGAGCGGCCCCTCACGGCGGTGCCTGGGCGATGCGATGCTGTTGCTGTTGCTGTGGGTTTGATTGACAGGAAACATGTCGGTGTGGTGGGAGCGAACCGGGATGCAGCTGCTGCCAAGGGAGACAGGGAGTACCTGCATCCAATCCACACATCAGCACCTTTAAAAAGCAGCAGGCTTCCCCCCGAAACGTCTGCTTCTGACGCGCTGAGCAGCTCCTCTTTTTCTTTATAAAAACCACCCATCTGAAAGGAAGGGGCACCCAATGGATGCTGTGGCAAACCGCGTAGTCCCGCTCGGTTTCTTCACATTGTGTTTCATTTAGCCTCCAAGCAGATACACCTTGATGAAACAGCAGGAACTACGAGGACTGTTGTTGCAATGGAGTCGACTCTCTCACGGCTCAAACCGTGTCTGTAAACCTTCAACATCTCGTTTCATGGCGTTTTGCAGGTGGCTCTGCTCCGTGGGCTTTTCCACGTTTCTTTTCTGAATCCTTATTCTGGCTTTTTTTTTTTTTTTTTTTTTTTTTAATTTTTTTTGGTTCATTTTATTTTTCTACTTAAGTGCACCGGGGGAAGATAACGACCACTGCTTGCCAAACTATGAACGAGGAGATGACAAAAAGCGAGGAGCAGCATCTTAGTTTGCAGAAAGCCTTGCAGCAGTGCGAGTTGGTGCAAAATATGATAGACATAAGCATTTCTAGTTTGGAGGGTTTACGGACCAAATGTGCCACATCCAACGACTTGACACAGAAAGAGATACGAACGCTGGAGGTAAGCAGGAACCGCTGAATATCTGCTGTGCATCACCATCTGAATCAATACTGGGGCTGTCACCGTCTCTTATTTATTCCTAGGCCACTATGCTTATTTTTCAGCGCCTTTTCTATGACAAACTGCTTTCCTCGAGTCGGTTTTTCCATTGCATTAATATGCAAAGATCCAAGCTAAAGCCCAGTGCTATCTGTTTTGTGCAGTGCAATAAATCAGGGATCTACGGGGCTGCAGTGGGCTGTTATAGACTTGCGCATTCTGCAGGTGGCGGGGAGAGAAGGTGGCTCTTCTCCATCAGAATAATATCTGAGGCAGCCGAGGCCTATAGGCAGCCCGTGTTTACAATCCATTACCAATACGGCAGCCTGCGCATCTGTCCTCGCAGCGCACCCATGGAGGCCCTGCTGTTATGCAAGGCGAGCAGATTACACTGAAATTGTTACCAAATATCGTTATCCCTTTAATTAGCCCGTGGGGTATTCCGTAAATTGCGTTACGTAATAGCCCATAATATCCCGGTGTTGTGTTCCAGATACCAGACTGTCCGTTTTGAGACCACTTAAACCAGTCCAACACCCCCCTCAGACCAGCGAGAGGCTGTTACAGACATAAAGTGCGATAAGGTCACTGAAAACTCACTATAGAGGAGGACAGACAGAGCACAGCACTAAAGGCCTAAGAGGATGTTTAGTGATGCTTCAGGAGATTAAAACAAATATCATTAAGTGAGATAAGGTGGTTATAAACTCACCACAGAGGGTCTCTATGTACCATCAACACACATCAAGTCCTAGGAGAGAGAGGTTATTGACTTGTTACATAAAAATACCATAAAGTAAAGTGCCACACATTATAGTCAAACCCCACAGGACTACAATCATCACATTTTACACATGCAGCAGTATATTTTGTGGCTGAGTTAACAGGTGAAGTTTGTAAGCTTTGTATGCAGTGTGAATGTCCTGCAAGCAATCTGCAAGCATCAGCCTAGAGATAAAAGTTCACTGTGTTCCCTGAATGCACCGCAGAGCATCCTGGATCCTGGACTCTTTATGAAGAGCATTTGAATTTATGATTTTAGCACTTAGAGCTTAACCCAGAAGGGACAACTTGACTCTGGTGAAGTCCAGTTTTAGGGTGTAGTATGTAGTATTTGGTTGCATATAGTTAAACAGACTTGGTAGAAATGGGATATAAAATTGTGTCTTTGAAGAAGTGTATAAAAATGACATTTATATATAAACCACTTTGTTTGGTCAACTTGAAATGGCTTCTACCTTCTACTCAGGAGCATTTCCCTGTCTCTGGAGGCTGCCATCATGTTTCTCGAGCATTGCAGGTTGAACGAACTGGTAACATACATACGATTGTATTTAGTGAGAGGCCATGTGAAGGGCTAGACTTAGAGGATGATGAGGAAGAAGAGGGCTGGTTGTTGAATGCAAAGAACTTTTTTATGGAGGATCACACTTTTTATTATTGGAAGCAGCTCCTTGTCCTCAGAGGCCACCATACCCACTGAAACTTCACCACAGCGAGGGGTGAGTGAGGGAGCATTTTATGGTAGAATCTGACTGCT